TACACAGACAGATAGGTTGATATCAGATATATAGATCGATATACAGACAGATAGGTTGATATCAGATATAGAGATCGATATACAGACAGATAGGTTGATATCAGATATAGAGATCGATATACAGACAGATAGGTTGATATCAGATATAGAGATCGATATACAGACAGATAGGTTGATATCAGATATATAGATCGATATACAGACAGATAGGTTGATATCAGATATAGAGATCGATATACAGACAGATAGGTTGATATCTGATAAGTAGATCGTACAGACAGATAGGTTGATATCAGATATAGAGATCGATACAGAGACAGATAGGTTGATATCAGATATAGAGATCGATACACAGACAGATCGGTTGATATCAGATATAGAGATCGATACACAGACATATAGGTTGATATCAGATATAGAGATCGATATACAGACAGATAGGTTGATATCAGATATATAGATCGATACACAGACAAAATGATAACAGATCGATACACAGACAGATAGGTTGATGTCAGACATATAGATCGATACACAGACAAAATGATAACAGATCGATATACTCGACATCAGGTATATAGATAGATATACATGAATTGGGTGCAAATATGTCGATACACATGAAGATAGATTAATACATGAAGAAATAGGTTGAAACAGGGACACAGTTCAATCAACAGGAATTATGGTTTAATGAACTTTTAAACAGACAGATATAGTAATACATAGTTTATGTGATCGGTACACGGATAGATACAGGCAGAAAGGTAGGCAGGCGGACAGGCACGCACAGACAGACAGATAGATAGACAGGTCAAGCGCAGTTGTCCTTCAACTAAATTCTTTATCAAGAGATAACATATATGTACGTCATTTCATGCACCTTAATCTGATTATAAGACGTCGAGGGTGTATTGAAGTTGGGTGTAATCTACGTGATATGTCAGTTGTTCATAATGACACTCCTTTCTCCTTTGTTCATAATTTCTCATTTATAATGACACGAAACGACCGGGAGGTGTTTATTGTTTGATTTACCATGCGTCCTGCTCACACTTCTTATCTGGAGGTATAAATGCAGAACAAAACGTAATTGTTATAAATAAACTAACATCATGACTAAATACAAAACTCATTCATAAGAAAATATTTGCCAACATTTTACCACGCCTTAAAAGGAATTCGTACTGAAACATTCATTGATTGATCACTAGTCCCCGACATGATTATGAATCGAACATATTACTTCCTTCTTGCTGATAACATACGGCGATCAAATGTCATATATGGATCTGCCGGTGGGCGTGTCACGTCACGTGGTCGTGTCATATGACATCGTGCATGTGAGCAAAGATATCCCGCTGCCAATTTGACAGCATGGGATTAAGGTGTGTGTTTGTCGCATATCTTGAGGGCTGCTTGATCGCCGTATATCGCCTTATATGGGTGTAACTATTCAATGATATGTCGACATAGGTGTTCAGCAGCGATTTGATATTCCCGTTGTTCAAGACAATTGTACAAATGTGTTTGATGGAAAGTCAAGTGACCACTTTACCTTTCGACAACCCCTTAGAATAGTTTTATAAACCGTTCGAATCTAGATTTCTTAGTTTCACTGACTGAATGTTTTACAAAGTCCGTGTTTTTTGTTATTTATAAATACAGCACTAACAAAACAGCGGGAGGAAAATGATTTTAATGCACAGAGCAGTTCAACGCAAGACTACATTCGGGTGTTTCCGGATTCTTCCGAAAGTAACCGAATGTAAACAATTTGTGGAATTCCGTGCAAGAGCTATTTTTAACGCTTGTCCTTGTGGTGTGTCAACACAGGTATGGCTGCAAGTCACCTGTTTTCCTGGTCAACATGATCAGGTAACAAGCTGATCACGAACTCTCATGCACGAACGCAATGAATAGTCTTTAAAATAAACTTCAATATGTTTTCGATTAACACCTCATACAAGGTGGATTGTTTATTTTTCAAAACGCCCTTTCATCTTATCAAACAGTTCATATTTGTATTTTCAGATACCAAACTTGGTTAAGATTAATCTACCAAAGATAAATTATAACTATTGTATATAACACAAAAATACAATACAAAAAAATATAACTATACATTCCTTCAATTTTGAAACAAAACTTATTATCCAACACTAAAAATGTTATTATAATGTAAATTGTAGATATTATTAAACATATATATCAAGTGCGGTGCCAATTTGAAAATTGTTTAAAGTTATATATTATATTCATGATTATATCCGTGCAATTATTATTTGGTTTCTGTTTCACTGCCAATATCCATTGATTAAACGTAATACATTGTACTTGTTTCCCTCCAAAATCGAGCATTATATTCACAATTATACCTGCTTTCGAGGCTAGCTTCGTTGCATTCGTTATCACTTTAAAACCTCAAATAAATGTCATTCTTTTCACCATTTCGAAGCGCCATCTTACAGATGTATATCGCAGGAGAAACTTGAGAGTTATCCGCTCTTTGCAGATGCACTTAACGCTGCTCAACAAAATAAGCAAACATATTTTAAACACAGGCACACGTGTCGGCTTTCCTGATCAATACGAAAACATAATTACACGGAGACTAGTATATACAGTATGCCAACTTAACTATCCCACTTACTTTCTTCATTATGCAACAACGACAATAATTGATCAATATTCTAAAAATATATGCTTATGCTGCCTTCCGTTTAACAGGGAATTGTTCGTTAATCAGGAATTTTGTTTCCATGGTAACGGGCGTATAAACAGAATGTACACACGTTCAGCGTATTAGCAGTATCGAATGATGATTCTTTTGGGAAATTCTTGAACAAATATATTATCTTGGGCCATATGCTATTAGATGAATGTAAAGGATTCGGAGATTTCTCTTGTGACATCTCAGATTCTTAGATTGACGTGGTACCTTTCAGAAACGGAATGAAGATCGGATATTTAATCTGCATGATTTATATCTGGCCATTCTCTGAATATTTTACGTGACACATTCACAGGCCATGTTTGCCATAATTGTGGCGGGAGGAGGGAGGCGGGGGGGGGGGGGGGGGGGGGCGTGGAGGGATCATGCAGCACTTCCTTGATATTTCCTTAATATTTGTGATTTTCCCCCAATGCTTGAAGTTCCTGTCATGCCTTACCCAAAATGCCAATTCCTCCAGTACAGGCGGGTACCATGGTTACAGCAGGTTTGCCATCATTGCAGGCATGTTTTGTCTACGGTTCGAGTTATAAAAAGCTGAAAGGATTCTGATACAACAGTTTAAACATATCTATTGCAGGTTAAGCTGAAGAGTAGTAAATATTTTGTCACGTGACCGAAAGTGTTTCACTTCCGCCTTCATATAGATGGAGTGCTGCCGGGTGTGGCGTGTGGCGTTAAACAAGAAACAAGCAAAACAAAATCATATCCATAGAACACTTAATAATAAGTTTATGAAGGTGGTATTGTCAGAGACGGAATAAATTATCTGTCATTGGAAAGTCATTATTTCTAAACCAATAACTCATTTCTTTGTGATGGACATATCACAATAAACCTATATAACTTTTTTCTTTGTGCAGGACATCAAGTATTTTCTAAGACAATGGTCTTAGACATCCCAAGCACACACATGCACGCACGCACGCACGCACGCACGCACGCCTCATGCTAAACAAGTAACCTGTTCTTGTAACCGAATAACCGTACTTGACGATGTGTGTTTTCCGTAAAGGTGACGGCAGTCATTGAGATTAAACTTGTCATCTGGGTCTGCACATGAATTTAGAATAATACATATGATATACAAAATATAAAGGACAAACCAGTACCATACTTCACGTACACGTGTGTTAAATACAACCATTTTACATTGTTGTAGGTGTCGGTGATATAAAACTTTTACGTTTAGCGTTTGGTGTATTTTCTTGTAGACATGTTAACTAATTAGACTAATTAACCGCATAGATCTTCCCGAGGCAAGATTTTGTTTGTTTGTTGTTTAACGCCGCACTCAGCAATATTCCAACTATATGACGCGGTCTGTAAATAATGGAGTCTGGACCAGACAATCCAGTGATTGACATCATGAGCATCGCTCCACGCATTTGGGATCAATGACATGCATCAACCAAGTGAGCGAGCCTGACCACCCGATCCCGTTAGTCGCCTCTTACGACAAGCATAGATATGCACGCGTGTGCTTGTTGTCACGTTACTAACGCTGACATTAAATACATACATATTATAACTTTAATGACTTATTTGTCATGTCCTAACATTGTCTATATACGCATATCATTACGTTATCAGTAGCCACACCCATGTTATATCTACCTTATAATGTGTATATGAAATTAAATAATACAGAAAACTGTGTTATACATCAGTGTTAAATGTTCAAATGACCAACTTATTACACTTTTCTAATGACAATAAATATCAATGATGTTGTTGTTGTTATTATTATTATTATTTTTTTTATTTAGAATTTCCGACTTTTTATTTTACTAATAATGTATTTTTTTATACAATTAATTTCGATTATGTATTTTGCTTTTTTTAATTTTAATATCAGGTTTTCTTTTCAAGCTTTCATGTACTTTTCCAAAAGAAAACATAATGTTTATTTACGATATAATATTAATTTCTATACATAGACTTGACACGCAATATGTTTTGATCAAGGTTTCTAGGAAGTTATGTTGACATAAGGTTGGTCGACTTCAGCATACTCAGTGAGTTTTATATAGACTCCCTGTTTAAGCGGCTTATTCAAATTTAAAATATAAGGCATCTTAAATCATTATAAAATAAACGATTATTTGGTAAATAAAATCGGATGAACACACGTGTAGCCACTGGAATATTGTAGCCGTGTGACATTTTGAACCCTCAGAACTTAATCTGCCAAATATTACCATTTGCAGTTCTCTACTATGCGTATTTACGCCAAATATGGTTTGCGATGGCGACCTCAGAGAGCGTGAGTCACAAAACCATATATGGCGCTTGTGTTGCAATAATGGTATGCGATATGGATATTAGTCGACCAATCAGTGACGAATAAGCTGACCTCGTGGTTTTAGGAGCACCGAAGGGACCCTCCGTCACATCGCGGCTAAGAAATCGCATAAAAGGTACGTAGTGACATTAGGAGACACTTTATATAGTTTTTAGGCATCATATAAGCGTTTTCTATCCATTTAAGGTGAGATCACTGGTGTCTTACTCCTTATAAATGTGACATTTCGGCGTTGAGGTTTTATTTGTGTTCTCTCATTTTCGAACAGCCCTTCATCAACCTCACTCCTGTAGCTGAAATACAACCAAAGCTTCAAAATGGCGATGTCAGGAATTGCTGTGTCTCAAGAGTGTGAAAAAGCTCACGAAAGGCAACACAAGAAAGAAAAGGACGTACAGTGGACAGTGTACCGCATTGACCAGGCCGGTAAAAAGGCTGTGGTTGTAGTTGATAGTCAGAAAGAGAGAGTGTTCTGTGCCAACACGGCATCGCAGCAGCATTGCGATGAGGTTAAAAAAACAAATAAGCAAATATGGCTTGACTTTATTGATTGTTTACCCGACTTGGAAGGTCGATATGCTGTCTTCGATTTCGTACAACCAACATCATCTGGAGCTTACAAAGACGCAATTCGCTTCGTTGCATGGTAAGTAAATAAGATCGAAGTAGGTCGACAAGCCGGAAGAGCCGTCATTCTTGTCGGCAAACGAGACGCATTGTCCTGTCAAAGACACCGGCCACAAAATCGATTATTTTAGGAGAATTTGTGTATGGGACTATCTGTGTTCTGCTCTGCGCATCAACTTGTTTTGAAATTATATCGGAAAAACCGTTAATTGTCCAGAATATACCGGTGAATATTCCTATATCACGTGCTTGTCAGATAGATACACCCATTACAAGAAGCCTGCTCTCAAAACTGCACGTGGCCCGTCTCAGACTGATAACAAAGTTATAAGATTTTCCTCAATGGCAAGTCCACAAATTTAATGGATTAAAGTGTGAGTGTTATATCTCGTGGAAAATATGCGTTGGAAGCCTACTAATATCACCTTTCCTTTGTATGGATAATTGAGGAAGTTGTGTAGTGGGCGTGTTCAGTTTGAATTATTTCCACCCAAAGCGTTAAGTAATAGAAAATTAGCAGTTTTTGCTGTAAATTCACATAGCTGAGAAGTTTTGAACCACCATATAAATATTGAGAAATGTGCTATAACAAATGTTTTAATGGAGTTTTCATGAAGTTAAATAGAACACATGGTACAAGCATTTGGTGACATTTTCAAATATCTAACACATAGAGGTTGTCACGTGAGTGTGTTTGGGGATGGTAAGTATCCTGCAGTAGGAATAAACATTGTATTTAGCGAGCCTTGGCGAGCTAAATACATAGTGTTTATTCCTAATACAGGATATTTACCATCCCCAAACACAAGCGTGATAACTTCTTTATCATATAATGTCATTCTTTAATTCTGTGCTTGAAAATTGCTTTCCCTCTCTCACAAACATTACCGAAACATTGCGAGTTTTCCTTGAATGCGTGCATTGATATTTATTACGTCACAGGGTAAGTGATGTGTCAATCGGACAGTGACAGTAGCCAATATAGTTCCAACTGAAAACTGTTTCTTATACAGTGGCGAAGAAACATATACGCAAAACAACAGATGTTTTTAATTGCCTTTCGCGGCAATCCATCTGTCTGTCCGCTAGAGTAACTGCCCTTTGTCAAAGCGAAGCTACTCTAACCCGAGTCTGTGAGACATCATGCCACGGTCAGATGTTGTTGACAGTCAGTCTGTCCTGTCATAACGTTAAGAAGTGTAGTCAGATGTACACACAGCAACAAAAAGAAACAAGGTAACAATTCAAACATATTTCGGCCAAATCCAACTATTTTAATTTGTGGAGAAGGTTTCAAGCCGCAGAGGTCTACAGGCACAGATATGGCTACTGATTCCGCTTGGCTAGGCCTCGTGCCCTCGCACGCCGCGATTCGCTGTGCAGAGTTGCTTCCCTTGGGCACGCCGGAAACCTATGATTGTGGGTTCGAATCCCGGTTCGGCCCGATTATGTTTCTAGGTTTGTCAGCACCATTCCTGTGCTCGTGGGTTTCACCGAAGACGTAAACGTCTAAGATCTGCATTACTTCGGGCTTCCTCCCACATAAAGCTGACACGCCGTGATATAACTGGAATAATGTTAAAAGCGGTGTTAAACCCAACTCACTCGCTCACTCGTGCCCTCGCAAAATTGTTTCGAAATTTATTTGTTTATAAACAGTGAAAGTAGTCCTACTTGACCTTTGATATTTGCATCTCTATCCTCATATGACCCCACCGGATATCTTTTTTATCCGTTGGCTTTATCCTGCCGAGAAACCTACCCATTATATGATAATGGTTTATATTTGTAGCTCTTCACATGTCTTTGATTATGTTTGTTCTTAAAAAAAAATATCCTTAATAGGTGTTTAAATAACGGTAAAATATTTCAACAGAATTTGACATATAATTGCTAAAAAAAATGACACTTTTATCATTGTGCATATTCGTTGAAGGGTTAAAACATTGGAACAGTATGTGATGTTGACCATTTGTCCAAAGTATAAGTCTGTTGGCCTTGTATTAGCCTCAACTAGTAATAGTCCGACAGCTAACTGACTGGGCTACTTCAACACTGTTAAACTAAGTGCAAATTTACCTAGTCATGCCTAAGAGCAAATTTACCTAGTCATGCCTAAGACATTACTCGTCTTGTCCCTTTAGTCTATGGACACTTATGAGTGATCCTGATGTCATTTCGTAAACCTGTCCCATTCCGTAATCTACAAGACACTAAAGTGGTAAGGAATAAGCCAATATGATGCGAACTGAGAACGACTCCAGACAATATGATTGTAAAGAGGATCCAAGGGCTAAGGATAGTTCTGGGTAACCTACCCTAACACAATTATCTAACCCTAAGGATAGACAATATATGAGGCCACAGTCACAAGAACCAGTGCTTACTAGGGCTGCAACAAATACACTATGAGGCGAATGCAATTCGTATCACGAGATGTCCCACGGTAGACAGTGCGCAGACTGGCGACATTTGGATGTGTGCAGCGTCAATATAAGAAACCCAATAAATACTGCAATAGGGCTGCAACGAATATACTATGAGGCAAATATTTTACTACATTCACTCTTCTGTGGATGAGCATGTGGCCTCTTGAATCACGGATAGTGATGTATTCATGTAAACGTTTTTTGTTGTATAAGAATTAAGATTGTCTATATTGCTAGCGGGAGACATAATAAAATAAAAAAATTTATGTTTAGTCTATTTCTTAGTGCTGCTTTTCAGTGGCAGCAGGCCTATGAAGCGAAAAATAAAACGTTTGGCCTAAGACATACACTGACAATGTGTGGGGTGTGGGGATGCTAAAAAATGAGTAATAATTGTATTCTGCCGGAAATGAAAACTTCAGTCAATATTGTGATCAAAGGTGCCATCAGTCATTTATTAGACAACAGACAGAAGTGTCGTCCTACTTTTATTCAGAATGTCATGAGTTTGTAGTTTGTTTAATGCCGGACTCAGCTGTATATGGCAGTGTCTTTTACGTAATCACGTCTGGACCAGACAATCCAATCAGCTGTTGGGATACAATGACATGCATCAACTAAGTCAGCGAGCTTGGCCTCCTGATCTCGCTGGTCGACTTGTGAAGATCTGGGGTGGAATAGGTCTTCAGCAACCTGTGCTTGCTGTAAAAGGCGACTATGCTTGTCGTAAGAGGCGACTAATGGGATCGGGTGGTCAGGCTCGGTGACTTGGTTGATGCATGTCATCAATCCCAATTGCGTGGATTGATGCTCGTGATATTAATCACTGGATTGTCTGGTCCAGACTTGCTTATTTACAGACCGCCGTCATATAGCTGGAATATTACTGAGTGTGGCATTAAACAACAAACCAACCAACGTTGGTCAGCTCTTAAGACAAGCATGGGTTGCTGAGGACCAATTCTCATCCTGATCTTCACAGGGGATTTTGGATTAACAACAGTGAACACGACAAAGAACAGGAATGAGATAGACATACATCACAAAGATTGCTGAAAACAATTATGCATTTTAGCCCTAGATTTGGTGTTTCTCACTATGTTGCATGTCGGGTCTTGTCACATTTTGTTGACATAGATTGATAATGTGGTTGTTACAGTTGCATATTGATGGCACATAGTTGAGTGGGAGATATAGGCTTGGGTCTCTCATTAGTCCAACTTAAATGGGGATTGGTTGGGTTTTCGATACAAGGATGACATTTGCTCACCTCAATCAGGGATAAATATGTTGATCAAGATCGAACACCATAAAAAATCATGTTTTACAGAGTTATGGCCCTTGTTTAATCTCTTGGAAATTGGGAGCAGGTTTACTCTGAAATCAATAGGGATAAAAGGATGACATTTTGCGTACATCATTCTGAATAAATATGTTGATCAGAGTTAATTCAGTTATTGTCCTTGCTTGGTCTTTAAATGTGGTGCACACGACTGCCAATTTCTTGGAAACCACAATAGATGACGATTTTAACATTGTTTCATACATGTATATTGATGAAACTTTGTGTTCACTTCATGCAAGCCGTAAAAGGCGATTACCGGTACGCTTGTCATAAGAGGCGACTAACAGGATTGGGTGGTCAGGATCGCTGACTTGGTTGAGGCATGTCATCGTGTCCCAATTGCGTGGATCGATGCTGATGTCAATCACTGGATTGTCCGGTCCAGACTCGATGGTTTACAAATTACAGACAAATTATTGCTGAGTGCAGCGTTAAACAACAAACAAACAAACCTCATGCTAGTGCTGAACTGGTGCCATTGATGTTTTAATTATTTCTCCAAAGAAATTTTCAAATGTAACAGGCTAGTTAGGCATAACCATAGGCACGTCCCATCTACTCAGCATTTTCTGAGGACCAAACACATCACTATATAAGTGCAATATTCTTTGACGCGACGTTAAACCCCAATTCACCTCACCTCGCCTAAGGACCAAATAGTTATCTTTAGTCAAAGCTGTGGTTCTCATATGGATAGATATTAACAAAGAACATCTACTAGCCTGAGTAGTGGTAACGTCTAGCAATACTGTGGGCTAGCAGGCCTGTGCTAATTTCTATCCCTGTGACCTTATTTGATGTTTTGAGTTGTATTTTTTAGATGTGTATGTGTCCAGTGAAGCAATATAGTATTTTAGATTTACTAGAAGGAAGCACTGTAAAACAGTCTGTGTTCCTGTTACAGGTCCCCAGAACAAGGTCCAATTAAAAACAAGATGATCTACTCCTCAACCAAGGATACCCTCAAGAAGAAGCTTGATGTCCAAAAGGAGGTCTTCCTCTCCACAAAGAGTACCGAAGATATAGAGGACGCTTTCGCACAGCTGATGGTTTAATTGGCTATGTTACTCAAGAACTTAAGTGTCTAATGCCTGGCAACTAAGGAACAGTTTCCTGCAAGCTGTACAATGAAACGATGACCTAAGTTTTTTTGCACATGATCATAAACTAATTGCTGATTATGTTGTTTCACAATGCCGAATAACATTGACTTCTGAATTACCAAATACTTAACCCTAATCAACACAACAAGAACAGAAAACTGATTTAAAATGTATCCACTTTTGTATATTGTAAGTAAATACTTTCTCAATGACTTGTCAGAACAAATTGTCTGAAGCTATCTTCAATCATGTTGGAATGAACATCATGTTAGAAGAAACTTTTGATGCAAGTAATAAATATTTCTATGAAAGCTTTATAATTTCAAATCTTATATTTTACTTCAATCATAGGATGACTGCCCTTGTCTGTTTCAAGTTGTCTTTAGGCAAAATTTGGTGGAACACAAAAAAATGAGAATGGATCAACAAATGTATTCTGTTTCTTTGTGGCTTTCATGGGGGCGTGTCAGGTTCCTTGGATACCTCAACTGGATTGGAGATTGGATTAGCAGTAACATTTTGTGATCCTACAATGTTGACCAGATTTGGAGTCTTGTCACTGTTTTCTCTTCCAGAGGCAAGGGAGTAAACTGAATATTGACGTCCAGTTTCGACCCTCAGTTATTTTTTGGCTGCACTATTGAGGCTATGCATAGTCCAACTTCACGCTTACATATTTAGAAAATATCTGTCAAGGCCCAGATGACTACAGATGTTTTGCACATCCTGCAATCAATTGAAATCTGCACGATATTCACAATGTTGTTACAAACAGGATATCGATTTTGTTATGCAATTTTGATTGGTTGATTTGTTGTGTAACACCGCTAAGAGGTGACTAACGGGATGGTCGGACTCACTCACTTGATTTATCCATGTCCGATCCCAATTGCGTGGATTGATGCTTGTGATTGTCTGGTCCAGGATTGTCACTGGATTGTCGGGTCCAGACTCGATTATTTACAGACTGTCGTCATATAGCTGGAATATTGCTGAGTGCGACGTTAAACAACCAACCAACAAATCAAAAATTGCGGAACAAAATCGATATCCTGTTCGTAACAACATGGCAAATATCGTGCAGATTTCAGTTGATTGTATGATTTGCCCATTTTCAGAATTACATGCTTGCATTCAGATATTGTTAATATTGAAAAGTTGCAAAAAATAAGAGACAAATCGTGTCTTGATTAAGTAGAAATAATGCAAACAATTACTTGAGAATCTACAAGTAAGTAGTCATAAAATTATCTGCCGGACAGTCAGGAAAATTTCATGCAGCGTGTCAAACGTCACCAGCCATGTGCAGGCAGTTATTTCCAAGACTGGGACTACTTGTTTCTCCCAGAATCTTAAGTGATACATAAATGAGTTCAATTTGAGCCAGGGGACACAGGTGTCCCAGTCGTCATAGGCACCAATGTGCTGTGCAGAGAGCATCCGTTGGGGACACCATAAACTTGTGATCAGGGGTTCGCATCCCAAGTTTGCCAAGGTCAGGAGTCACGGTTTGTCAGCACCATACTCATGGGTTTCACCAAAGTGGTAAACATCTATGACCTGCATCACTTATGGCATTAATCCTTCCCAAGGCTGACATGCAGTTTCACAACTGAGATATAGTTCAAAGTGGCATTAAACCAAACACGTCACTCAAATATGGCCATGGACCAGATGGATATTGCTCCTGGTATCTACTGGCATGGGGGGAGGGGCATGCAGGCTTGGTTGAAAAGGTTCTGTTCATGTCATTCTATCAAGATATATCGATATGAGAATGAAAAGAATTTCCAAGCAGAATTATGGCTGCCTTATTAATTGCTTTTATGTACCTGTTATATTGTTTGGTGCAGCTCATGTCAAAATTTAACATGTTCAGTCATTGCTTAGTTTTGGGTATTGAGTTTGTTCCTGTGAATAAGAGAGGCACGGGTGGTCGTCCAAGGCACCACAATTTGCCGTGCTCACGAGGAAGGTCCGGGGTTCGATCCCTGGCTGGGTCATACCAAAAGAGGTTAAAAGATGGTACTTCTTGTTACCCTGTCTGGCACTATGCATTAAAGGGCTAAAACAAGGACTGGTCGGCTCGGAGTCAGTATACTGTGTCTGAGTGGGGTATTCATGTTGAACTGCGGCATGGTATCTCAGTGAGCTAGCACCATAAATCAGCGTCAGTCCGGACTAGTACAAGCAGCCATACACACACACACACGTGCATGCACATCGCTATATAAGTGCAATAATCTTGGACGCGACGTTAAACCCAATTTCACCTCACCTCACGGCGCTCATGGATTTCGCTGAAGTGGTAAATGTTGGAAATATGTTTCACTTTGGGCTATCCTCCCAAAGTAAGCAGTCACTCTGTGATATAACTGGCTGGAATGCTGTGGATTGAAAACCAATTAATTCACTCAAATTATTGACTAACATAGAAGTAGAACACAGTAGAAGTGAGCTTTATCCAAACACCTTAATTTACAGTGTACCTATGTAAATATTTGAAGAAGTCTTTCTTTGGATAAAATGTGTAAGTAAAACTTGATTATGCAATATCTAATATCGCCATTCTATTGTTATAAGTACCATGAAGGGTCCAGTAGAGTCCTATAAACGAATGAGAACATGGTATTTATCAAAATAATATGGAGATAAAATACCCTGGATGGAGGATATCCAAAACATGGCTCCCGAGAAACAACAAAATAACAGTTGCATCAATAGAATGCTTTAATAAATAAAACACACCACATGCATTTACACCAATGTAATATGAACACAAAAAACATGTGCAACTTGGATTAAAATGACTCGGCAAGACTTTGCTCTGAAATGGAGAATACATGATTGATGAGAAGAACACTGTTTCAGCAGCAATCCTTCCTTTTAGGAAATCAACAAACAGTGAGACATCTGTATTGTCTCAATCAATGGCCTTTCTGAGAGCGAGTGAATCAATGAATCATTCTTATCACAACATACATCTGGCATTGTGATCATCATTTTACCCCGTTCTTATATCTTTATGCACAACACATCGGCATTAAATGAAGCATTCATAATAACTGGATGAAAATAACAATTTTTAAATGCAAACAAAATTGGTCATAAACATTCTAACCGTTATAAATAGAACGACAGTAGGTTGTACCACCCTTGTGCATGGTTCACACTCCATATGTTAATTTTCCAGTGGAGAAACAGGTTTCAAAAATGTCCATAAATAATCCACATGGATTACATATGTCTCATGTGGTCTGGTCCGAAAGGATATCTGTCAGTTTCTGCAAGGATTTGTAGATTACACCAGTTTACGACTCAAACTGAAGCCAAAGTTAGATTGGAGTTCTGTTTAGTCTAGTTTGCTCAGCCTAAGATATGACAACACTAATATACTGAAAATGAAGCCATGAGCCAAGTACATGCAACTACACTCCCAAAAGTTTAACCGACTTGCATGAGGCTGAGGTTGGTATGACTTCAAGACCAAGACCAATTTAGGAATTGTTGGAAGCTAATGTGAGAATTGGACACAGACGAATAAATCAACTTCGAAATATCCCCAAGCAGCTATCACAATGAGGCCTGGATTAAGACCTTCAACAGTTGTTCAAGAACTGCTGGTCTAATATCAGATAAAGATATGGTGCTCACTAAACTCTCCATCTTCACATTGAGAGAGTGAGAGCCCTCTTCCATTTCCAGGGATAGCATTTCAGTTTCAGGCATAACCCCTGTATCCATTCCTGTGCTTCTGAGGGGGAACGGGTGGCCCAGTCGTCTAAGGCGCCGCGATTCGCTGTGCAGAGTTGCGTCCCTTGGGCACGCCAGAAACCTATGATTGTGGGTTCGAATCCCGGTTCGCCCCAATTATGTTTCTAGGTTTGTCAGCACCATACCCGTGCTCGTGGGTTTCACCGAAGTGGTAAACGTCTGAGACCTGCATCACTTCGGGCTTTCCTCCCACATTAAGCTGACACGCCATGATATAACTGGAATACTGTTAAAAGCGGCGTTAAACCCAACTCACTCACTCACTCACCTGTGCTTCTGACAACGTTAAATTACTCTCCTTGATTTTTATTAACATTTTACTGACATATCAATGTCGAGTCAGGAAAAAGGGAGGTAACTCGTATAGCCTAGAAACCAACGCGACATCTCGTTTTCATGGACATGAAGACATCATTTCCATCAAAAATATTTTTGAGGGCTTTATTTTGCATGTCAGTTTTTCAATGTTGAATTTCTTGCCGCCATGTTGTTGATATTGCCAACCATACATTGATGCTGGTTTGTAACCTGCATTCTGATTGGTCCATTAGACTTAGTCTCGTGGCAAATCAAATTGGCTAATGAAAATCAGGTGCAGGCAATCTGAGATCGTGAGGAATCAATCCAGGGGTTAATGTAGGTTTACTCAAATGCAAACCATGGAGATACAGAGGGTTGGTGTGTAAGTGAATGTTTCTTTTAGCCCATCAGCAATATTTATGTAAATAGTGAATGGGCCAGGCAAACCAGTGGTCGAGAGCATGTGAGCTATCAACATGTGATGAAACACAATTATTTACAGGCCACACATTGTACAAATGTAGGGAACCAAACTCGGGGTAGCGGTGTGTTGAGCCAATGCTTTAACCACTAGACTACCCCACCGCCCCTTCCTCATTTGAAATAATAAAGCAATGACGTAGTCCGTCACATCAGTCAACAGTTAATGTAACTGCCTTATACAATTCAAACTAGAAATATGCCTTCGACTGAAATACAAACATTTACGAAACTCAAATAATGAATTTATTGTGGACAAAACAAGAAACCAAAAATGGGTGTCATCAACTGTCAGGAGACAAGTGAGAAGTCATCTTTCCAAGGCGAGAGAGTTAACTGACTTTAAAAGTCCAGTTTCCACCCTTGCCAAACTAGGTTGGAATTACTGGGCTCGATTGTAGCGCCACCAGTGGCTATTACCAGTTATGTCCCTTCTAAGCCTCTCCTATGGACCAATCACATGCCACCTCGCGTATCACTTGCGTTTGCTTCACACAAAATGGTGGCGCCCGGTCAGGACGATCTGATCGATAATAAGATCTATATTGTGATAAAATGGGTCTTACATCGCGAAATGCGTCAAATCACATGGGCACCTTGATTAAAAACATGAAAAGATTTGGAAAATATCTGCTGACAACGAGTTGGCGGTGCACATGCTTTGCAAATCCTGCAATCGACCAAAATCTGCACGACAGTTTATGTGCCGGATTTCGATTTCAGTGCGCGAGTTTGATTGGACTCATTAGTCCAGCCAAAATGTAACTCCATAATACCAGCCTAGTTCGGCAAGGGTGGAAACTGGACTTTTATAGTCGGTTAACTCTCTTGTCTCGGGAAGATGGTGAAAAGTCAGCTGCCAATCATAAGCACCTGTACATTTGAACATATAACAAACCTGAAAAAAAAATCACCTTTTCGTCTGGAGTGAGACCAGATCTAAATAAAACTATACCACTCTTATCAACTCTGTAAACTATGAACACACAATGCCATTTAGAAAGTGGTCAAATGTAATAAATGTTATATTTGGGATAACATTTTCGGAGTAATGTACAGATTCTCTTACTTTTTTGGGTTGAGTCCAGTCCGGGATTTGCACCCACTCTGCCAGATTTAGGCACCTAATCGCCAGCACACAAAGTCAGCGCTCTAACCCACTCAGCCACCAAGACTTCCACAAAAATGAAAGTCTGACAACTCATAGTCTAGATCAGGTACCTAGTGTACCCCTCTGGCGATTAGGTGCCTCACTGGCAGTGTAGGTTGGAATCCCGGATGGGACTCAACCCAAAAAAGTATGAGATTCTGTACTTTACACAGAAAGTATCCCAAATATAACATTTGTAATTCTGTTAACATTCTAGAAAGTCATACAAAAGAATTGCTTCTGAAAAAGATAACACTGCATTGTTTTATTGTATAACAAAGTATTGCAACTGATGCTTCTATAAAAAGAACATGCAAACCCAAGACAGATTCTCATGAAATATTCATTCTCCACGGTCATACTTTTCTGTAAACTGTCAACCCATAACATTATACCTAACATCTTCAAGGGGCCCTCAAAATTAGTTTCTTTTATCTAATGTTTGTTATATAAATGAATAATACCAATGAATACCATAATCTGGCAATTATACATATACATGTCATCTGATTTTCATATCTGACTTTGTAAACTGCATCACTGACTTTCCTCCCATGAGCTGAAGCAGGGGAGATAACTCACCAAGATCTTGTGACAGTTGATACTTTGAAGTTATTTTTATTGATGATACTGAACTGAGTTGTGATAACATCGATTATAAGTTTTATGTAATATTCAAAAATATTTTCTATCACATTTTAAGGAGTGAAACTGATGATGAAGATAAGCTGATAGTGATGCTGGTCTTGAATGTTTACCACTTGTTGAATGTTTACCACTTTGGTAAAAGACACAAGTATAGGTATACTGCTGTCAAAACAGGGATCATCATCGATGAATCAGTGAATCGAACCCATGGTCATCAAATCCTGGCATACCTAAGGGATGCAAATCTGTATATCTAATGTTGGCACTTTAGACAACTGGGCACCCTGAACCCCCATCTGTGATTGTACATTAGGGCTAGGACGAGTCCAAATTTACTACCTGGGTACCCGATCCCCTATTACCCGGCCCTACCCGGGTCTCAAGAGCTGGGAACAAAATGTCTGATTGGGAATTGTTCTGTCGCAGCCCTGGCCTAAACTATTTAGATACATGTATCAAACAATCAGTTTACTGAAGTTGACTGAAGCTTTATCTTTACTCAAACATATATACAAGTCAAAAGGAATGTGTACATCGTCAGAAAGAAATGCAAACATTAGCGACTTGTGGTGTAACCAATGAGTTTTTTATCAAACAATATATCACATGACTGACCATGGGTCCAGGTAGTCCTGTGAGTATCCGGGTCCTACTCAGGACCCACCCGACCCGAGTACCCAAGTTACCCGTCCCAGCCCTATTGTAAATAACCAGGTGATCTAACTGTACTTTGTAAGGAAAAGATTTATGGATGAACAACTTGTTTATTACAATTAGGAGCTACGTTTCGGTGTAGGTTCTAACACCGTTATCAAGCAAGTGATGCTCAGAGTATGGTTGACAAGTATATATACAGGTAGGAGACAGTGTTTATACAGTAGAGTAGATATCAGATGAAGTTACACTGGATTGGAGAAGTCTGTGTGTATGTAAAGGGCAGTAACTGCATGCTTTATTGGATTGCATTGTTTTTAAGTATTAGAATTTTTATATATTTTTTGAAAATGGAAATAAAAACGAAACGTGCGGAAGACTTTTTGATGATGCGGGCTCAGCCTGAGTACCAAAACTATTATTTTTTTTAGCCTATGTGAGTGAGATGTGTTACAATTATTCATGTGATAAGCGAGAAAACTATGAATGTTTCTTATGTGTCCGAACACATCCAATACGAGGATCCATATTTTCAGAGACTAAGCATTTAATTGGGACCACATCCAACCCATTCCCCAAGGGGGAGCACAAAGTTAGAAATCCCTGATATTTCTAAAATTCCAAACTTCCTGACCATTCCCAGAAAGAACAAAGAACTTCTGAGGTTCTGACAATGCCAAGGGAAACCATATACAAGTACTGTATTCAACGTAATAAGCGCCCCACTCTAATAAGCACCCACTGCGATATTTGCTAATGTATTGGCTAGTGAACAATCCCAATTAGCACCCCTTCCGATTGATCAATGTACACAAGACTTCTTTATTCGTGTATAATATGTGTGTTATATGCATCCTTAATTATGGGAAATTAAATTCTGTAAAAATATATCTGTCATACATAAACATTTCAGGCTGTCAGCATAAACCACGAAATTTACGGTCTTTCAACTCTGTTGTTTTTCACCAAAATAATATTCTAATAAGAGCCCCCTATTTCAAATTTTGAGAGTGCCCTAGGCGCTTATTATGTTGAAAATGGCATGCACCTTTAAGATTGATGAAAAATACCACTATATATATATAAATATAGAAATTACAAAAGGTAGAAATATAACTCAGTGCCTGAAGCACACCAAGTTCTTAATGTAAGTATCTTTCATTTTCGATAAAAATATGTTTGAGTTTCACAACATGACATACATAAGAAACTTTTCATAAACCCATGTAAGATAAATATTCAAAAACACAAGTCAGTTAAATATTCATTAACAAATGTCAGATACATATTCATAAACACAAGTTAGTTAAATATTCATTAACAAATGTCAGGTAAATATTCATAAAACATGTCACTTAAATATTCATTCACAGATGTCAGATAAACAAATCATAAACACAAGTCATTTCAATATTCAAAAACAAATATCCAGCAAGGTTTACTAGCAATATGTGAGTTATATGCACTTCAAATGGAACTGCATTATTACGCCTGAAATGGTTAGAATTATTTTTGGCTACATAAAACGTATTATTTCTTAATTAACATTTACATAGTAGACAGTTGAAGCCTTTTGTCTCGCACTCCTGGGGGGCGGTCGTGTTGCCTAGTGGTCAAATCGTTCGCTCGTCACGCCGAAAACCCGGGTTTGATTCCTGACATGGGTACAATGTGTGAAGCCCATTTCTGGTGTTCCCACCGTGATATTGCTGGAATATCGCTAAAAGCGGCGTAAAACCATACTCACTCACTCGCACTCCTGGGACCAGGGAAATAGTTTAACTTATCCGGGGTTCAACACATCCACCATGACCTCACTACTGTCTGACGTTACCATCATGGAGCAAACGCACCATATTGCGCATGTTATGTAAATAACATTTTATATAAGAAATAGAAACAGGAGCATTCTACATTTAATTTTATGCATCTAAATTATTTTTTTTCATATCACTGGTTTATCAATTTGGAGTTCGACTTATCAGGGACTACTGCTATAAAATGAGTTCGAGACTACCAGGAATTGAACGCATCCAGTTAGACACAGACAGGATTTCCTTAATGACACACTCGGCAATATTCCAGCTATATGATGGCGGTCTGTAAACAATCAAGTCTGGACCAGGCAGTCCAGTGATTGACATCATAAATATTGATCCATGCAATTGGGATGGATCGATGACATGCATCAACCACGTCAGTGAGTCTGACCACCCGATCCCGTTAGTCACCTTTTATGACAAGCATAGTCACTTTTTATAGCAAGAATGGGTTGCTAAAGACCTATTCCACCCCTGATCGTCACGGGCCGACCGAACTGTGAGCGTGACACAAGCAGAGATTCAACACATTTGAGTTCAAGACAATAGGGTTGGACAGTAGTTTCAAAACGTCATGACAACAGGCCTTCTCTTTTGTTTCTTATTTCTAATGTCAACACTGATTTCAAACATAGATCATCATCCTCTAAATATCTCATCAACCGACACTTATCATGACTAGTATCATCGATTTCAGATTTTAGTTTGCTGTTCATCTACATCTCCTAGCACTTCACTAAGCTTGACACATTTCCTTCCAGAATTTCATTAGTAATCGAACTGCCAACTTAAATAAACCTTGTAAAACACGTACCCAATTCTGTCACAACAGATTTGGAAGGAGCTCCTAATTCAGGTGTGAAAAACCAATTTAGTTAATGAAGTTAAATACCATTGCTGAAAAATACAATGTACCATCTCTAAAATATTTTTGATTGATAAATATGGTAACAGCCAACTTAAAAAGATAAAAACAACGGATGAAAGCTGAATTAACAATCACTCAGGTAATGTCATAATGATGAAGGAACAACACATCCATAAAGTATAATAAACATGAATATAACCAAATACAAAGCATTTTAGTGGACATTTAAAAATATTTTTCAAAATGTTATCGAAAACATTGTACAAATACATCATGGGAACTTTAAACACTACAAGTTTGTGTGAATTGGACTGGTATTACATAACAAAACAATTGTTTATTAATTTTGAATTATATGATCACTATTGGTGTAACGATATGGTGATACAGTACTGTCACGTGATACGTGGTCCACAATACAATACATCGATTTACGCCCCCTGCATCACGATACATGATACATTTCATTACAAGTTAACATACTGGTGTAAAAACCTGATTATAATAACCTACTGTTCAACCACCAGCTTATGCTGATTCTCTTGTATTTCATGGTTGGCTATAAATAGCATACCAATCACAGAGCCCTCTACTAATTTGTTTCTGCCCTACAATATCCCATCTTTGATTTCTGAAACAATTTACAGTCAAGTCTTGTTAATCCGACACTCGTTAATCCGACAATCGGCTTTATCGGACACTAATGATGGGAACCGATTAAATCAGTTTCAAAGTTGCAACTTCCATTCCAGATTATGCTTTTTAAAGTATTTTGAATCGGTCATATAGTCCGTAACAGTTGTTTTGTGTTAAACTTTAGAGGTTGCATGATTAGAAAACATATTCCGCTAACAATGTAACATAACAATATGAATATTTATTTTATATTTTTTATTACGTGTTTGAATCCTTATCTATCGTGTAGATGTCCAATTTTCGATCACGAACGTTGATACTACTAAATTTCGTTTATCCGACATACTCGTTAATCCGACATAATCATATGCAACCATCGATGTCGGATTAACGGGACTCGACTGTATTCAGGGTTGTGATTCACCTGCAAAAAGAAAGAATATTAACTGCATGGATATACCCATGAAGATCTGGGTTAGAATAGGTCTTCAGGAACCCATGCTTGACGTAAGAGACAACTAACTGGATCAGGAGGTCAGGCGTGTTGATCCAATTGCATGGGTCGATGCTCATGATGTCAATCACTGGATTGTCTGGTCCAGACTTGACTATTTACAGACCGCCGTCATAGCTGGAATATTGCTGAGTGCGGGGTGAGCAGGCAAGTATGGAGATACGAATTGCATCGCATGCATAGTATCGGCATACATATATCATGACCTCACGTATCGTTGCACCTCTAATGATCACAAATATCAAGCATCATGATTGCTTTTGGAAAAAAGAGAAACTGCACAAAATCAGAAATATATTTTAATATTTAGATATTGCCATTAAAATTATTCACCTTTTTTTTTTGTAAAATCCCTATTGATCAGTGTTGATAGAACCCATAAAATATCAAGTACCCTTGAATCAGAGATCAGAGGAAAAAATGTAGCTGAGCACGTGTTTGAGTTCATCGTCGATGTGAGGGTGCCAGATGTCAATCATCAAGACAGCTCGTATCCCTTCTTCCCTCGCTCCTTTGTGCATGACAGAGTGAGAGAAGGAATCATCAAACAGCACAACATCTCCTTCGGAGTATTTTCTTTCTTCCCCATTGACCATCAACATACAGCCGGGAGGGACCATGATGCCTGGAACATGGGGAACACATGTAGATTACATCACAGTTGCACATTGTAAGACATTATTCATTCACAGAGCAGTGGTGTAACATTAGTTTTGATAATCTAGATAATGGTATCTGGTGTTATGTGATGATAGCTGCATGCTGATTTGATTGAAAATGGATGAAGCTTATCATATATTCTCAACCTGCCCTATGAATTGTATTGAATTGTTTTACGTTGTATTCTGTCATCATGGTCATGATCTCATGGTTATCAAATTAAAAAGATGCAAAACTTTGTAAATACAATTCACACATTTTACAATACAAAATAAGTTAAACCTTTTTTGGAAACAGATTATCACTGTACTTGAAACGAGGGGATTAAAGCCTGGGACTCGTCAATTCACATAACATTTGTAATTTGCATAAATCACATCCATACTAAAACATTTTTAACAGGGTTTTAATGGAAACAAACTTTACACCCATGACACAGAGAAATTGAGCATGGAGGAAAACAATGTGCACTGCAAGTGTCTTGGGAGGCAAAGAGTAAAGATATCTGAATCTTTTAAACTATTTCAGTAGCAGCATGGACATCAGCATTAACTGCTATTCCTTTTCTGATAAGATAATAATCAAAGTTTGGACATGCCATGTCCAATTTTCTTGACTCAATCACTGAGTTGCATATCAACTAATTAATGTGTATACATTTCCCAAAGGAAACCGATGAAAAATAATTTGTTGAATAAACTAAGTACATTGTGTGAGATGCGATGAGTTTTCACATCTCGCTGTACACAAGTATGTGGCTGACTAAAAGGAATTCTGGGTAGGAATGCTCAGGACTCACAAATAAACAGATCCCTGCCTTAATAAACAAGTGAGAAAACAATTTACAAGTATATTATCAGATTATAGTTAGCTACCAGTTAGCATGGTTAGTTATCATGCTTTATAATCATTAAAATAGCATGTCCTTTGTTAATTGTGGTTATGGATTAGGCAAGTACATGTTTTGTTGACAACACCGACAGCAACCAAACCACTCAGGTTATCAGGTTATGATGATACAGTTGAAAATCTGTTTGATTGATATCATGAGCATCGACCCACGCAAATGGGATATGTTGACATGCAACCATGGCCACCAACTAAGTTACTGAGTACAACTATCTGATCAACTTAGTCACTTTACAACAAGCATAAGTTGCTTCTGGCCGATATTCTTACCCCTACCCCCCCCCCCCCCCCCCCCCAAGGCTAGTTGATAATAATGATAAAATATAGTATTGATGGTACAACTACATTCATGAAGTCACAAATACCAAGATGCCTGGCTGAGCATCAGGCCTAAATATACAAACCTATGTGGCACCGAAGTCTTATATTGGTGGGTCCATAATGTGGAGTGATAACAGTGCCAGGGACAATCACGGAAAATGCAACATTTCCAAATAGATTGTTCTTCATTAATAAGTGTGACAGTTTATGAACAGCATTCCATGTTTTAGGACACTGTTCTATTGCTTTTGTTGGTCTGCCTTGATCCATCAGGTGACAAATTGACCACATGCCATCAGGAGTAGAATTCACCTTCCATAATGATTGCACAGTATCTTCTGTGTTCGACTTCTTCATCAACTCAAAAAACTCCGCTTTAACATCATCTAAAACTTTGTCACTAAACTGCAGACCATGGAAGTCCTCAATTTCGTGTTCATCCCACCATGGCTTGGCCTCCAGGCCAGACATCTTGAAAACACCTGGCTTCTGATCTTCATCTTCCACTTGTGTAAATCTTTTATGCAAACTGTTTTCAACGTCCGTGCAAAGTTTTAATATATTGTTATCCCTCTCTTCGGCTTTCGGTTTGCCAGTATATGCCTGATATGACAGTCTGGTTCTTGCACGCACCAAAATCTCCTTATGAGTTCGGCATCTGACACAAGAGGGTGAATGGCACTTTTCAAAACCATCATCGTCGGTTCCAGAATTGCCTTTGAGATTATCTTGAATTTCTATGAGTCTTGTTTTGAAATAAAACTTCGACAGCATGAAGCATACGCATGTTATAGACAGCACCCAGATATTTTCACAAACCGTTTCATATACCCACTCCAACATGGTTAGAGCATCACTAGTGTATGTATTGGCAGACTCTCAGTACACAATGGCGATAGATCTACAGGTTGCACCGTTGTATGATAATATATCTATCAAAATCAGCTGAAAATATGTGCAATGTAAAGTTTAGCCAGTGCACATAAATTTAATTGAAGTTATTCAAAATTAGGCCATGCCAAAATTGTTCCATATGAAAACAGTGAAACAAATTCAGAGAAAAACAAATATCACCGATTGACATGACACATTTTTCTTCATTTTCTACCGGAACATACTAAGGGACGTAACTCTTATGGGAAACATTCAAAGAACGGATCAGTTGTTTGTCGAAAATGGAGTTCAGGGAAAAAACATCACTCTTTACCATGTAATGAACACAATGTGTGAATACATTTGAAAAAATAAAATCTACAGTACATGTTGCAATATTTTGAATGTCTTGACTTTGAATAAAAATGAAAGAATATGGAAGGCTCTCTTTTCAACCTCAACTCCTTTGCACCGCAATTCAACATATCTCTTGACATAGACATTTTATATCAAATCGCTCTTTGAAAAATTAGCACAAATAACTATATAGTCATACATATTTCAAATACATAATTTTCCATATTAAAATATGAACACATCAAGGTCTGAAGTTTTTGTCGGAATATTGTGTCTGCAAGGCTAAACCGAATCGCGAAATTATTTCCATATTGTTTAATCAGGGAGTTTATACCATATACAAAACACTAGAATAGCCTCCATTAATCGTTATCAGGTTAAGCCTCACGTCTGTAGCAACAGAACCGGGATAAACACTAAATATATTTATATAATAACTTGTGTATCATTCTGTGAACTATATGTTACATTAGTTACACACCATCTTAATCGATTTCAATGAATGTATCATTCATATCGAATCCATCATGTTGATCCCTTAATCCAGTCACAATATATTGATGATAAAGTCCATTTCGCCGCTGACTGACTGACTGATATAGGAGATTTAACGTGCGCTTTCCGACTGTAGCGTATTTCGCACACGGGCCTGGCCGGACCATTTAGTGTATTCCGAAAAGGGTGAAAGTGGTTTGTGCAACCCAAGAGGGGGCTTTTAGGGGTTGCTTATATTGAATTTTTGGAATTTTTAAATTTGGAATAAATGCCGAGGTGGGTGGAGGGGGGAACTAAGGGAGCCGGGTGAGGTGGGTGTTTGTATGTTTATTGGATTTTGGATTGGTAGATTAATGAGTTTTTAGATCCGCTTAATTAGATCTGTTTTGATTAGGAATACGCCTAGGGCCTTGAAGTTTTCTAGTTTATTTTGAGGGTTTAGTATTTCATCTAGAGTAGGAACCTTATTTAGATTGAGGGTGGTTTGTAGTGTGGTTCTGTGTGTTTGGTGGTGGGTGCAGTGGATGAGTGCGTGTTCTGTGGTTTCGGGTTGTTTGCAGTGGGGGCAGTTGCCTGTGGTGTGTCTTTTAAGTTTTTTAAGGTGGTTATTTAGGTTCGTGTGTCCTGTTTGGAGTTTTGTAATTATTCTGTCATTTTATTTAGAGGGCTGTAGGATTTTAGGTTTGGCTAGTGGTTTTCTAAGCACTTTTTTTATTTGGCTATTTGAGTTTTGATATTGATTATGCCATTTTTTGGTTATTTTTTTGTTTGTTTACACTTTTAATTTCTGATTTTGAGGTGGGTGGTTTCGCCGCAAATACCCTGCACTTATGTAGGGAATGCCAATGGGTGGAGGGCGTGGAGCAATAGTCTCTTTGTAAACATTCGAGAAAATTAATTGTATACATATTTGTTTTTTATGTAGTAGAAACTGTTGATAATTCTTTTCTCTCCTTAATTAATGATCGACAAATAAAACTCATCGCCAATGTCTGATAACATTGAGTGAGTGAGTTGGGGTTAACGCCGCTTTTAACAGTATTCCAGTGATATCACAATATAACGAATATTTGTACAAGTATCACTTGTCCCCAACTTGTATTTTCATGATTCAAATAAAAATGTTTTCTATAAATTAACAATGCTTTGAGTGGAAGCATAATGTATCTATCTTTTTGTGTTTGACGATTTCTTTTGTTTCAACAGAATATATATAACCACGATTAAAGGGGAAGTGTACACGCAAAAATCACTTTCTTTCTTTTTCTAAACAAAACGCAATTTTAGAATTAGTTAATATCTGTGTTTGAAAATGTAAACTCATTTTTTTCATAGTGAAAGTAGGAAGCTCACAATAGTGTGAAAATGATATGCCGTTATGAGGCCTTCGTTTTTCGAGCTAAACAGGCCTGAGTTATCCCCCTTAGATTATGACGTAATTGGTGCCAATTAAACTGGATCCCTGTCTATTCTCAACGCAAAAGATATCAAGTACCGGTTTTCGGTAAAACAACATGGCCTACGACACACTCCGGCGCAGTGGTGACTCAGCATAACACTATGCTGGCTGGCATCTGAGACGCTAGAATCACACACCTGTACCTACACCACGTGAAGCGGCTCTAACATAGCATGATGACGTCATAATGTTTATCAATTGGCACCAATGACGTCATATTGCAAGGGGCATAAGCCATGGTGTTTTTGTTATAAAAATAGAACACTTGGTAAATGTGAAAAATATAAATCGTTTTAATGCAAAACATATGTTAATTAATTGTGATATTTTTATATTTTTGTCTATGACACTACTAGGTTAACACTTTTAATGTGGAAAAAGTACAAGAAAAATAGGTTCATTTCCGTGTGAACTTGCCCTTTAAGATAGAACTTTTCTTCATCCTCAAATGGGCCTCATGAGCGCACCGACTCGCCGGAAACCAACGAGTTATCATATTTTTACGATTGGATTAATATTTCAGGAATAATTTATCTCAGAAATGAAAAAAACTGAAGGTATATTTCTAAGCAAATATTGGAGAAAGTCTACCTATTTTAAACGCATTTTACCTTCGCCGAATTATTGGTTTCCCATAGCAACAGAATATAACAACATGGCTGCCACCATGTTTACGCAAAAGTAGTTCCTAGTTTCATCCGCGGACACCTGCTTTTAGCCTAAATTTAATAATGAAGCTTCAAAATGAAATGTCGACATTTTCATTACAATAATCGGCACAAAATAGCAGGATTCAAATGTAAATTGTGATATAAAAATAACAGATTGAAAAGACGTATCTAGGTGTAGACGGATCTATTTTATATCTCGTATGAATATAGCATTACCGTCGTCAACGCTAGTGTTTATGAAATGTCCGGTAGAAGGCCTCAGTTCCCCAAAGAACATTCCAACATGAAATAACAATCGGTGACATGCATTTGTGAAACACGTAAACCGATAACTATGGATGACCCTCGAATCGAATGGATTCGTAATCGAGTGCATCAATCACTTGATATCAATGAAGTAGAAGTTTTCGAAGAACTATTGGAACGGGATGACGGCGAAATAGAAAGACAACTTGGAAAATTCTTGAACGACACTCCAGATGACAATGAGTCCTCGATCTTGTTTTACAAAATTGTTCGAGAGGAAGAGGAGGAAGTTGAAGTCGAATGCGGTATATACATTTATCTAAGAATATTTATTAACTCGTGTAGCAAAATTAATATAAAAAAAAAGAAGAGTTTTACCTCAATGATTAATGAAGCACTAGAATCTAGATCTTGTTATTCTGGTTCATTTGTTGTTGAGTCATAGTAAGAATACCTTTGAGAATCTGTACCAGGCGCGCCAAATGTATAAAAAAACATATTGTCAATCTTGTATGTTGTAACATGTGTCTTAGTTGTTGGATCAAAATTATCCAAACTGATACAAAAGTTTTGCTACATTTTCTGTTGTCATATAAATTTCATCATTAAGACTATTTGATCAGAGACATGACCTGCATATGTAAGTCTCCCCCAAACACCTGTTTATTATATCGCCTAGCTGGTCCTGTCTTAATGCAATTTAGGAAATCAACCCTAATTGTTTTTCTTTTAGCAAATGAATAAACTGTCCCTGATACCATACCTTTGTATGAATCGGGTAACTATCTTGTAACAGCCAATGATGCTTACAGGCAGCTGACACAACTCCTCATTACGGTCTAGAGATCCTTCATTAATAATATTATACATAACGCAATGACCGAGAGTAATATAACAAGATTGTGTGTTGACGGACATGTTGAATGTTTTGACATGTTTCAACTACTAAGGAAATGAGCATGTTTCCATCCGTATCCTCTCCCCCCCCCCCCAAAAAAGGAACCTTTTCATTTATTGGACAAGTTGCATGATCGCAAATATAGAATTGATAAATTTAGTGTAAAAGTCTCAATTTGTCAATAATATCAGTTTTCTTTTTCATTATCTATCGAGAATCTTGTTTTGAAGTGTTTGCTGTTAGAAAACATGTCATTTTATAATTGTCACTAACATGTTTAACTGAGTATCATTAATGTGATTCAGAGCCGGAGATTCCCGACATTCAGCAGGAGGAGGAAGGTGGGGAGGGGGAGGGGGATACTGCAGCTGGGGAGGAGGATCCTGCAGCAGAACAAGCTCTTCCAGTCTCCACCCCCACAGGCACAGAGAGGGAGGAGGAAACACCCAGCAGAAAAGGTCAATACTAATGATAATAATAACAATGGTTGATTGTTTCTCATCTCTCGTCCTAAATGACTGTCTCACTGAAAAAAAAAGAGGAAAAAGTTTGATTAATATCTATCCATTTGCCAGCCAAAATATACTCATAATGTCCTGGACAAAAATTAACAAATTTCCCATATTATGAAAATATTTTGCAATCGGTGATATAATGTAGGGCAAGGTTCCATGCCACTGGGATAGGATGACATGCACTGAGCCAAAATACCAACCCACCAGATGAATTAGGTGGTTGAAAGTGACCTGACAGTTTGGATAGTAATCAGTAGATAGTTTGGATAGTAGATCAATCACTGGTTTGTCTGACTCAACTACTTCCATCTTCTTTTGGTTAGAATGTAGACATACTGTAAATCTTGATCGTGACGGTGAATTAAATGCGAAAAATGCAAGTGGTCTTTGCTCGCATTATTACACATCGCATTTATATCAACAATAAGACATGTTGGATAGCAGAAATACCAACTTAGACATACTCTGAAAACAAACAACTATGAATTCCACATCACTGTTTATTGAGCAGCACTTGTTACAAGTATATAAACAATTTCATTCAAACACTAATTACATCCTGTGAATTGTCACTGCTGGGGTCAAGACAAGCGTTCTACTCACTCATGTCATCACTGATCACACCTGCAAGTCCAGACAGACGCCACCCAACACAGTGTCTTTGCTCTTTGCGACTGCATCAAAGGCCGACACGAGCCAGCGCGCACATATTGTTTTAGCTGAAGTACTCTACTCAGCGCTAATAAGCGGTGCTATTTGGTGTGTGATTGGATTAATGTAAGGTTGGATTAAGGTGAGGATTCTCCTGTAAACCTGACAGAGGACATTTTGTTAAGATATAAATCCACTGATGCTTGAGAGGAGGGGGTGTCGCATTCATATTGAGTCGCCTTTTAGGCTAGGGACCAGCGGTCGCATTCTTTTGGAGACGCATTAATTTCACGTTTTACAGTATATTGCTATGTGCACTGTTAAATAAGAAACAACAAACAGATTAATAAATAGTATCTTTGCATGTTGCAAATCAAGTTTGCATATGAGATACCTGTTCAGACATGGCAGCATTCTGAAATAATGTTGAATATTATTAGAAACAGTCATAAGGAATGATGTTTTTACTTCAGGTAAGAAGAAACGTAAAGGAAAAGAAACACCCTCATCTGAGTTGGAGGCTGACACTCCACGAGAATCCGAGCCTGAAGCCAAACCTGAGGCTGATCCTGCTACAGAGGAAGGACAGGGAGAAGATGGAGAAGAACTTGTTGTTCAGAGGACAGTTAGTACAGATTAGTTCAAATCATTAATGACATATGTTGAATTGGGGATACAAATAGTCTACTAACATATGTACACATCAATTGCAATGTCCCCCCCAAAATTTGAAAGTTCTGGTCCTTATAACCCTAAAGTTAACAGAGGGGTCCCTTGATTCAAATATTATAGCTGCAAACCTCAAGGATCCCGGGGCACTCGGATAGCCTAGTGGTTAAAGCATTCGCTCATCACGCCGAAGACCTGGGTTTCGCTTCCGACATGGGTATAATGTGTGAAGCCCATTTCTGGAGTCTCCCGCCATGATATTGCTGGCATATATCTAAAAGCGGTGTAAAACCATACTCACTCAGCCAAGGATCCCAAGGCCCCTCTTTTTTATAAAGAAATGAACTGGTATAACACCACACTCAACCATTGTTTGCTTTGATTCACAGAAGATCATCATTCAGAAGGTATGGCGGACGTACTTGTACATGTGCTACCAGCACCTTCCTGAGAAAGTCGCAGACCAGGATAGTGTCTACTTCCTGCGTAACACCGCCGGCATGGTGCCACTACCAAACACACTGGACGAAGCCAATGAGATGCTGCCGGGATACTTTGAGTTCGGTCTACTTAATGGTCATTCACTTGTCATGTTGGAGCAAATCATCACGCAGGTAACAGGCCACTAGTTTTTAATTGTTGTTTGGTTGTTTAATGCCACACTCAACAATATTCCAGCTATATGACATTGGTCAGTAAGTAATCAAGTCTGGTCCAGACAAACAAATGAATGACATTAGTTTGTTTTTCTGCTGTAATATGTGTGCAATGAATTATTTAATATTTAAATGATGATGGGTTTTTTATCAGTTCATATTCTTGGACACTGACACAAAGTTCTAAGTATTCCTTTCAATATTGGTATTAGTAATGACAAGCGCCCTACACTTTCAGGTTTATATGCCTCTCCTCTCCTACAACCAACACAAAAATGGAGATAGTCGATCAGGGGCTAAGATGTCTGACCAGAGGTCAATGAGTCGGCAGGACACTGAGGTCAGCCAGTCAGAAGGTGGCGACGAGGAAAAGGATGAAAAAGAGGTCAACGTTGCTGAAACACGAGCTAGGGCACTTCTGAGAGATGAGTTCCTGATATCAATGCAGAAATTTGCTTCCAGCATCAGCCGCACCTTACAACAGATTGAAGGGGAGGTGCGCCTCGAGGTACCTGATGTCGTGATCCCGGAGAATATCGAGGAGATCACCAGCAATCAGGAATTGCTACAGCTTGTACAGGATAAATGCGATGAGTGGGCTAAGCAGGTCCAAACAGCCCTGGAACAACAACTAAGGAAAACCCCTCTTGGGAAAGGGCCCCTCGCTGAGATCGACTTCTGGCGAGAACGAAACGCAGCTCTTAGCGCTTTGACCGAACAGTTGAAAATTTCGACAGTTCGTCAAATGTTGGACATGTATATACAGATTGACTTAGATTTCGAGGACCCAAGGACGGGGTTGAACAAGTATTATGTGGAAGCGAAAGACAATGTTCGTTTTCTGTCCACTCTTGAAAGACATTTCAAGAATATTGCTCATGGTGCTACCTTCCAGATAGTCATTGAGACGATTCCGTCTATGATGAATGCGTTACGCATGGTGTGGATCATCTCACGGCATTACAACAAAGACGAGAGGATGGTTCCTCTGATGGAGAGGATTGCCTTGGAGCTGGCAGACCGGGTGGCTAAAGTTATCGACATCCGGACCTTATACAGGTACAGTTTAGATTATACTTCGTTTAAATTATTCGCTTGTTTCGGAAATATTCAATAGGGGTTAAGGTCTTTTTAAGGCAGCAGTATGTCACTTCAGTTAATAAATAATCTACTCTGGGCCAGACAAACCAGTGGTTGATAGCATGAGCAGGGGACCTACACTTCCAGGTCAAGATGACACACAGTAAACACTTTAACCTCTAGATCCTCATTTCAACCCGCCTTTATGACAAGGGGCATGGAGTAGCCTTGTGGTTAAAGCATTCACTCGTCACACCGAAGACCCGGGTTAAATTCCCATTTCTGGTGTCCCCTGCCATGATTATGCTGGAATATTGCTAAAAGCAGCGTAAAATCAAACTCACATACTCACTGGAATCACTGATACAACCTGATTATAATCGACCCATGAGGATCCAGGTTAGAATAGGTCTTCAGCAACCCATGCTTGCCCTAAAAGGTGACTATGCTTGTTGTAAGAGGCGACTAACAGGATTGGTGGTGAGGCTTTCTGACGTGGTTGATGCATGTCATCGTATCCCAATTGCGTGGATTGATGCTGATGATGTCAACCATGGATTATGTTGTGTGGTCCAGACTCAATTATTTACAGACCGTCATCATATAGTTTGAATATTGCTGAGTGCTTCGGTAAACAACAAACAAACAAACAAGATTATAATCCTTGGTTTGTTGGCATCATCTCCAGGCTCATGGGTTTTACCAGAGTGGTAATTGTCTGAAACCTGCTCCACTTCAGGCTTTCCTCACACATGAAACTGATACCCCTGAGTGAAACTGGCTTTAAACTCAAATTGCTCATTCACTGTAGAGTTGCTTCCCTTTGTTGCTTTCCTGTCTTAGCCTTATATATATTGTTTAACAATGTTTAAGATCATCAACCTTTCTAGTCCATATACCCCCATCTTCCCGAGCCAAGAGAGTTAACTGACTTTAAAAGTCCAGTTTCCACCCTTGCCGAACTAGACTGGAATTACGGGGCTCCATCGTAGTGCCACCAGTGGCTATTACCAGCTATGTCCCTTCTAAGCCTCTCCTGTGGACTAATCAGATTCCACCTCTCGTATCACTTTTGCTTCACACAGAATGGTGGCACCCAGTCAGGACGATCTGATCGATAATCAAGATCTATATTGTGATAAAACAGGTCTTACATCGTGAAATGCATCAAATCACATGAGCACCTTGATTAAAAACATGAAAAGATTTGGAAAATATTTGCTGACAACGAGTTGGCGGTGCACATGCTTTGCAAATCCTGCAATCGACCGAAATCTGCACGGCAGTTCACGAACCGGATTTCAACTTCGGTGCGCGATTTTGATTGGACTATGCATAGACTCGTTAGCCCAGCCAAAATGTAACTCCATAATACCAGCCTCGTTCGGCAAGGGTGGAAACTGGACATTTATCGTCAGTTAACTCACTTGCAACAGGAAGATGATATACCCCATGGGAACTCTTATTTAGAATAGGTCACCATCAACCTATGCTGTTTGTAAAAAGGGGGCACGGGTGGCCAGAAACCTATGATTGCGGGTTCGAATCCCAGTTCACCCCGATGATGTTTCTAGGTTTGTCAGCACCATACGCGTGCTCGTGTGTTTCACCGAAGTGGTAAACGTCTAAGACCTGCATCATTTCGGGCTTTCCTCCCACATTAAGCTGACACGCAGTGATATAACTGGAATACTGTTAAAAGCCGAGTTAAACACAACTCACTCACTCATGCCAGGATCTACTGCTTACCTGCTTTCGTCCCACATTGAGCTGATATGCTGTGACACGACGGAAATATTTTTCAAAGCACATTTAATCCATCGCACAATGTAACTGTCTATTCTTTCTGATAATAAACCTTAGTTACATGCTTCTTTATGATCGAAATTGGTTTTCCAGAAATGGCACTGAGGAGGTAAAACAGAAGACAGAGGAAGCAAAGAAAATGTTGATAGTCTGGAAGGATTCTTACTTTGAAGTGCGGGCAAAGATTGAGCAGTCTGGGCGGGACCAGAGATGGGAGTTTGATCGGAAGCGACTGTTTGATCGGACAGAGTACATGGCCGGAATATGCCAGGACCTGTACAACGTGGCCCAGGTGAGTTCTGGATTTACTCTTCAAACTTTTCTGATGAATACAGATGTATCATACTTAGAGAACAATATTTGGCCCTATATCTGCAGTAAACATCTGTGAGATTCTTAAAAGGAAAATATACATTCTCTAACTCATATTAATATGGTTTGATTTAATGTGATGGCTTAGCTAAGGTCACAGAGAACAGGATTAATAAAGAGGATGCATAGTAAACATTAATCCATTGAATGCAATGTTAAAATGCATTGTGAAAGGATCTCTGAATTAAGATATTTAGAAGTATTAAGACATCCTAATATTATATACCTGTCAAGGGCACCTGAGTTTCATCCCTAGATATATATCTGTGGGATTTAAAATTCAGGCAACTGGTTTGGAACCCGAGTCTAGTTGAATGTCATTTGGTCTAGTAAACTCAGCTGGCACTAGTTCATACAATAACAACCCGGGGTGGAATAGGTCTTCAGCAACCAATGCTTGCAGTAAAAGGCGACTATACTTGTCTTAGGAGGTGACTAAAGAGTGAGTCCATTGAATTTTCGCATCCTCATTGCCAATCTTACCCAGGGTAATCTATCGACATTTATGTGGCAGTGAATTATTGACTTTGTATTGATATTCATAAATTTGAATTGATACAACATAGACATTTACTACTATATCTACATCACGACACATGCTTGCCTTAAAAGGTGACTATGCTTGTCGTGAGTGGCGACAAACGGGATCGGGTGGTCATCGATCCCAATTGCGTGGATCAATGCTCATAATATTAATCACTGGATTGTCTGGTCTAGACTTGATTATTTACAGACTGCCGCCATATAGCTGCAATATTGCGGCGCTAAACAACAAACCAACATTATACAATAACACTATTGTCAGGAGAAAACGATGCTAAGAAGCACGTTCAAACTGGTAGATTCCAAAGTGTTTGGGACAGATTGAAAATTAAAACTAAATCATGTTAATTGTCATTTTATACTCTTTGGTTGAAAATGTGGCAACCATATTCCAAACAAAAAGCTAAAACACTAACCTGAGTCTTGATGTCACTGTAATGTGAAAGTCAATGTAATAACTCCACTCAAAAGTCACTATGATAGGAGTTTATTATAGATTTGTTGTTGTTCTATTTGGTAGTTGCAAAATTATCTGCATAGCTACATTTGTGTATATGTCTATTTTTGGTGCGCAGGTCCTGGAGGAATTCTACAACATCTTTGGTCCTGAGTTGAAGGCTGTCACTGGGGACCCCAAAAGGATTGAAGATGTGCTTACCAGAGTTGATGCCCTTGTCACACCACTCGAGGAGGTAACACCCTTTTGATCTTCCTGATGCAATCCAATGCTTCAACATTTATGCATTTGGCCTCATTTATTCAATTATTTTGTTCACTGATCATGTTGGACAAAATAAAAAATAAAAATAAAATTTCAAATATTTCCTTAAATTGATACTTCATAAGTATTAAAGTGTCAGGATGTCGATTGTTCTGAAGCATTGTTTGCGAACAATAACTGATAACCCACGAGCTTACTTCGCTCAGCTTGCCTTATTCAGCAAGAGAAGTTTCTGCTCCAGTGACCACTGCGTGAGTAGGCTCATAAGCAGGTCAGGAAAGGCTTCCGATGAGAATCCCCCTGCCTGGCTGCTGCAACATGGGTGACTTCATATGGCTGAGAGATTTATATTGCAATCAAGGTTTTGATAAACACTGACTTCTAATCCAATCAAGCTGTCAATAAAGATTTTGAAACTCGTTTGTAAGGAAAACACACTAGCTTTCTCTTCAATTTGCCTCTTATATATTAAAACATTAGTTTATTCTGCGCAGGGCTTGGGTTGTCAGCTTCGCTGTGCGGAGCACTATTGTTTCAGCTTGAGAATAGAATCGTGCATGAACTGTTGGTGTAACGTCACACTCGATAGTAATTTTATGCTTGATGTTATAACACTCAGAACTGTCGATGTCCTGGCCCTTTGAGGGTTGGGAAACTAAAGAAATAACAATTAATGTAAAAATGTTTTGGGGATTTGAAAAAACAAAGGGTGATGTCACTCCTCCTATTTGCCTATTTTCCTAGTTTCTTTTCATCAATGAAATTGGTTTGTAGATTTGGCAGTTAAAAAAGTTTTTATCGGTTTTGTTGGTGTTAAGTGATAGATTTGCTGTTTGGAAAAAAGTTCTCTTGCATGGTCCAAAGGGTAGAGAAAGTGGCACTGAGCCACTCAATTTGGGAGATTCAAGGGGAGATAATTTTACAATTTTGTTTCAAAGTTGTCTCCCTTGAAGACTTTTTTTTAGAAATTGTTTACAACATGTTGTGATGACAGAATATGTTTGTTTTGATTAAGTTTTATGGAATTTCAATGTCGATTTTCAGGTGACCTTTGACCCCTTCAGTCAACAAGACCAGAAGCACTGGAAACGGGTGATGGAGTCCTTCAACAAGGAGGTCCTCGCTATCGAGGGAGAAGCCAAGATGTTCATTGATGAATCTTTCCAATCACTTCGATCTGCTGAAGGAGCTTTTGACATGTTGCTCAACTTCAAACACATCAGGTCACGAGAGGCCATTAACAACCAGATGATGCAGAAGTTCACTGACATTTTGTCCCAGTATACCAAGGAGGTGATGGTCTTTGCCAGCTTGTTTTTATATGATAAAGAGTAGGTAGGGGTGTCGTTGATGAGAAAATACAGTATCATACATGTGATACCTTCCGATCTGTCCGGGAGGCTCCCGGATTACCGACCCTTATCACGGTCTCCCCTGGGGGCCCCTTTGACCTGGATGGGCCTTTGATGAGTAATCAACTGGTAATTAAATCCATTCGACGAACAATCTAACAATATAAAGTGTAAAGAAAACGTGGATAGTTGCAACGGCTAGGTGCCTGAAGGGTTGAACTTGAAATGGATCATCAGCCAGGTGCTTATCACTTCCTGTTGTCAGCGTGTTTATTTCTACATTATTTTACCAGTGAAGACTCCGGGGTAGAATTGGTCTTCAGCAACCCATGCTTGCCGTAAAAGGCGACTATGCTTGTCATAAAAGGCGACTAATGGGATCGGGTGGTCAGGCTCGCTGACTTGGTTGATGCATGTCCTCGATCCCAATAGCGTGGATCAATGCTCATGATATCAATCACTGGATTGTCTTGTCCGGACTCGATTATTTACAGACCGATGTCATATAGCTGGAATATTGCTGAGTGCGGCGTTAAACAACAAACAAACAACCAACCAACCTGCATTATTTGAAATAAACTTAGATACAAATGCTGGCCCAGTTTTACATGGTTATCAGATTTATTAGAAACTATGCTAAAACGTCACTCTATCGCAATGTTACGCCGTTAAACTTTCGGAAAAAAAAAAATACAACCATCAAGTGCTGTCTCCAGAAATAACACTGAACATGGTTGATTTGGTTATTCAAATAGTGCGTTACACGATCAGGGTTCCTCATAGGGTGTAAAAGTTAAGTAAACCTCATGTTAATTTGCCTTATAGCTGACATCGTGACTCGTTTGAACAGAAATCTCAACACATCAAACTTTGTCAGATTTGGCGAGAATGTATCATGTTATTATATTACGCAAATTGATTAGCTAATAGTTAGCTTGCTTCCCAGATCGGAAATCTAGTTTGCATACGACGCTGTTAGTCAACCTTGAAGATTTATACACCTCCAGGTCAAAAATGTCTTTAGCACGTGGTCCTATACACAGCGCACAGGTCTCAAGTCAGGTGAAGTTAAGCAATGTCGGTTGCGGAGAGTCACGGATGGGTGACCGTGTTTCGGCAGCTTGGCTCCTGAGAGTTTCTAGGGCTTAAGTCCTGCCCCACACTGAAGCACACGTAACACATGTGGTGTCTCTTTGGGCAAGTGACTTTGTTTGAAATATGCCTCTGTTATTACCCATTTAGACCTGCTATTAATCAAATTATGCTAAATATGAAACCGGCTGATCAATTAATACAGTAAACTACGGTTATAACGAACATGCTTATATCGAACTGACGTATATAACGAACTTACTTTTTAGTCCGGGGCGGTCGGGTAGCCTAGTGGTTAAAGCATTAGCTCGTCACGCCGAAGACCTGGGTTTGATTCCCGACATGGGTATAATGTGTGAAGCCCATTTCTGGTGTCCCCCGCCGTGATATTGCTGGAATATTGCTAAAAGCGGCGTAAAACCTCACTCACTCACTCACTACTTTTTAGTCCCGACTATTTGCTGTAGTTATGCTGTATATATGCTTATAACGAACTATGGTTATAGCGCACGAAAAAATAGTAGTCCCTTTGAGTTCGTTATAACCGTAGTTTACTGTATTGTATATAACTGAATTTCTTTTGCTGAGTTGGGCATAAACAACAAACAAACTATCACTTGAGAAGGGCTGAATATTACCATGTCATCTTGTTTACAAGAAATAAAAAATACATGTAATTTTACAGCAAAAATGACCAATCCAGAACACTGAAAATAAAACGTTTGTTGTATTTTCAGGTAGAGATAATGAACAGCCTGTTCAGGAACTACAATGAGAGTCCGCCTCTACACAAGAACAATCCCCCTGTGTCCGGCTCCATCTTCTGGGAACGCTCACTCTTCCATCGCATCAAACACACAGTCATCCGCTTCCAGTCCATGGAAGACATAATGTCATCAGAGAGGGGGAAGGCGGTAAGTTAGGTGTCTGGCATGCTGCAGGCTATTCCTGGGAAGGTCAGGGGTAGAAATGGTCTTTAGCAACCCGTGCTTGTCATAAGAGGCGACTAACAGGACTACCAAATTGTGCTGAGGACAAGAGAAAATACAGATGAGGTAGCATTTGAGGGCTTTAATTCTGACCCGACAGTGCAGATTTTTTATATTTTTCTTTATTTCTTTAAAATGTGAAGTAGGTTTGCAATAAGGAAATGTTGAGGCATGAGGAATAGGGAAAGAAACAAGTTGAGAGTTACCTCCCTTCTATTAAAGACGCTGATCTGTTACGAACCGTCAAAATTCCTTGTGTTTTGAAGCTTTTGAGATAAATTGTCAACAGGTTTTGATTATATTTATTTAACTAATTTATTATCTTGATAGGGACAGTAAATGCTGTTTTATTTTTTAACATTTTACTTAGTTTTGCAAAAAAAGTCTTGCCTTATGCATATCATTATATGGCTATGTCGTCAGATGCTATAGAGATGTAAAACCGTTCTCTCTCCTCTTCATAACTCCAGTCCCGAGCCAACTACCTGCGTGTAGGCAAACAGATGAAAACTTACGAGGACCAGAAGTATGAGATGTGGCGAGAGACGGTGGAGCAGGTGCTGCCATCGCTGCTGAAACGGAATCTGCTGGTGAAACCATCCCATCTACAGAGTCATCAGCTTCATCTACAGCATCAGCTGCAGCTTCAACAGCAGGCTGTTCAACAACAGCAGGCTGTTCAACAACAGCAGGCTGTACAACAACAGCAACAACAACAGCAGCAGCAACATCATGGTGCTGGTGATGAAGCTGGGGAAGATGCAACAGGTTAGTGATGGGTTTTTAAAAATTTTCTTTTATATTTATCAACCCCTTTGGTCATGGACAGTTGGAAAAAGAATGGTCAGTGATTATATGACATGATTCAGGGTTTACAAGAAATAAGATGTACACATGTTCAATGTCTTCAAATGAAATGTTTGTTGGTTTTGTAATTGTCATCATGAGTTGTTTATTTTTAAGGTTTTGATATCTGATACCAATATTACGTGTTAAATATTTTTGACTCTCTTGCTCAAACACATCAATTCTAGCATATTTCATATCATTGTAGCATGATATTCCTTAAGCTCTATGAATTTTCACTCAATTTTTCTGTTCATGTCTTCCACAAATCATTTGCAAAATGCTATAGTCCTACATTATAAGTTACATTGATGTTAAATTTCACTCATAAGCACAGCGGTTTTGGCATGATACATGCTTGTTTTAAAAATAATCTGAAGTATGCTTCCGTATTGCCTGTTATGAAGTATTTCTCACATCTAAAGCTTGGTCACTTGGTCACTTGTCACTTGTCACATATGTATTCTGTGCTTGTCCAGTGGTGCAGTCAGAATTGACCGAAACAATAGCACAAACGCAGGATCAAGATGGTATGTCAAGGGTTTGGCGTGATGTGTGCACGTGGTGGCAATGTTTTTCTTGTATTTTTTAGTCTTGATCTAACTGGATCATGGTGTTATTTTCACTGCATGGGGCACTTGTGTTTTTAGTTACACAGTGAAAATCGAACTGCAAAAACGTCACAATTCAAAAGTGGGTCAACATATGTGTTTTGAAGCAATTCTCATGGACAGACACCAGGTCCCACTTGCACAAAGCAATCTTAGCGCTAAGATGATCATAACTCCCATACTTTAACATAGGCTTAAGATAATCTTGACCTTAAAATGGCTTTGTGCAAGTGGGCCCAGCACCTCCTTTTGAACACTGACTGGTCTTAAAGAGGCTTTTAATGTGGCGCTGGCTGCTTTGTGCGAGTGCTAAATAGTTTTCCGAATCATTGCACTTAAAAGTTATCAAGCCTCAGCCATTCATTCCTTGCCAGATGTTATACAAGGATACTTGACTCATTTTTGAATTGTGATGCAAGCAGTCTCTCAGTGTGTCTTAAATGATTTATGTACAGATGTATGTCATTCTCATTCAAATTACATTTGTTACTCCGATCTTTCCATCAAGATCTGACAAGCCCCGTGTCAGGTGAGCTTTCTAATAAGCAATCAGCGTGAAGGCTTCTAAGTCCTCAGCACTATTCAGAGCAACATTTCGGAATCTTAAAATGAACTTAAACAGGCAGTTCTGAATGGAGAAAAATATATAGGCTGTTGTGATGTGAATATTTCACACCCTGAATTTCAAAATTGAGTTTCCGAAACAAATGAGATTTTAAACAACCAGTTTGGCAATGAAGTCTTTTTAGAAAACTGACACTGATTGGCTGAGTTAATCAATCTCTTTCACAAGTCACTGAGGGTTCATCTGATGCGACAACCTATTTAGGGTTTGTCAGATCTTGATAAGGAGAGGCATCACCTCGGATTAAAAGCTGAATTTAATGAGATCGAGATGCATGTCCAAGGGGCAGCAAACAATCACATTCACTTTTGCAAATATATTCTATATACAATAAAGAAATATTTTCTGTGTCAAGTGTTTATATTAAGGCTAGGGAGATATGGATGAGGTTTGGATCCTTGAGTATTTTTATCAAGAGACTTTCATCATTAAAAGGCCATATTGAATTACAAATGTAGTTCTAACATTTTTATTTATTTTCAATTTTTGTATACGAATTGTCAAGGCATCTGTCTATGGATGTGATTTATATGAAACATGAATGTGGTTAGGCTTATTATGTATGGTCAGACAGACAGACAGAAGTTTATTCAATATTTTAGGCCATATGACCTATAGTACAGAAGTGTTTTTTTTTGTATCAACATTGTACAGTCACGTGAAGGTAATAATAAGTTTACATAAAATATTAACGTCTAATTTCAAAAATCTTCTTCAGGAATATTGACAGAGATGATATTGTATTAGCATTGCGGGAGTTCAACAAATTTTTCATCAGTTGTTCATCTTTGTACATAGTTGATATCATAGGGAGGTATCTATTTCTAAGAAACTGATAATATTTACAAATGAGAAGTACATGAAACTCATCCTCAACATAGCCTTCATTACAATAACGGCATAAACTACTTTCTTTATCTTGTACATTTTTCTTTCTGAGATTATTAACGTTAAAATTATGTAATGATATACGTAATTTACACAAAGATCTTCTCAAAGTTCTATCCTGAAGTACAGATACATATTTTTCAGGAACAAGTAATTATTTTATATTCGTATAATGGCATAAAAACCTTGAGGATGATATTTGACAGTGCCAATCTAGTGAAAATATATCAAGTAATCTTTCCTTAAGCATGAAGATAAATAATTTATCATTTCCAACATCTTGAGATATCCATGCAAGAAAAAAACCAGACATACAAAGAATATTCCTGATATCAGACACCCATAAACAATATTTAAATTATGTATGGTGTATTTCACACAGGATGAAGGGAAGACACATAGCAAGTTTCTTTAGCTGTAGGTACATCATTACATGGACCTGTGAAGATCCGGGGTAGAATAGGTCTTCAGCAACCCATGCTTGCCGTAAAAGGCCACTATGCTTGTCGTAAGAGGCGACTAATGGGATCGGGTGGTTAGGCTCGCTGACTTGGTTGATGCATGTCATCGATCCCAATTGTGTAGATATATGCTCATGATATCAATCACAGGATTGTCTGGTCCAGACTGGATGATGGACAGACCACCTTCATATAGCTGGAACATTGCTGAGTGCCGCATTCAACAACAAACAAACAAACTGTCAGAACAGCTGCACATTGAAAACAATTGGTCACCATACACTCCGCCGTCATATAGCTGGAATATTGCTGAGTTCGGCGTAAAACAACAAACCAAGCAAGCAACATCATTACATGGGGAGAATAAAATGATGCGAGGTGGGATGCTTGGTACTGATGCTAGTGGAGATGAAAATGGGATAATATATTATGGCCTAATGTGTTAAATTAATTGAATAGCTTGAAGTCTAGTTCAACTCTTCAAACACCAATGTATGGATTTTCATGTTTTAACTTTGTGCAAAAAGAATGATTCTCATGTATGTTTTTTTTAGAAGTGATATTTTTATGTATTTTCTCTTACTAATTTTGGCGAACATGGTTTATTTTAACAATGGTCATGGGCAGAATGGAAACTCAGTTATGTCAAGTTATTACGAAATTATTAATAATTCCAAATGGTTGTCAGTATAGTGGTGATATGTGATGTTTTGTATGCAGCTCTGGATGTAGTTACGTAGTTTAGAAGTTTCAGCTGTGTAGATCCTGTAGTCGGGTGTTTGTTCCATGTTGTGCTGTGTTCATACAATACTTCATCATCTGTCACACTGTCCTTCATCATATCAGCATCAGCGGTTAAAGCGTTCGCTCGTGATACCGAAGACCCGAGTTTGATTCCCAACATGGGTACAATGTGTGAAGACCATTTCTGGTGTCCCCCGCCGTGATATTGCTGGAATATTGCTAAAAGTGGCGTAAAGCTATACTCACTGATGTGAAACATTTATCATAATATCAATCACAGGTTTGTATATTCTAGAGTCATCTTTTTCAGGACATTGTCATTCATCTGGAATATTGCTGAGTGAGGCATTAAACCATAATGTTTTGGTGTCTTTGTTCTTGGGAATCATGTCTGTAAAGTTTTCACTTTTGGGGGGCATAATTTCACATAAACAAAACATGTGAACAGAATTTATAGTTCAACAAAAGATTTGTGAATTTGGTATCCTAATTCTGAATGATCAGGGGCGGTCGGGTAGCCTAGTGGTTAAAGCGTTCGCTCGTCACGTCGAAGACCCGGGTTCGATTCCCGACATGGGTACAATGTGTGAAGCCCATTTCTGGTGTCCCCCGCCGTGATATTGCTGGAATATTGTTAGCGTAAAGCAGCGTAAAACCATACTCACTCACTCACTCTGAATGATCACAACCCCATGTTATTGATGTCTTGTTTATTTGTTGTCAAACAGTTGTGTCGGTGTTAGTTCCCTGAGTGTCAACAACCCCAATGACGGTGTTAGAATATGTAGAGATAGTGTATGTAAAACAAAATGATTAAAAAATCAAAATAAGTAAATTTAGTTCTATTATACAGCAACAGACTATATGAAACGTACATTCATTCAAACAGAATGGCACTTTCAACATCCTAATATTTTTATCACTCTGAAGAAACATTTCTCCCCTGCAGACAAGCTGTCAGCCTTTAGCCTAAAATACACTTACTACTGTAAAACATTGTCAAGACAAGAGTACACATGCAAAGGCAAGCCAGGATAAGCTCTAGCATTTTTGCTAACATTCATTCATAACATATTAAAGCTTCCAGGAAAGCTTTTTGAATAACTTTCATTCCCATGTTAAACTGTAGAGTATCAGTAGTACTCATAACCAATAGTCAGTATTATAGTACGCCAAACAGTAAGACTAACTGTTGCAGTCTCCTCTGTACCTCAGCATGCCTCCAGCTAGGGGCACGGGTGGCCCAGTCGTCTAAGGCGCCGCGATTCGCTGTGCAGAGTTGCGTCCCTTGGGCACGCCAGAAACCTATGATTGTGGGTTCGAATTCTGGTTCGCCCCAATTATGTTTCTAGGTTTGTCAGCACCATACCATGCTCGTGGGTTTCACCAAAGTGGTAAACGTCTAAGACCTGCATCACTTCGGGCTTTCCTCCCACATTAAGCTGACACGCTGTGATATAACTGGAATACTGTTAAAAGCGGCGTTAAACCCAACTCACTCACTCACTGACTCCAACTGGTAATTAATGGGTCTGTTCACAGGTAACTCGTTCCATATTAAGTATGTGGTGGACTTTGACCCCCAACTGGCGGAGATTGTGGCGGAGACACGCTACATGGAGCAGCTGGGGTTCCCGGTGCCGGAGTTGGCACGGAACGTTGCACTCCAAGAGGAGAAGTACATCAAGTATGTGGATGGACTGAAGCATATGCTCATCCGCTACCATCTGCTCCTGGCGTCGCTGGACAAAGCCGAGGTGAGATCAGAGCTCCAGATAAGTGTCAAATACACAAAATAAATCACCACAGCCCAATAAATTTTGAGTTGCTTAATTTCAAAACCAAATAGGGCGAACCACATTATCGTTGGTTCGAGAACGAAGCTAACTCCGTTTGCCTAATCAAAAGTTCGAGGCGGGCCAACATTCGAAACTAAACGCACTTGTTGAGAATATGTACTACGTAAACAAACCCGCATTACAAACTGCTATTTTGTCTATTTAAAATAGGTTTTATGGCTTATTATTGGATTAAAATGTACAGATGCGATGGAAATACAGCAGAACTCACTTCTACGAACATCGCCAAACTAGGTCGTGGGGTCATTGATATTCATGAGTTATTTCTTTTATGGAACAAGTTCTCGGAAACGTTTGAGGCTTGTATCATGTCCGAGATCAATTCAAGTGTAGACATATTTTCAGGCTTATATGTATATCGCCACCAACACTTATGATTAGATTGATGTGTTATATACTTGTAAAAGTAGAATGAGTGGTATTGCCTCTGTAAATTTAATTTGAAGCAGATTTAAGTTTCTTTCTTTGTAGCTATTTTTGTAAAACTAGTGTGGTCAGCTATGCTGACGTTATTCAAACTTCAAAGCCTTTTGTGCCTTTTGTGGAATTAACGTCACATGAAATGATTTATAAAGATATTTCCCATCAATATTACAAAATATGAATAATATATAATGTCAAATACCCATGCAAAGTAATGACAAATGTGGGCCCACTAGCCTAAACAACTTTGTCAACCCAATGAAACCCAGCGATTTACAAATGTGGGCCCACCTGTTTCAATCACTATAAGACAGGAACAATGTGGGCCCATATTTTAGAAAATGGTTATATGTAAGCCAAGCTGATGAAGCTTAGCAAATTTTTATGTGGTCCCTCCTGTTGCAATCACTATGATGGAAGAATGTCTACCCACTAGGCGATATACAAATGTGGGCCCACTTGTTTCGATCACCATATATGACGGGAACAATGTAGGCCCAAATTTGAGAAAATGATTATCAATATTTAAGTAGAATTTCGCGATTAATAAATGTGGTCCCTCCTGTTGCAATCAATATGACGGAAGAACTTCTGCCCACATTTAGGAATTGATTATCAGAACTAACAAAACAACCTAACGAAGCTAGGCGAAATACAAATGTGGGCCCACTTGTTTCGATCACTATAGATGACGGGGAAAAATGTGGGCCCACATTTTAGAAAATGGTTATCAGCACTAAAGCAATCTTAGAAGATGTACGGATGGAAACATAAATATATAATGCATTCAAACATTTAATTAAGAATATGTTTTACCTTAGGGATACAGCGTACAGATACAACATACAGCGTGGGTGACACCATTTCTTGCAAATACGAAAACATAGAGTGACCTCCCTTTCCCAATATGAACCACTGATAATGCGGTTTCGCCCCAAATAGTGTGACAATACAGTATTATTACCCAATGTAGCCTTTTCAGCTTGTGAACACGAATATCTTTGCTCACCTTCATTTACTATTGAATACTGACGTCCAGTGGTAGAAACTGGCACTGGTCCTGTAGTCCTCGCCAAACTGCCCAATAGTTAAGGTATCATAAGGACTAGTAGAAATTTGCCATTTTTAAGGGTTTCACTCTATGTTATCATTATAAGGACTAGTGGACTAAAACTGATGGTTTCTATGGCTGATTATATAATAAACTCCACTGTAGTGAATATTGCACAGATGTGCCTTACTTGCTTATTTGCAGCAGACACTGTATCACTGTTGAGAGTTAATGTGACATCTTACATATTTGGGGCAGCACATGAACAGAAGTATTTTAGAAGTTACCGTATTCAACGTAATAAGCGCCCCGCTCTAATAAGCACCCACGGCGATATTTGCTAATATATTAGCTAATGAACAATCCCAATTAGCACCCCTTCAACTGATCAATGTACACAAGATTTATTTATTTGCATATAATACGCACTCATGTGTTATATGCACCCTTAATTGTGGGCAATTAAATTCTTGAAAAATATATCTGTCGTATATAAAGGCTGTCAGCACACACCACAGAATTTATCTTTCAACTGTTTTTTTCGCCAAAATAATATTTGAATAAGAGCCTCCGTTTTCTAATTTTGAGCTCCCTGGGTGCTTATTCCATCGAATACGGTACTCATTGGTTTCAAAGTACCCAATAACCTGGATCCAAGGGAGTGAAATGCATTGAGTAAAAAAAATAAAAAAATATCAAAGACCCAATGGGAAAGATAACGCGTGAATAATATCTCACGTCATAAAAGATTATCTGGAGACCTGTGAGATAATCAGTACAAGCTCATATTTGAAATTTAAATGATAAACACAGTTTAAGGTTTTGTAGTATGAGAGAATATCTATTTCAGTCTGCCCTATTAGAAGATCACCAGCGAGAGCTGCGTCGTGTTTTGCGACCAGGATCCAAACGTCTCAACTGGAACTCCCTGGGCATCAACGACTACGTTCAGAAGTGCATTTCTGTGAGTTCTTAAATTATTTTTTGGCCATTTTATTTTGAGATGCAGAACATGGAAAAGGGATTATGGAACCAGAAAATATTGTCATTTAGGCTAGAATTCCCTCCAAAGTGCTTTGTGGATTCTGTTGACAATTAAAAATGCAAAAAAGAAAAAATCTGAAAAGCAAGAGTTGTTTATTCATCTGAAAATGTTCACCACCAAAAATTGGGCATTACCCAGGATAACTGGAAGACATGAGGTTATAAAATGTGAAACAATGACACAAGCTTAACTAACACTGCACACATTTTCAACTTTATTGAATGTGGAGAATCATCAGAAATGTTTTTAGGTTCAGTTTATTTTTTCCCCATTTAGGGAGCCAGATATTTCTAGAAAAGACTCTCTACGCCTTGGTCTAAGTCTGACATCTGGAGCCTTATGACCACCCCACCCACCACCCCACCCACCACCCTACTTCCCACCTCACCGACCACCCAACTTCCCACCCCACAACTTTCCGCCATCACCGAGCACCCAACTCTACACCACACCACTTTCACCCACACCGACCACCACACCGACCACCCCACTTTCCACTACACCACTTTCCACCCCACCCACCACCCCACTTCCCACCTCACCGACCACCCCACTTCCCACCCCACCACTTTCCACCCCCACCGACCACCCCACTTTCCACCCCACCCACCACCCCACTTTCCACCTCACCGACCACCCCACTTTCCACTACACCACTTCCCACCCAAACCACCACCCCACTTCCCACCCCAACCACCACCCCACTTCCCACCCCACCACTTTCCACCCCAACCGTCCACCCCACTTCCCGCCCCACCACTTTCCACCCCACCCACCACCCCACTTCCCACCTCACCGACCACCCCACTTTCCACCACCCCACTTTCCAACCCATCACCCCACTTCCCACCCCACCGACCACACCACTTCCCACACTATCCACCACCCCACTTCCGACACCACCCACCACCCCACCTACCACCCCACTTCCTACCCCACCCACCACCCCCTTCAAGGCTTTTTGGTTGAAAATTTGTGTTTTCAGTTAATTTGACAATATCGATCTCTCGGGAGGTCTTTATGAAGTCATCATCTGATATTGGTTCTTTATACTCTCTTGATATTTGCAGGCCACTGCGAAGTTTGAGTCTCTAGTCAACCAGGTTCAGAAGAATGCTCGTGACATCAACCAGAGGCTATTGATGATTGAGAATGCAAACCTCTTCAAGGGCCCACCACCACCGAAGGTCCAAGACCTCCTGCCCAGCTGCAAGGTAGTCATGGTTACGTTTGTCAGTGCACTGTGGACATATCATTTTTACAGTAGGGCTAGGGTGGATTAGTTGGGTACTCAGGTCGAGTGGGTCCCGAATAGAATCCGGGTACCCACAGGACTACCCCGATAAAAGTTGCTTATGTTTGCAATTCTTTCGAACTATGCACACATTGTTTCCGACTTTTGTACGCTTGAGTAAAGATATGACTTCAGTGGACTTCAGTGTATGCTTGACCTGATTGTTTTATATATATGTGTGTGTAAATAGCATTGCCAGGGCATCAGTAAAACAATGCTCATAATATCAATCACTGGATTGTCTGGTCCAGACTCGATTATTTCAGACTGCCTTCATATAGCTGGAATATTGCTGAGTGCAGCGTTAAATAACAACCAAACATACAAAACCCAATGGAACATTATGTACCCAACTCTTGAGACCTACAGCGGGTACCCGGGTATTGTCGGGTAATATGGGGGTGGGTACCCAGGTCGTATATTTGGACTCGTCCCAGCCCTTGTGTACAGGCTGCAGACATCTGCAATAACAGGTCCATTACAAATCTTTGCCCAGTGTATGTTAAAGAGCATTAAGGATGAAAAACTATATTATAAAGATACTGTCATCAATATTCTTTCATGTAACTTATAATGCCTAAAGGAGATATAGACTGGAAAAGGTTTCTTGTTTGTTTGTTTGTTGTTTAACGCCGCACTCAGCAATATTCCAGCTATATGACGGTGGTAAATAATCAAGTCTGCATCAGACAATCCAGTGATTGACAACATGAGCATCAATCAACGCAATTGGGATCGATGACATGCAAGCCTGACCACCCGATCCCGTTAGTCGCCTCTTATGACATAGTCGCCTTTCATGGCAAGCATGAGTTGCTGAAGACCTATTTTACCCCAGATCTTCATGGGCCAGAAAAGGATTCTGTGCAGATGACAGTTTTAGTCATACACCTTCATGATGCTGTACCCCCTTGAAGATCTGGGTTAAAATTTGTCTTCAGCAGCCCATGCTTATTGTAAGAGATGAAAAATGGGATCAGCTGATTAGACGCACTGACTTGGTTGATGCATGTCATCATATCCTAATTGCATAGATCGTTGCTCATGATGTCAGTCACAGGATTTGTTTGGTCGAGACTCGATTTTTTACAAACCGCCGACATACGGCTGGAATAGTTCTGAGTGTTACTCTAAACTACAAACCAAAACAACTGATGCATTTACACAAACTCTATCCCATAGATATTAACTGTGACATTATTTTTTTCAAACAGGAGTTCTTTGAACATATTGAGCGTGAGCGAGGGAAGGACTTTGAGATTCTGGCCAGGAAATATCGTGCAATAGGTCCTCTGCTGACCAAGATGGAGGGACTGGTTGTCCACACTAACACTGGACGCTCCCCCAAACTTAATCAGTATTACTCCTACTGGGAGAAAAAGGTGTATGAAGCTCTCACAAAGGTAGGAATGTGCTTCATTGGATTGATTTGTGTGTGAAAATTAGCATCGAGTGATTGTTTAGAGTAACTACTGTAAGGCCCTGGGTTTCTGGTGTGCCCAAGGGATGGATTATTTACACGCCAGAAACCTATGATTGTCGGTTCGAATCCCGGTTCGCCCCGATTAGGTTTCTAGGTTTGTCAGCACCATACCCGTGCTAGTGGGTTTCACCAAAGTGGTAAATGTCTGAGACATGCATCACTTCGGGCTTTCCTCCCACATTAAGCTGACACGCCGTGATATAACTGGATTACTGTTAAAAGCGGCGTTAAACCCAACTCACTCACTCACTACAAGTTAGGCCAGAGCAGACGCATGTTAATATTAAGTATCTGCGACCCCAAACAAGATCGCCAGCTGAAATTACACCTTGAACACACAAATATATAAACAACAAAAATTTAAAAACAATATTTTAATAGATCTATCACTTATAAACTTTCTGACTAAACTATTGTAGAGATTATTATTACGATTACTTCTAATTTACATTTAATATTTACCCAAACTTGATGGAAGTTGAAATCTGTGACCCCACCTCAAGTCAAACAAAAACATGGATCCCCCCCCTCTTGCGATGACATCATCATCAATTATCAATCGCGCTATTTGGCACCATGTCTAAAAATAGATAACCCCTATCGTATCACTACCATAGGTACAAGTCTGGGTACCCTCGGCAACCATTGTTAACCACGAGTTAACTGATGTGGTCATGGTTAGCTGTTTTTTTGAACAAATTTTAGTTGCCATTGATAACCAAATTGATAGTTTTGAATCCTCTTCCTTAACTTATTGGAAAGGAGACTTCAGTATTATCAAATTAAAGTCTCCTTTCCTTCCTTATTTGGGGGGCACGGGTGGCCCATTCGTCTAAGATGCCACGATTTGCTATGCAGAGTTGCGTCCCTTGGGCACACCAGAAACCTATGATTGTGGGTTCAAATCCCAGTTCGCCCCGATTATGTTTCTAGGTTTGTCAGCACCATACCCATGCTCATGGGTTTCACCGAAGTGGTAAACGTCTGAGACACGCATCACTTCGGGCTTTCCTCCGACATTAAGCTGACACACCGCGATGTAACTGGAATACTGTTGAAAGCGGCATTAAACCCAACTAACTCACTCACTCACACATTCCTTATTTCTAACACCTCATGGATTCCCTGTTCAAATAGCTTTGCAGCCATCTTCCCAAGGCAAGAGAGTTAACTGACTATAAAAGTCCAGTTTCCACCCTTGCCGAACTAGGCAGGTATTATGGAGTTACATTATGGCTGGACTAACGAGTCTATGCATAGTCCAATCAAAATCGCGCACTGAAATCGAAATCCGGTTAGTAAACTGTCATGCAGATTTCCGTTGATTGCAGGATTTGCAAAGCATGTGCATCGCCAACTCGTTGTCAACAGATATTTTCCAAATCTTTTCATGTTTTTAATGAAGGTGCTCACGTGATTTGATGTACTTCACAAAGCAAGAACCATTTTATCACAAAATAGATCTTGATGGTCGATCAGATCGTCTTGACTGGGCGCCACCATTTTGTTGGAGAGGCATAGAATGGACATAACTTGTAATAACAACTGGTGGGGCTACGATCGAGCCCAGGAATTCCAGCCTTGATCGGCAAGGGTGGAAACTGGACTTTTAAAGTCAGTTAACTCTCTTGCCTCGGGAAGATGAGTGTGTTGCTAATTCTACATCCAGAGTTATGTTATGTTATTTTCTAGCTTATCAACAACAACCTGCGTCGGTTCAACTCAGCGCTAACAGGAGAGAAGGCATTATTCCAAGTTGACACACTACTCGCAGCCCCCGATGTCATTCTTCACCCTCAGACCAACGAAGTCTACAAGCTAACACTACAGTGTGTTCGCGACTGTGTTGAGGGGTGAGTCATGCATCAATTTAACACAATTCATTTCTTTTTAAAAGACCTGACATTTATCATTGGAAGGAAAATGATGTTTGTTTAAATGTGGGTTTTTGTGTGATGGTATTGGTGGGGTGTTGGTGTTTAGGTGATGTTGGTGTTTGGGTGTTGGTGTTTAGATGGTGCTGTTTGGGTGTTGTTTTTTTGTGTTTAGGTTGGGGTGGTATTTGGTTATTTGTGTTTAGGTGGGGGGTGGTGTTTGGGTATTTGTGTTTAGGTGGGAGTGGTGTTTGCGTATTTGTGTTTAGGTGGGGGCGGTGTTTGGGTATTTGTGTTTAGGTGGGGGTGGTGTTTGGGTATTTGTGTTTAGGTGGGGGTGGTGTTTGGGTATTTGTGTTTAGGTGGGGTGGTGTTTGGGTATTTGTGTTTAGGTGGGGACGGTGTTTGGGTATTTGTGTTTAGGTGGGAGTGGTGTTTGGGTATTTGTGTTTAGGTGGGGGTGGTGTTTGGGTATTTGTGTTTAGGTGGGGGCGGTGTTTGGGTATTTGTGTTTAGGTGGGGGTGGTGTTTGGGTATTTGTGTTTAGGTGGGGGCGGTGTTTGGGTATTGTGTTAGGTGGGGGCGATGTTTGGGTGTTGGTGTTTGTATTTTAGTGTTTGGATGTTGGTGTTTAGTTGGTGTTGAGTTGTTGTGGTTGTGTTGGTGGTAGTGTTGATGGTAGTGTTTAGATATTGGTGGTGGTGTTTGTTGAGGTGTTGGTGGTGTTTAGGTGTTGTGGTCTTGGTGGTGTTAAGGTGTTGTGTGCTGTAAATGATTTGTGTTTGTTGAGGTGGTGGTTGTTTAGGTGATGGTGGTATTTGGGTGGTTGTGTTGGTATTTGGGTGGTTGTGTTGGTATTTGGGTGGTGTTTGTGTTTATCAATATGATTAAGCTGAAACATGTAGTTAAATAAGAATCTAGAAAAAGAAACATCACCACTAAATAAGACTAATCATTGACCTTGATCCAGGTATTGTCACAACCAATTAATAATCATTTGTCATACCTGCTACGAGGGATAACAGAGTTTAGGTATGGGCATAGATAATCTATTTTTCATCAAAATCCACACTGTCAGTCATTTTAAATTAACACATTTAACTGCCCAAATTTGAGGTTAGTATCTCACATGCTGTTACGTTTATGGATTTCAGTACAAAGAGTTTTGTGCGGTGGATGAACGGCACCTGTATCGAGACGGCACCACAGAAAGTTGATGGAGAGGATGAGCTGTTTGTGTTCAGCTTCTTTCAGGACATCTCCCAGAACCCTGAGATCATCGAGCTGGTTCAGATCCTGGCACAGAACATCAAGAACACGCTGACCACTCTCCAGCGCTACCTCAACAGATGGAAGAAGTACCGGAACATATGGAAACCAGAGAAGGTAACCTAGGTTTTGGGAATTGCTTCAAATGTCCAGATGATCGTTGGTAGTTTGAAACCTGCAGTCAATGATCTATTGAGCACTTAGACATTAGAGTTGAAAAATGGTAAATCTAAAGCGTTCTCTTTCAGTGTTACATATAAATAATAATCATCTTTGCTTTTGAATTTTTTCAAAAAGATGTTGCATTTTACTTTGCATTGCAGATATTCCAAATTTTAAAAAATGCAAACTTGTAACCAGCCCAATTTAATTTTTGCATTAAACTTATCACAAAATTTTAAGGTTGTAACTAATATTTTGAGAGCAGTCCTTTTCTTACTGAAGAGTTAACAAATTTCAGCAGTGGGGAAATTGGGTCAAAAAGGGAGGTATATCGATATATTGTTACAATCCTAGGCTCAAGTGAAAAAAGTGTTGAAAGTAGCTTTAAAACCAACTCAGGCATTAACATCACCTATTTCCATCAACAGATGCAGATAGCAGAGAAGTGGTTTCAGAAGGGCCCCACAGTAGTAGCCTTTGATGAGAAGCTACAACACTACTTCAAGACAATTGACGAGGTGGCGGCACTGCCTGTCATCAAAGATCAGGAGTGTATACGGCTCCACATGGAGCCACTGTGTCGTGCTGTCAAAGAAAACGCAACTCAGTGGATTGACTGTCTGGGCAAACTGTTACGAGATTCGGCTAAAGAAAGTCTGTATGAACTGCAAGATTCTTTAGAGGTGAGAGTTCTGCTATTATCTTTTGAGACAATGTCAACTAGTCTCATGTGCATATTTTCTTATCAATAATCATGATAATATAATTTGCTTATTGTTTACAATAATGACAGTTTGTGTACTAAATCTGTTCAAGAGGTTTCATCAATTGAAAACATTTTTTGCAAGAAATACTTATATTTTATCTTATCCTGACTTATACACATGAGTAATAAGTATGAGTCAGGATAAGTATAAGTGATATTTCTACTCTAAAAAATATGTTATTCTCAGGCTGCAGTGTATAGCTGTAAGATTGCTGACTGTGCTCAAACAATATTCACTCGCTCTTGGACTAAAGGAAGAACAATCTGTGGGAGGTGACAAGACATGCCTTTGTTAACAGTTGTCATCTCATCAAACTAGTTAATGTTCAGGATGTCAAAATCTTCACCAGAAAGTCCAGTCATGTTCTGATATCAACGACGTCCTCCGTGGTCTTGTGGTAGAGTGTCCGCCTAGAGAGCGGAAGGTCCGGGGCTTGATCCCCGGCCGCATCATACCAAAAGACATTAAAAAATGGTACCTGTTGTTACCCTGCCTGGCGCTCAGCATTAAGGGGTGAAACAAGGACTGGTCGTCTTGGAGTCAGTATACTGTGTCTGAGTGGGGTATTCATGTTAAATTGCGGCATGGTATCTCAGTGAGCTAGCACTAGAAATCAGCATCAGTCCGGACTAGTACAAGCAGCTACACCCACACATGTATGCACGTCGCTATATAAGTGCAATAATCTTGGACGCGACTTTAAACCCAATTTCACCTCACCTCTGATATCAGCAGTACATATACAGTCCTGAATCATTATCCTCAGTCATTGCTTTATGCATTGATGTGTAGGGGCGGTCGGGTAGCCTAGTGGTTAAAGCGTTCGCTCGTCACGGCGAAGACCCGGGTTCAATTCATTTCTGGTGTCCCCCGCCGTGATATTGCTGGAATATTGCTAAAAGCGGCGTAAAACCAAACTCACTCACTTATTGATGTGTAAGCTATCAAAAGATCGATGTATTTTATGTGTATTTTATTGTGTTTTATGAATGTTTTATTCAGAGGTATCCCGTTTAAACCAGTTTTGACAAATCAGAAACAAGCATTCTTCAATCAAGAATGTCTGTTGTAGGATGTCCCTGTAATATAATCAGGTAGTCATAATAGTTGCTTGGTATAATACTTGATGTAATACTTGAATGATACTATGAAGGTAAATGTCTTCATACCACTGCAATTGTTGCTCATTCTGTTGACCACTGGTTTCTCTGGTCCAGGTTTTATCATGTTCAGAATATTATTGCATAGCTGTAACAGCTAACTGCAGAATGAAGTCTCATGTACACAAAAATTTAATTTCCAAAATACCCTGTGATTGCGGAAAGATTGCTGAAGTTTGCTGACTGTCATAATAATTCTTTCACTCTCTAGGGCGTTTGGGTAGCCTAGTGGTTAAAGTGTTCGCTTGTCATGCCGAAGACCCGGGTTCGATTCCCGACATGGGTACATTGTGGGAAGCCCATTTCTGGTGTCCCCCACCGTGATATTGCTGGAATATTGCTAAAAGCGGTGTAAAACCATACTCACTCACTCACTCACTTTCACTCTCTCATATCATGGACGTGCCCATGAAAATCTGGGTCAGAATTGGTCTTCAGCAACTGATGCTTGTTGTAAAAGGTGACTAACACGATAGGTTGGTCGACTTGCTGACTTGTTCGATGCATGTTATCATATCTCAATTGCGTGGATCGATACTCATAATGTCAATCACTAGATTGTCTGGCCCAGACTCAATTATTTACAGACTGCCGTCGTATAGCTGGAATATAGCTGAGTGGGACGTTAAACAAACAAACAAACAAACAAATAAACAAACATATGATCATGATGATGGACGCCTTGATTGACAGAATATTGTCCTTTTATAGTTTTCAGCCTGGATTGATGTTATCGTAAATATGATGACGATGAATAGCGTAGAATGTTATACATGTAATAGATTACAGTGGCAGGCGATACGTCCGTTTCACAGAGCATGTCGACTGATAGCAAAAGTTGGCGCTGAGCGATTAAAGATCATTATTCCATGTTTTGTTGCTGTATGCCATGCCATGAACTAAAAGTTTAAGTTACCGAATGTTAGAAGTATTTGTTTTCGAGAGTGCATGCTATGTGGCTGCTTGCTGAACGACGTCATGAGAAACATGACAACAAAGATTGTTTAGTTGAACCTCATGCGTAGATATCATATATTATGGGGTATTATCGAGTGGTCACATTAGCTTACATCTTAATTTCCTTTGAAGTATGCACCGAAGTTATATTCATTATTTCGAGACAAAGATCATTAAAATACAATGAAGTATATGCTGCACAAGCTGTGGAGTTACATTCATCATTAATCACCTTCTGTTCAATCTGTCCACTACTATGGGGTCCATGGATCGACTTGTCAGAAAAATGTGCTAATGTCTTACCACACACTACTACATCTTCGGTTCGCACAAATCATAAATTATAAAAATCTACATACCAATCTCAAAGTTGTTATGAATGAGGATTTCAATCATGTTTATATTTTAACCCTTCAAAACTTATATGGAATTACTATTTTTCACACAAAAAAAACAAATGATGAATTATCGATTATGAAGCTGATAAAGTGACTTGCAATTTGTGTAGCATCTGTGCCAGAAAGTTTTGAATGATCTAGCCAGAACGTGGCACGATGCATAATTTTCAATGAACTATTATTAGCTGAACATGCAAGACCGAACTAAACTAGACTCAGGCTTGGACTAGTGCCTAACATTGCAGCCTGACATAATTTACGATTCGGTGGAAGATGTCTCTCAATTTTACAAAGGATAATATGTTCAAAGTGAGGAAGCCTACTATAAAGGAGTATCCCCTTGACCCTTCATGCTCAAATGTGACTCAGGTAAAACCCCATAATATATGGTAAGTGATTGCTACTAAAATTGGACCTGTCTAAGCAATAGCTGCTGAGTGTTAGATGTTGATTAAGTGCAGACATTTCTGTAAACGATGCAACACAGACGTATACCACATAGAACTGCATTGGGCATGTGTCGAATGACGATCAGGATCAGAATTGAGTGAATAGGCTGAAAAATTAACACAATTGTTTCTCAGGCAGTGTGTGCCAAAATTATTTGTATTTTCTTTTTCTAAATTTGGTATCTGAGTGTAAACTAGGGGTGAAATGATACAACAAAATCACGATATATGTATCGGGATACATAGGTCACGATACGATACGCATGTCGCGATACGCATGTTTACATCAAATCACATGGAAACTTCTGGACAATAAATATTTCACAGCAAGTTCAAAAGAAAAAGCTAGCTGTAGATACATGTTCATAGTAGTGAACTTGAAACATCTTGTGACATCTGACTGACAAAAACATCAGGGATCGTTAAATGAGTTGTAAGTAATTTATTTCCGCAAGTGTATCGTCTTGCATCGATACAGAAAAAGACGTATCGTGTATCGTATTGTCACATGAAAACTCATGAAACTCATGTTCATACTTTGTCTTTAAATAGAAATAAAATGTCATGTTGCTTTTGACCGACACAACATTGCCAGAGAACCAAGAATTTTAGTTTTTCAGCCCTGGGTAGTATTTAAAAGAAGACGATTATAAGCATCTGTGTAATTAATGTGTCATCACCTGCATGTATCAATTAGGGCTGTAATGATCCACTTTGTCGCGATATGACCTGTTTCAGGACATTGAGGTTGATATGCTACACAAAACTGCATACGACTTAATAAGCGCCCCGCTCTAATAAGCGCCCACGGCAATATTTGCTGCTATATTGGCAAGTGAACAATCCCAATCCGCACCCGTTCCGATTACAAGAGTTAAATTTGTTCGTGTATAATATGCTCCTGTGTGTTATATGCATCCTTAATTATGGGCAATTAGATTCAGGAAAAAGATATCTGTCATATATAAACATTTCAGGCTGTCAGCTTAAACCATGAAATAAGCGATCTTTCAACACTTTTTTTTCCACCAAAATGATATCCAAATAAGAGCCCCCTATTTCTAATTTTGAGAGCGCCCTGGGCGCTTATTATGTAGAATACGGTATATGATCCTATGAACTCAAGACAAGCCATCTTGTATTTTAGCATGAAAGCAATGACTTGTGTCCAAAAATAATACTAAGTAAACATAAGTCAAACTTACTATGACTTCAGTCTTGGCAAAATCAGAAAAATATATTTACAATTCCTTTTCCCACAAAATGTCATACTTCTTATATATATACATGTATTGTTTTGAATTGATACACAGCCTCAATGTCCGAAACACATATTGTGATTCACTGAATCTTTGGTGAATCCTTACAGCCCTTGTGTTAATACAGAAAGTTGTATTAGAAGTAAGTAAATCTATGTAAGCTTATGTAATACAAGGAGCAGTTCAAAAACTTGACGTTGGGTTCCATTAGTTTGGGCTGGGGAAGGTTAACAGATCTGTGCTCCAGTCGATCTTAGCAACTTTTCTTGTTTTAATAATTATTCAAGCCTGAACAGGCAAAGATAGCATCTGTAATCATCATATTTTTACTCTGAAAATAAACATCATCATTGTCAAGTATGATGGTGCCTGAACAAAATCTTCTTTGCACATATTGGATAGTGTGTAATTACTGGCCTACAAGTTCTTCAGGCAAGGTACTGCAACAGCGATCCAGCATTTTTTAAAAGGGAGGTATTTTCTCTCAAAAGGGGGTTGGAGTTGGGGGGGGGAAAGGATGGGTTTTGGGTGTAGGTTTGTGGTGGGTGGTGATTGTCTACTATTTGAAAGGGTGGGTAGGGGGTGTCGGACCCCCTGGACCCCTCTAGATCCGTCTATGTACTGTGAGTTTTTGTTTCTGAAAGTATGTTTTCCATCAAAATATTTAAATGAGTTGTGTGGCATCATTCTCAAATTTTGAGGAATTATGGTTTTCATCCCACATCAAACCTTTGAGCTGCTCCTCAAATAAAGGTACTGAGTAGCTGTTGATGATAATGCAACATTTGGGGAAAGTGTAAATTGTCATATAAAATACAATTAAATTTTGTTTGTAGGTTATATGCCTTGACGCATGCATTATATACTTTGTAAGGGTCAGCCTTTAAGGGATTAATTCAACATGTTATTTGATTACTTGTTAATAAGTTATATCAAGAAAGCATTTATTGTTAGAGAACAAATTGACATCCCACATTTGTGTGTATAGTTTGCTGTCAACTTATTAATCTGTGTCATAACTAGCTGATATGTTTCTTACACATTAATCATATCATCTTAAGATTTCATTCAGAGTTCCTTGTGTGTTGATATAAGGATTGTAAAATGCGTATGACATTGATTCATGACTACATGCTTTGGTTCAAATATTGTATAATCTGTATGTTCTGTATGATCTGTATGTTTTGTGCTGTGTGTGTCACGTTGATCTGTACGTGTTTTCAGACCAAGTCTGATGATCTAGAACAGACCCCAACAACTCTGGAAGATCTCAAGTTTGTGCTGTCCACCATTAATGACATTCGGACCATGTCGCTTGACGTCGAGACCAAGATCCGAGACATCCAGGAGAGATACCGGACGCTCAGTATTTATGACATACAGGTAGGACTAGGTGGAGTTGAACAGATCTCAAAGTCATAGTCTCTCCTTACCTCTTGATGGGACCCGGATTAGAATAGATCCTCAGCACTCTGAAGTAAGCACAGTAGTTTGGTTGATTGTGTGTCATCGTACCCCGTTGATGAGGGACAATGCTCATGATGTCAGCCACCAAGCATCTTCCCGAGGCAGGAGAGTTAACTGACTATAAAAGTCCAGTTTCCACCCTTGCCGAACTAGGCTGGTATTATGGAGTTATATTGTGGCTGGACTAACGAGTCTTTGCATAGTCCAATAAACAATCGCGCAACGAAATTGAAATCCGGTTCGTAAACTGTCATGCAGGTTTCGGTCGATTGCAGGATTTGCAAAGTATGTGCACCGCCAACTCGTTGTCTTCAGATATTTTCTAAATCTTTTCATGTTTTTAATCAAGGTGCTCACATGATTTGATGCACTTTGCGATGTAAGACTCATTTTATCACAATATAGATCTTGATTATCGTTCCGATCGTCTTGACTGGGCACCGCCCAAGTGATGCGAGAATTGGAATCTCATTGGTCCATAGCAGAGGCATAGAAGGGACATAACTCTTAATAGCCACAGGTAGCGCTATGATTGAGGACAGGAATTCCAGCCTAGTTCGGCAAGGGTGGAAACTGGATTTTTAAAGTCAGTTAACTCCCTTGCCTTGGGAAGATGGCCACTGGTTTGTCTGGCTTAGACTCAAAGGTTTATAGGCTGCTGCGATATAGCTACAATATTGCAGACTGCAGTATAAATCAAACTGACATAGGTATCTAGTAGGTATCTGACAAAGGATCATTCCATGGTAATTGTTCTGTAGGTAATAGATGAAGCATTATTCTGGGTAATTGTACTGAGGTAATGGAAGAAATATTTTGGGTAATTGTCCTGAAGGTGTCAGATGAAGCATTTAATGTTCTGGGTAATTGTTCTATAGGTATTGGATGAAGCATTAGTCTGGGTAATTGTTCTATAGGTATCGGATTATGCATTATTCTTAGTAATTGTTCTATAGGTATCATATGCAGCATTATTTTGAGAAAATGTTCAATATGTATTGGATGAAGCATTATTCTGGGTAATTGTTCTGTAGGTATCATATAAAGCATTATTCTGAGTAATTGTTCTATAGGTGTTAATAATGCATTATTCTGAGTAAAAAGTCAATTGGTATCGGATGAAGCATTATTCTGGGTAATTATTCTAGGTATCGGATGAGGAGAAGGAAGTCCAGCACAAGCTGCCGCACATCTGGGAGGAGCTTGTCCTCAAGTCAAAGAATGTGGACGCCAGCCTTGTGGTTGTCAAGAAGAAGTTTACAGAGGTGAGCAAACGCTAATTGACCAGTGACCAAGAGATTTAAATTCCCATTTTGATTCCTCAGATAAAGTAGATCCATAGAACCTTTGAAGGCCATCATTCAATTTTTTCCCTGACATTAATGTTTTTCTTATCTGCCAGATCACACAAGAACATATCAAAGACTACCGCAAGGCTCTGGAGACATTTGCAGAAAGATTCCATGCTGAAGGCCCTGGGGCTGTGGCTTATGATCTTGATAAAGGTGAGCATGCTTATAACTGTGAATAGACCAGTCACCTGCAGTGTTGCACTAATGTTGAAGGATGGTTTTTTTCATTTGGACCAACCATTTGAAAGTCTTGGTTGGGCTGGGTGAGTGGGAGGGTGGTTTTACTGGGATTTTTGTTGAGATTGAATGTTCTTTCTGTCACTGCTTCAAAACTGATAATTTAGGGAAACACAACTCGTGTTGTCCAATAAACAATATATCTTTTTTTATACATAAAACCTGGGGCAAAGATATATTCTCCGACATTTTCTGGAACAAATGACATCGTCTTTCCTTTATGACCCTGTAAAAATACTGGGTAGAATTTGTTTTCAGCAACCCATGTTTGTCGTCAGAGGCGACTGACGGGGTGGTCTTGCTTGCTGACTTCATTGGTGCATGTCATCGTATCCCAATTGCGTGGATCAATTTTTATGATGTAATTCACTGGATTGTCTGGTCCAGACTCGATTATTTACAGACCACCGTCATATAGCTGGAATATTGTTGAGTGCAGCGTTAAACAACAAACAAACAAACTTACAGTATTCGACATAATAAGCGCCCAGGGCGCTCTCAAAGTTAGAAATAGGGGGCTCTTATTAGAATATTTATTATTTTGGTGAAAAACAACAGAGTTGAAAGATCGTAAATTTCGTGGTTTATGCTAACAGCCTGAAATGTTTATATACGACAGATATATTTTTTCCAGAATTTAATTTCCCATAATTATGAATGCATATAAAATGCGTATTATACACGAATAAATAAGTCCTGTGTACATTGATCAATCGGAAGGGGTGCTAATTGAGATTGTACGCTAGCCAATATATTAGAAAATATCGCAGTGGGCGCTTATTAGAGCGGGGCGCTTATTACGTCGAATACGGTAATTCTGAACCAGGTCTCAATGCTTCGTCTTTGCCTTGTTCAAGTAGGAAAGCTACCGACTCTGAGGACCAGTGTAATTAGCTATAGGTCTTAAGGAAAGTGATTTCCAAATTCTCCTTCAGTGTGGAAGTGAAATGTTTAATGAGAATTGAACCTAAGAACCAAGAAGCTGAGACTTGATTATTAACATTCCTTGATAGTCCAGATGGGATCCTTCAGCATCCTAGCCATCATCCCCATTGATCTTCATCCCATTGATCTGTATGTTGTGTGTTGTAGGTGTGGAGCTGATGAAGACACACAGGGAGGAAGTTGCTCAGTATGAGGCTCAGAGGCAGGAGTTGGCTAATGCTGAGAGGCTGTTCGACCTGCCCATTACCATGTACCCCGACCTGTTGCAGGTCCAGAAGGAGATGAAGGGCTTTGAGCAGATATATTCCCTGTATGAAGAGCAGAAGGTAGGCAGGCTATATTCCATTGAGGGCATCACTGGTGTAGCAGACATACATTGTGAAGATTCAGGATAGAATAGGTCTCCAGCAACCTATGCTGGATGTAAGAGGCGACCAAATGGATCGGGTGGTCTTGCTCAGTGACTTGGTTGATTATGTATCTTTGTACCCTGATGGCGTGGAGCGCTGCTCATAATATTGATCACTGGATTTCTAATCCTGACTGAATTATTTGCAGGCCACTTTTATTTAGCTGGAATATTGCTGAGAGTGGCTTTAAACAAAAAAACACGTAGCACAGGGTTAGAAATTAACAATAGCCCGCTAGCTTGAGGCTAGTAAAAATTCCTGTGGGCTAGTACATGTTTCTCACTTTTCCATTGATGTAACACTACATTGGCATTTTATGCTTACTCGGACTCGGACCGTAAAAGGCAACTATGCTTGTCGTAAGAGGCGACTAACGGGATCGGGTGGTCAGGGTTGCTGACTTGGTCGATGCATGCCATCGATCTCAATTGCGTGGATCAATGCTCATCATGTCAATCACTGGATTGTCTGGTCCAGATTCGATAATTATACAGACCGCCATCATATAGCTGGAATATTGCTGAGTGCGGAGTTAAACAACAAACAAACAATCATGCCAAAAGTATGTGAGAAAATTAACCTATGCAAATTCATTTTTATATTCATTTTTTTTTGTTTCAACTGACCAAAGCTATTTGGTTAACAAACCTATAAATCATGAAGTGATGAAAAGTAATGGTGATCTATTGTGTGTCCCTAGGCTGCACGTGAGCAGTGGGCTGAGACGCTGTGGGCCAACCTGAACGTCCAGCTGCTGCAGGAGGGTATCGAAGGCTTCCTCAAAAGTCTCCGCAAACTCCCCCGTGATGTCAAGTCCATGCAGGTGGCCAGAGTTCTGGAGGAGAAGATGAAGGAGTTCCGAGACTCCCTGCCACTGTTTGTCGATCTGAAACATGAGGCACTCCGAGAGAGGTGAGATGGAGGGAACTGTCTGTTCTAAGGCTTGACCTTAAAATGTCCTTGAGTCAGATTTTGGATAAGAAGTCCAAGACGTAATTCAAGACAAATTTTAGTGAACAGAGCTGATACAAGGTAATTAAAGGGAGAACAAGTTTCTGTCAAATTCTTTCTATACTACTCAAAAGAAGTTAAGGACTACCCAATTCTTTTCATATTACTTTAGGGGGCACGGGTGGCCCAGTCGTCTAAGGCGCTGCAATTCCCTGTGCAGAGTTGCGTCCCTTGGGCATGTCAGAAACCTATGATTGTGGGTTCGAATCCCGGTTCTCCTCGATTATGTTTCTAGGTTTGTCAGCACCATACCCATGCTCGTGGGTTTCACCAAAGTGGTAAATGTCTGAGACCTACATCACTTCGGGCTTTCCTCCCACATTAAAGTGACATGTCGTGATATAACTGGAATACTGTTAAAAGCAGCGTTAAACACAGCTCATTCACTCATATTTCTTTAGTTAGTCTCTCATGGCTTGACCAATTAAATAAACCGTTTTCGACATAATAAGCGCCCAGGGCACTCTCAAAATTAGAAATTAGGGGCTCTTATTAAAACAATTTTTGGTGAAAAAGAGAGTCGAAAGATAAATTTCGTGGTTAATGCTGACAGCCTGAAATGTTTATGTACGGCAGACATATTTTAACAGAATTTAATTGCCCATAAGTAATGGTGCATATAGCACAGGAGTGCGTATTATTCGCGAATGAATAAGTCTTGTTTACATTGATCAATCGGAAGGGGTGCTAATTGGGATTGTTCACGTGCCAATATATAAGCAAATATCGCCGTGGGCGCTTATTATGTCGAATACGGTAGTAATATAAAAAGAATTGGGTGATCCTTGAGTTCTTTTGAGTAGTATGTATGAAATACCTATGGGTTGTATGTAACATCAAATGTTACAAATGAATGTTTCAGACATTGGAAAGAACTGATGACAAAGACAGGTCAGAAGTTTGACATCAATCCTGAGACCTTCACCCTGGCTAATGTATTCTCTATGGAGCTCCATCGCTTCCAGGAAACAATCCAAGAGATTGTCACATGTGCCAGCAAGGAAATGGGCATCGAAAAGGTGAGCCTTAACATTTGAACTAAAGAGCAATCTCATTAAAATCAGATCTCAGTTCTCGCTACCGCTAAACATAGATCTGAGAACATCCCATTATGGGTCACGTCAGACCGACCTTTCGCAAACTTTGACCGACCAATGGTAGAGTTAACAAGAAGTTGACAATAGCCAATCAGAAGGCAGCTTAATTGAGCTCTACAGCACCAGTTTCAAACTGGCGACTACGCTTCCAAACATATTTTGACATACACACGATTAAAAAATTAAAAACTGAACAATAGAACATTCTGGAATGGCTCATAGATGGTTTAGATTGTATGAATACATTCATCAAGTCCATAACTGTCGTGCGGAATACCCTGTACCCTGAGGTTACACGTTCAAAAATCACATTCCAACTGTCACTTTCATGATCTGATAAGCGATGCTCTGATTGGTCAGATAAAAGGTCGTTCTGACATGACCCACAAAGGGATGTCCTCAGATCTTTGTTTAGCGGTAGCGAGAACTAAGATCTGATTTTAATGAGATTGAACTGAAGAGTCAACTCAGTGTACTGAAGTATAATGAGCAGTGGAACAATCTGGGTCCGAGGCTTCTAATAAGTGCCTACTTCATCCCCCTTATCCTTCTTTGTTATGAAACATGACAGCAGACCTGTCAACCCTCCCGCATTTTGCGGGAGACTCTCGCAATTTGATGAAATCTCCCTGTCTCCCGCATGATGGACTATTTCTCCCGCAAAACAGAATTCTTCATTATTTTAAAAATTCGCCTCCATTGTACCGTGAGTAAAAACAATGAACGGGAAGTTTGTGTCCCCATCTGTCCGGTAGCGACCCTTATCACAGCCACCCGCAGGGGGACCCAGCTGGGCCTTTGTCCAGTAATCAACTGGTAATTAAATTCATATGGTGAACGATGGAACAATGTAAACTGTTAAGAAAACTCGGATAGTCCTAACAGGTGCCTGAAGGGTTGAACTTGAAATGAAAAATCAGCCAAGTATTCATCACTTGATGAAATGAACTGTTGTCTTCATGTTCTTAGCGTGTTTATTCTTCCATAATTTAAGAACATAGATACATATGTCTGGTCCAGTTATACATGACTTTATTGGTTATCAGATTTGTCAGAAACTTTGTTAAAACATCAACATACCTCAAAGTTACGTCATTGAACTCTTGATATGAAAACAAAATATGTCCTGCAAGCGCCATCTTCAGAAACAACACTATGCGTGATTGGTTGATTCGGTAGTCGAAATAACAATGAGTTACACGATCAGGCTTCCTCACATCTAGGGTTTCAAAGTCAAAGTTTAAAGTGAAACTTATATATTTCCTTTTGACTGACATCGTGACTTGTGTGCACAGAAAATATCAAAATAGAACTTTATCAAATTTCGCGAGAATGTATCATGTGATTATTTTACACGATTTGATTTGCTAATAGTTTGCTTGCGTCCCCGATCTGCAATCTAATTTGCATACAACAGTACTAGTCAACCAATGAGATTAATACACGTCAAGGTCAGAAAGGTCAACAACGACAACGAGACTCATTTCATTCATAAATTGTAATAAAACGTAATAGTACTTCCAAATATGGCATACATTTCTTGGAAGGGAACAACGTGAACATTTCTAGGAAATTTAAGAAGCGAAGTAATGGGACTGTCAACAGACTACCACAGACAGAAAAAAACCAGTATATCTTATTGAAATTAGAGGCGATGATGTTGCGTCAGGATAAATGCATTTGATATTTCTATGGCGAATTTTGTAACCAACAACGGCAAAATACTCAGAAAACCTGCATCGTAACGAAGCCTGACAACTGGTCGGATTGAGCACGTCGTCAACTGGTCAAGCTACTGATTGTGAAATTTCAACATCTGTTTGCGTTTATCTGAGATGATCTTTGAACGAAAGTAATATGGGTAGTTTGTGCTGGGTTTATTTTTGGAGGAGGAAAATGCAAACAGAAATTAAGCAAGCTGTACGTATAAGAAACTTATTGATTATTTATTGTTTCAAAATATTTGGTTTTCTTAGTAACATTATTAAAGATAAAAGTTGGAAATTATCTTATCTTCATTATTTTATAAATCTCCCCCTTTGGAGGCAAATCTCCCCCATTTTGAAGTCAAATCTCCCACATTGTCATGATGAGGGGTTGACAGGTCTGTGACAGACAAGGATGATTAGAGGATCAATGGCTATCACAACTAGCAGTGGAACGCTATACTGATGCATCGGTGGATCACGATTTTTTACATCTTGATCACAATTGCTGCCTAAGTAAAAAGTATTGATTCTTACCTTAAATGTATTCTTTAATAAATGTGACACCAAAAACTAATTACTAGTGAAAATGAGTAGTGTAAACGTAAATATTTTCATCCGTTGCGCCATACTTGATACTGCCAACAGTAAATTGTTAGGGTATTTGGAAAAAGATGACTTACGCACCACAGAAAAGAGCACATGCATGTATCGTGATATGTATCGGATCGTGAGCAAGGTATCGTGATGCGTATCGTATCGCACAGTTGGTGTATCGTCCCAGCCCTAATTTCAACCCAACTGTAATAACCAAACATTGATAACCGTTCATGTTTCTGTGAGCGATTAAAAAAAAGGATGAACATCTCACTTAGGGAGCAATCAGCAATTGACCTTGGCATTGATTTTATTCAGATTGTGTTTTATATGGAGAACTTCACTTTATCACATTGCTTCATGCTTCATTTACTTACTTCACTGATTTTTCTTATGATGTTTTCTACAATCTCCAAACACTGTTTATTCAAAATGGCTGTCTTGTTTTAGCAAGCTATTACTCAATTAATTGGAAATATTCTCATTAATAACTCATCAACAGCAGCACTTACCTGATACTACTGTTTTGCCCCGTTGCTGCTTAGCTAGATTTGATTTACATCGATAAAAGACTACACTGTCTACCACTTCTGATGCCAACATACAAAATTCCATGAAAGACAGGCGGCATTAAAACATGTCATTGATGCAAGGATTAGACAGTATCATTGATTAACGACTCAAAATTCAAGGCACTTTTAAAATCAATTAATTTCTTTGTAGGGCGTGAAAGAGGTTGAGGAGACGTGGAGCAACATGAAGTTCACCGTGCAGGCGTACTTGAAGGGAACATCTCACCGAGGCTTCATCCTTGGCTCCGTGGACGACGTGCTGCAGATACTGGACGACAGCGCCATGAACCTACAGAGCATGTCCGCATCACGATTCATCGGACCCTTCCTGAACTCGGTACAGAACTGGGAGAAGAGCCTGTCTCACATCTCCGAGGTCCTTGATGTAAGTTGATAGAAATTTAGTATAGCTAAAATGGATAGAATTATCATTAAACCGCCCACACGTTATCAGAAATGATCGAGCCACTGTTACTTGATAATGCCCTCATTTTGCTTGACTACAGGCCATTATCACGCCCGTTGTTAGGTGACGTCATGGGGTAGAGAAAATGACGTCACATATTATAGTGACGTCATCTGGTTTGTTCTATGACGTTTCCATATTTGTAAAATGTGGTCAGTGACATTGCAGTAAATGTTTCAAAACCGATGTTGTTGTTTCTTTTTATTTGATAAAAACTTCCATCCATTTTAGCTATAATAACGGTAATGCTCTTTTTCAGGTCATTATCATTACCCTTATAGTATAAAATGGGTTGGGGTGAAATATTTGAAAGTCTGATGTCAATGACTTAAAAAAACTGAAGGCCTGATGTACCCAGAAAGCTGACAATGCAGTTTGATGACTGGGCTCTTACTTTCATTTGATTTGCTGTTTAGAATGTAGTAGAAAAGTTGATTTACCGCATTCGACGTAATAAGTGCCCCCGGCGATATTTGCTGATATAATTGCCTCGTGAACAAACCCAATTAGCACCCCTTCCGAGTGATCAATGTACACAAGACTTATTTATTCGCGTATAATATGCATGAGTTATATGCACTCTTAATTATGGGCAAATAAACTCAGGAAAAATATATCTGTGGTATATAAACATTTCAGGCTGTCAGCATAAACCACGAAAGTTATGTTTTAACTCTGTTTTTCAACAAAGTACAGTAAACTAAGTTTATAACGAACACGCTTATACCAAACTGACGGATAAAACGAACTGTTTTGGGGTCATGTCCATTTCCTGTGTATAGACTGTATATGTGCCTATAAGGAAACTACGGTTATAACGAACTAAAATTAATGGTCCCTTTTTGTTCATTATAACTGTAGTTTACTGTATTTACATGGGAAGAACAACATGTTGAAAAAACATTAATTTGTTATTATGTCATTTTTTGTAGAAGTTCAATATTGATTTCATTTAGTAAATTATGTTTTTAAATTGTTTTGCAATTTTAGTCTTTTTTTTACAAATTTTGTCATATAAATGTGCTTTGACTTACTGATACCATTCTTCACTTATCAAAATGACTTACAGATAAAACTTTGTTGTGTTCAGGTATGTTTACCTGTTTGTTTGTATTCAGGTGTGGATGGTGGTTCAGAGGAAGTGGATGTACCTGGAGGGCATCTTCATCGGTGGTGACATCCGATCTCAACTCCCTGAGGAGGCCAAGAAGTTTGACCAGATTGACAAGACATTCAAGAAGGTGAGCTGTAGGACTGAGATCATGCTCTTGTTGACCATGTAGATTTTTGTACACTCGAGATGTATAAGGTAACGTGTGTGTGTGTCTGTGTGTGTGTGTGTGTCTATGTGTGTGTCTCTGTGTGTCAGTGTGTCTGTCTGTATGTGTCTGTCTGTCTGTGGCTGTTTGCACTAGATTGGAGTAACGTCAGTTTTACGGTGCTAGCCCACTGAGGTACCATGCTGCTTCTTCGGTTTATTGACCCCACTCAGACACAGTATATTGACCCCACACAGACACAGTATATTGACCCCACTCAGACACAGTATATTGACCCCACACAGACACAGTAAATTGACCCCACTCAGACACAGTGTATTGACCCAACTCAGACACAGTATATTGACCCCACTCAGACACAGTATATTGACCCCACACAGACACACTAAATTGACCCCACTCAGACACAGTATATTGACCCCACTCAGACACAGTATATTGACCCCACACAGACACAGTAAATTGACCCCACTCAGACACAGTGTATTGACCCCACTCAGACACAGTAAATTGACCCCACTCAGACACAGTGTATTGACCCCACTCAGACACAGTATATTGACCTCACTCAGACACAGTATATTGACCCCACTCAGACACAGTGTATTGACCCCACTCAGACACAGTGTATTGACCCCACTCAGACACAGTTTATTGACCCCACTCAGACACAGTATATTGAACCCGAGCAGACCCAGTCTCACTGAAGTCAGATCTTAGTTCCCGCGACCGCTAAACAAAGATCTGAGAACACCCCATTAGGGGTCACGTTAGACCGACCTTGCGCGAACTTTGACTGACCAATGGAATGAATGACAAGAAGTTGACATTAGCCAAACGGAGGGCAGCTTTCTCATGCTTTACGGCACTAATTTCAAATTGGCGACTACGCTTCGTAACATATTTTGACAAATTCACGATTGAAAATTTGAAACCTGAACAAAAGAACATTCTAGTGAGTAAACATGGACTCGTCCCAGCCCTATTCTCAATTCGTTTTTACATTCATTTATGTTGGATGTCGTGTGACAAACATACCGAAGTGAAAAAAACCACAGCTTGTCACATATAGTGTCTCATTCACAGAACAAAATTACCTGCCTTAGTCTTACCAGGATCAGCACCATTGTTTTTTTCTAAGTGGCAAACATCTAAAACCTGCATCACCTTAGTCTTTCCATTTGCATTAAACTAACACAATGGGATACAACTGAAAGTTTTGTAAGGCAAATTTAAACCATTTCTCTCAATTACCCAAGTACAGTAGAACATGGATATGACGAACTACAAGGGGCCGGAGAAATCAGTTCGCTAGATACGTTGTTTTATATATATATACATTTTCACTCGGAAACATCCGCCATCTTGGATAAAACAAAATGCAATACACATAATTGCAGCATTGTGTTTTACTGGATGTACATATTATGTTGTGTTTTCGCTCTATCAGTGTTCGTTCTATCCATGTTCTTCTTGATGTACAAATCATGTTGTGATTTTGCTCTATAAGTGATCATTCTATCCGTGTTCTACTGTATGTACAAATTATGTTGTGTTTTCGCTCTATCAGTGTTCGTTCTATCAGTGTTCGTTCTATCCATGTTCTACTGTATGTACAAATCATGTTATGTTTTCGCTCTATCAGTGTTCGTTCTATCCGTGTTCTTCTTGATGTACAAATCATGTTGTGATTTTGCTCTATAAGTGATCATTCTATCCGTGTCCTACTGTATGTACAAATTATGTTGTGTTTGCGCTCCAATAGCGTTCGTTCTATCTGTGTTCTACTGTATGTACAAATTATGTTGTGTTTTCAGATAATGACAGAAACCCACAAAACCCCTCACATCAAGCTGGCATGCCATGCACAGAACAGACTGTCTGACTTACAGAACCTCAGCACCGGGCTGGAGAAATGTCAGAAGTCCCTCAATGATTATCTTGACTCTAAGAGAAATGCCTTCCCTAGGTTCTTCTTTATATCAGATGATGAGCTGCTCAGTATTCTTGGCAGCAGCGACCCTGAGTGTGTGCAAGAACACATGATCAAGGTCAGTGGTAATGATAATTAAGGTGATGATGATGATGATGATAAATAGTATAGTATGATGGATGAGGATGATGATAAATAGTAGAAGAATGATGATTGATGAGGATTTTGATTATGATAAATAGTATGAAGTATGATTGTTGATGATGAGGATAAATAGTAGAAGGATGATGATGATGATGATGATGATTTTATGTTGGATTTCCTTTTTTGCAGATGTTTGACAACATTTCAGCCCTGAGGTTTGCCAAGGGCGCCAACAATGAAGCCACGGCTGCTGCCATGATTTCTGCAGAGGGTGAGACGATGGAGTTCCGCAGCAGCATTCCGGCAGAGGGTCGTGTTGAGGATTGGATGACAGGGGTCTTGGAGGAGATGAGGAGGACCAACAGACTCATCACCAAGGAGGCCGTCTTCTTCTACTGTGACAAGAGATCAAGGTGAGAAAGAGAGAGAATTGGGAGTCGGGGAGGGGATGAGGACGACCGAAAAGCTCATCACAAATGAGGCGATCATCTTCTGTGACAAGCAGAAATGGTGAAGGAGAGAAGCAGATAGGCGGGGTTTAGGCTGCAGATAGGCGGGGTTTAGGCTGCTGAAGGGTGGAATGATGGAGTTTGGGATGAGGTGTTTGATGAAGAAGTGGAATATGAATCAAAGGGTTGTCTGTCAGGTGTGATGATATGGATGAGAGGGGTAATGTGGAGTGAGGAGTGATAGACGTCGGGGGATGTTTAAGTTTGAGGCAGATCCAGAATTTTGTAAAAAGGATGGGGGTGCACACTATCTATGTCATGAAGTGAAGAAAACATGAAAAACTCAAAGTTGTTGTGGTTGTAGAAGTATGGAGTGGTGGGTTAGATTTGGGCTAGAGTTGCATCCCTTAGCTCTGCTAGGATCTGCTGTTTATGGGTTTGAATTAAAAACTTATTCCAGTTATGTTCATGATTTTCACCAAAGTTCTAAACATCTACATAATGCATCAATTTTGACTTTCCTCCCACATTTAGCTGACACACTGATATATCTGAAATATTGTTCAAGTTAAAACAGCATTAAGTCCAACTCACTCACTCTACCTTCACATAAGAACTAGGAAATTATAGATTTTAGACAGAGTTCGTATGTGTAATGAAATCCTTAAAAGTCAGACTTTGAAATTCCCAAGTCTGGAATAGCTTGGGAAAAATAGAAAAAAGTTATAAAGCCATCGAAAAGTCATGGGAAAATTTATATCTACTTTTAAAATATGACAAACCAATCAAAAATGCCTCAATGACTTCCAAGTACTTCAGTCAAAGAATCCCTCAGAAATAATTTTTGATTTTGAATATGTCTTGCATCTAAAAATACACCCTCGTTACAGCTAAATGAGGTTCAATTATACTGTATAAGTACTGTAAGTCCCGATGTGTTTAAATTTAATCGGGAAAATATATGACATGGGGGAACTATATGTGAATCATTACACAACAAGTTGACAATTCTTTTAACTATGCCACGTTTGCACTCAGACGGAACCCAGTCGCTATTCGGCTTGTCCCGGAATAACATGAGTTGGTCACGAATGCATGCGATTCAGTAATCACTGCACGGTATGGTAATATGTAGTGAAGTGCTGACAGCTAGCATCCTGCTTCAGAGTGGAGTGGATGATGAAATACCAAGGGATGGTGTGTCTGGCTGGCAACCAGATCTGGTGGACGTGGGAGGTCGAGGATGTCTTCAAGAAGGTCAAGAAGGGGGTGAAGACAGCACTCAAGGACTATGCCAAGAAGCTTCACAAGCAGATAGATGAACTGGTAGTGCAGGTGAGAGCTCCATACAGTTTGTTAGAACATAAGGTTCAGTACATATTGGGCACTCACCAAAGCAATGTGACCATTATTTAAGGTATCGTTGTTGAAGATTGAACTTTACATATTTTGTTTTACAGTTCGCTGATATTATGGATATGAGCCCCTTGGTTGATGCATGCATGTCCCAATTGTGTCATTTTTTACTTTTCCTGCATTACTCCTTAATGCATTCACTGCTTACCTTGCGACAAAAAAACTGGGACAGCGTACCGGCGATGGTCCTGGATGAAGATAAATAAACAGTTCCTGAGTCCCACTTTTATATGAAGTAATGAAAGTAATATGAAAGGAATACATCACCCGTCGCAGATGAATTTTAGAATAGTAGACAAAAACTGAAGGTCTAAATAAATCCAAAACGAGAGCTCCGCTGGTACACGTCCTAGCTGCAGCCCGACAGGCAGTGATGTGAAGAGGTGACCTAGGTCACGTGAGGTCACAGGGACGGTGACGGCGTGGTATAAAAGTCGGACTCAGGAACAGTTTATTTAAGCAGTGAATGCATTAAGGAGTAATGCAGGAAAAGTATACAAATGTAAAATGATTTGTTCATGATGTCAGTCACTGGATTGTCTGGTCCAGATTGTTTTACAGCCTGTCGTCATACAGCTGGAATATTGCTCAGTGCAGCGTTAAACAAACAAACATATAGACATGAGTGCCAAGAAGAATTACCGTATTTGATGTAATAAGCACCCTGCTCTAATAAGCGCCCACGGTGATATTTGCTAATACATTGGCTAGTGAACAGTCCCAATTAGCTTCCGATTGATCAGTGTACACAAGACAGGCACTCGTGTGTTATATGCACCCTTAAATATGGGCAATTAAATTCGGGAAAAATATATCTGTCGTGTATAATGCGCACAGATTTTTCTTTTGTATTATTTCAGGTTTAGCATTAACCACAAAATTTACGATCTTTCAACTCTTTTTTTTTTCACCAAAATTTTATTCCAATAAAAGCCCCCTATTTCTAATTTTGAGAGCGCCCTGGGAGCTTATTACGTTTAATACGGTAGTTTTCTCCTAAGAGGTCATTCAGGGGAGCAACTTAAACTGAAACGTACTGGCCTCAAACCCTGGGAGATTCCAGATTAGAATTGGTCCCTAGCAACCTATGCTGGAAGTAGGAGGTGACTAAGTGGATTGGGTGGTCAGACTCACTGACTTGGTTGATAGCATGTTATTGTATGCCAATTGCGTGGATTGTGGCTCAAAATATCAATCACTGCATTGTCTGATCCTGTGAGTGAGGTGTTAAACAACAAACACACACATACTGGCCTCAAAAGTGATAACATACAAGGAAACACCCTAAATAGACTGAACTTCTGCTAGCCATAACAGTATACACACTGACTCATGCTAGAGACTCATATGCATCTCTGCAGTTATTGTTAATTATTTTTTAATTAATTTTCGTTATGATCAACATTTGTTTTATGTATTATCAGTATATGAGGTTTGTGCATGATCCGTTGAGCACTTGCACATTGGCTTTTTCAAAGAAGCCATAAATAATTGATGTTTGAAAGTGTATTTTTCGATTTGGCAAAACGCACTTGATGTTTGATGATCTATTTTTTCACCTTCTGTAGGTGAGGTCACCTTTGTCCAAGAATGACCGAAGCAAGTTCAACACAGTACTCATCATCGACGTACACGCCAGAGACATCATTGACGGCTTTGTCAGAGACAGGTAACACTTGTTCATAGTAGTGAAGTTAAGAATGGGATGACAGCTTATAGGTATTTCTATGTTATGTCAAAAGATTAAGATTCTACCGAAAACGAAAATCTGAATGCAGCTTTAAATAAATGCTACCATATTTGAAGTATTAAGCACCTGTACTTACTTTTGATAACATTTGAAGCGTCCTTATTAACATAACCAATAAATGTGTCATGTCGTTTATACTATTTTTATTGTCATGTCATGGCTGAAATTTTGCTGATGTGACGTTAAATTTTAACTCACTCACTATATGTTTTTTGTGTTGTAACAATTCACAGCTACAGCCTACAGTCACAAAGTGGAGGATGTAAAAATTAATAAGCACCTCTGTTTTGAAATGTTTTTTGTTCATTCTGTGCTTATGGGCCATACTATTATTGAGATCTACCGCCCAAACTACAAACATTGAATCCTGATTCTATGCTGAAAAACATGGTTTTGATGTATAGGAGAGAACCACAGTTAGTGCCCCCCCGTAATTCCACGGCAACCAAGACTAGGTCCCCAGCAACCTATGCTGGTCATAGGAGGCGACCAAATGGCGATCACGTGGTCAGGCTCGGTAACTTGGTTGAATATAAGTCTTCGTATCATATTGACCCTTGCAGCATTAAACAAAACATGCATGCATGCACACGCGCACACGCACACACACACACACACACACACACACACACACACACACACACACACACACACACACACACACACACACACACACACACACACACACACACACACACACACACAAATGTGTGAAGCTCATTTCTGGTGTCCCCCGCCATGATATTGCTGGAATATTGCTAAAAGTGGCATAAAGCGACACTCACTCTATCACTCATAATAGAACGTTAACATTGAGTTAACAAATATGCATGATCTTCTAACAATGTCTACTCAAGGCTAGAGCTTGACTTCCAGCACATGTTATTACCATAGTTCCGTGTTTTGTCCCTCAGCATCATGGATGCCCGAGAGTTTGAGTGGGAGTCTCAGCTTCGGTTCTACTGGGAGAAGGAACCAGATGAACTGACCATCAGACAGTGTACGGGATCGTTCGGCTACGGTTACGAGTACATGGGTCTCAATGGGAGGTTGGTCATCACGCCGCTCACTGACAGAATCTACCTCACACTTACACAGGTAAACTTGGAAATCATTCACGGCCATAGAATATTGGCATATAACGTTGGGGGTTATAGTCATCATCTCGTCTGTCGGTCCGTTTGTCTGTCGGTATTTTGTTTCACGAACATAACTTGAAAACCGTTAAAGATTTTTCACTCAAACATGGCACATGTATTAATAAGGGGCTGAAGTGGTGCCTTATGCTATTAAGGGATTTTTAGAATTTTTATTTTTTTCCATTTCCATGGCAACAAGTTTGACTTTTGACTTCATAATTGGTGTGTACTTGTCAGAAATACAAAGTTCCAAATCCTAATTCCATGGTATAGTTTTGATAGCTCATTAACTACTCTTGTATATGGACAGACATATTAGATAGAAATTCTCTAATCAAGTAGGACTTAACGTAACAGTCAGATTTTTTCTCCTTTCGAATTTGTGGCGTCCGTGGGGATTTGTCATCTTCTGATGACTCTTGTTAAAAAATGATGACAATGCCCTCAATTTCCCACTGTGAAAAAATATTTCAAACTACTGTTTTGGTGAGACATATTTTTAACCTTGTTTGTAGTTTTTGTTTGACTATTGTTTCAAAATCTCCCATAATGATCAAAGGTTAAAATACGTCCCCTGTTACCCATGCTTGGTCCCTGAATGAATTGAGTGCTCAGACTCGGTGACTTGTTTGGTTGCATGTCATCGCATCCCGAATGCTAGAGATGTATAACATCACTGGTTTATCTGTCCCAGATGTAATTATTTATTGGACTCTGCGTAATGGCTGGCATATTGCAGCAACAATCTAACAAGCATTTAAAGGAAAGAAGGACACCACAACTATTACTGAATATCAGTAACTAGTTCCATGATGGTGCACGAATCAGACTGACCGATGTGAGTAGTGAAGTCTATCATTCTGAAGGCTAATGCTATGTCTCCCCCCAGGCTCTGTCGATGAAGTTGGGCGGGGCTCCGGCTGGTCCTGCTGGAACCGGGAAGACAGAGACGACCAAGGATCTGGCCAAGGCTCTGGGACTGCTCTGTGTCGTCACTAACTGTGGAGAGGGCATGGATTACAAGGTATGTGCCGGAACATTTCGTTAATCAACCACATCACTTAACACAGCTTTAGCTGTTTGAAGTGGTTGCTTTTTAGAATTGATAACAGTAGTCTTTAGATGGCCACATTATGAAATTTATAATGTCAATTAACTAACAATTCGTTTTGTCATGTATTTGGTCATTGCAATTAACAGGTGATTTTCTAGTTGCAGTAAACGTACCTCTGTGTTGCTCCCTATAAACAATTTTGATAATAACGTGTCTCTATGCAGAGCTACGGACTGTTCCATAGTGTTTTCCTAATAGGTTGTTGATGCGGACCGAACCACACTAAACAACCCTGCCATAATTTACAAGAATTGTATTCCGATGAAAATTGCTACACAATTAGCTTTCTAAAAGACTTACCTTCAAATATGTATTTTCGATCACTCAACTTTCTATGTACTGTAAATTGTAAAATTCTGTAGCTTTACAAAAATCATAAAAAATATATCTCCCAGACCTCCGGAAAATACAGGCCTTTTTCTGTTAGTTTTCTGTACTATGTAGAATGTTTGTTTCAGGCTGTGGGGAAGATCTTCTCTGGGCTGTGCCAGTGTGGTGCATGGGGCTGTTTTGATGAGTTCAACCGTATCGACGTGTCCGTATTATCTGTCATCTCAACACAGCTGAAGACAATCCAGAATGGACTGCTACTCAACCTCAAGAGATTCCATGTAAGTCATTCACTCAACAAACTTGGAGAATTTTTTCAGCACCAATGACTTTGGAGATGTTAGTACAGTTGGTTTCTTAAAATGCCAGAAAGTTTTCAGAATTATTTGCCTGTGTGTTAGAATGTTAACTGTTTGTCTTGAGGCGAAGAAACTGTTCTCACACAATGGCATTCTGCTTATGACTTTGGTGCTTGAAAAGTTAAAAACCAAATTGTTTTCTTCAGTTTCAGAATATTTTAGAAGGCTATATTTGTTATGCATGCCATATTCAACGTAAAAAGCGCCCAGGGCGCTCTCAAAATTAGAAATAGGGTCTCTTATTAGAATATTATTTTGGTGAAAAAGAGTTCAAAGATAAATTTTGTGGTTTATGCTGACAGCCTGAAATGTTTATATACGACAGATTTATTTTCCCAGAATTTAATTGCCCATAATTAAGGGTGCATATAACACACGAGTGCGTATTATACGCAAATTAATAAGACATTTGTACATTGATCAATCGGAAAGGATGCTAATTGAAATTGTTTACAAGCCAAAATATTAGGAAATATCGCCGTGGGCGCTTATTAGAGCGGGGCACTTATCACGTCGAATACGGTAACTGCAATTAATTGAAACAATTTCATACAGTACTCATGCTAGGTAAATTATTTCTTAAATTCAAACTTTATGTTATATGTTCACCTTTATGACAAAATGTAAAGTGGTTGCTAAGCTTTGATTATTTGGTTCACACTTGCAGTGTATGAACATTTCTAATACATTGGTCTGTTTTGATATGTAATACACACATGATAATTTGCTTTCAATGCAGTTTGAAGGTCAGGAGATTGACCTTGACAGTCGTGTGGGTATCTTCATCACCATGAACCCTGGTTATGCCGGACGTACAGAGCTCCCCGAGTCGGTCAAGGCATTGTTCCGGCCAGTGGTGGTCATTGTCCCTGATCTGCAGCAGATCTGTGAAATCATGTTGTTCTCTGAGGGATTCCTGCTTGCCAAGGTAAGCTGCTTCTTTAGCTGACGTGCCACAAGGTTCAGTGCAGAGTATCCTCCCTTAGCCTTTCCAGGATCTGCTTGTCGTGGGTTCTAGACCCAGATTTGTTCTAATCATGATCTTTTGTCTGTCATGCAAGTGGTAAGTGTCTACGTTCTTCATCACCTGTGCTTTTTCCTTCTACATTAACATCGATATTTCATAAACAATAAGCGGGCACGGGTGGTCCAGTCGTCTAAGGCGCCGCGATTCGCTGTGCAGAGTTGCGTCCTTTGGGCACGCCAGAAACCTATGATTGTGGGTTCGAATCCCGGTTCGCCCTGATTATGTTTCTAGGTTTGTCAGCACCATACCCGTGCTTGTGGGTTTCACCAAAGTGGTAAACGTCTGAGACCTGCATCACTTTGGGCTTTCCTCCCACATTAAGCTGACACGCCGCAATATAACTGGAATACTGTTAAAAGCGGCGTTAAACCCAACTCACTCACTCACTCACTCATAAACAATAACCTATCTCAGTCGACTTAGCCTAGGTGATAAATCCCCAAATACAAATGATCTCAGGCTGCCAAAATTATTTATTTGTACCTTGATATTTGTTTCATTTGTTCATGTGATGAATATTTACTTTTGACTGACTTTCTCACCAGGCAATATATGGAAAAGTCAATGGTTTCCGGAGAGTTTGTCTAATTTTCTTGTTAGATTGGATGTCGGGTGTGCTTAGTCCATCAGTGAGAAACGTGAACCCCAGTGCACCATGCTTGTGTAATACAGCCACTGTAAGGATGAACCTGTAAGAACAGGACCCGTGAAGATCCGGGTTACAATAGGTCTTCAGCAACCCATACTTGTCATAAGAGGCGACTAACGAGATCGGGTGGTCACTGACTTGCTGACTTGGTTGATGCATGTCATCGTATCCCAATTGTGTAGATATATGCACATGATATCAATCACTGGATTGTCTGGTCCTGACTAGATTGTGGACAGACCGCCGTCATATAGCTGGAATATTGCTGAGTGCCGCATTCAACAACAAATAAACAAACTGTCAGAACAGCTGCACATTGAAAACAATAGGTCACAACACACTCACTGTCTGGCGGGGCGGTGGGGTAGTCTAGTGGTTAAAGCGTTCGCTCGTCACGCCGAAGACCCGGGTTCGATTCCCCACATGGGTACAATGTGTGAAGCCCATTTGTGGTGTCCCCCCGCCGTGATATTGCTGGAATATTGCTAAAAAGCGGCGTAAAACCATACTCACTCACTCACTCACTCACTGTCTGGCTGTACTGGTGTGTCGGTACACCTATCTTGTTGAATTCTTGTCACTACTACAAGCCTTTTCAAGGCTATATTTACACATGCCAGATAGCTTCAGGAATTAGAAGGATTCATTAGATATTTTTGCATTAACTAACCTATAGGCCTAGAGCTGAGAAACTGATGAGTATAGGATGCTAGAGCTGAACAGGGGATGAGTATCGATTGCTACAGCTGAGAAGGGACGAGTATAGGTTGCTAGAACTGGGAATGGGATGAGTATAGGTAAGCGCGGTTGGTTGTTTTTTTGTTTTACGCCGCACACAGCAATATTCCAGCTATATCACGGCGGTCTGTAAATAATCGAGTCTAGACCAGACAATCCAGTGATTGACATCAAGAACATCGATCCACGCAATTGGGATCGATGACATGCATCAACCAAGTCAGCAAGCTTGACCACTCGATCCCGTTAGTCGCCTTTTACGACAAGCATAGTCGCCTTTTATGGCAAGCATGGGCTGCTGAAGACCTATTCTGGCCCGGATCTTCACGGGTCGGTTAGCGCTGGGAAAGGGATGAGCACTTTCACTGGAGCTGACAATGTCATGAAAATGGAATGGTGGCAAATGTTTTATTACACACATGCTCTGGAGTTTCTAAGAGAGACTAATGCAAGCGCTGTGATGCAGGTACTGGCCAAGAAGATGACTGTGCTGTACAAGTTGGCCAAAGAGCAGCTGTCCAAGCAGTACCACTACGACTTCGGTCTGCGTGCTCTAAAGTCAGTGCTGGTGATGGCAGGAGAGCTGAAGAGAGGGGCGGCTGAACTCCATGAGGTGAGTACATGAACAATAGCCAAATGTCATATAGACTTACAATTTAGAGATTTGTAATTTTTTTTTTTTTTCTGAGACAATTTATCATAGTTTAAACCTGGAAAGAGTTGATTATGTAGTCAAACGCTGTTGTGTCGAAGTTGAAGGGACCAAAGTAAATACTTCGAGTTATTCGAGTTTCAACACAACCGAAGATGATGAATAAAGAAGGGACACACAGGGACCAAGCTTTTACTTCAAGACAGCCATAAGTTTGACACATCAAGTTTGACACAACAGTGTTTGAGTGTAGTTCTAAGATTTTACATTACAAGACTCCAACTTGCACAGACAGTCACTCTGACAAATGTATTTTGACATACAAATTGGATTATTAAAGGGAGTCTAATTGGCATTCACAATGTGATTCAAGTCGTTAATGATACTCTTGTTAGTCTCCTAACTGAGAATTGACTTGAAATGGGCACCACACCATGGAACAAAGTCTTCATTTTTGAAGAATCTTTGGGACTGATTGGTATAGGTTCAAGAAAATAATGGTGCTGACTCAGTGTCCAACCCAGAATTGAAAATCAAGGGGGGACTTGTCCCCCCATCATATAGAAAATAGGGGGGATTTTGAAAAAGTAGGGGGGAATAACTGCTTTCTTCAAAAATGTCTTATTTTGTATTATGTACTGGAACATCATCATATAAAAGTGTAACAGTTCAGAATAAAGAACTGAAATGAATAACAATGCTTTGTGATTTTTTCTATCAGTAGTAATTACAGTGACTGTGGTTTCATCATTGTCTTTTTTAGAACATCTATTTTGATTAAAAAAGTGTATTTTTTTTGTTTTTGCGCGACATTTTCACTATTCAAAAGATCGTCTGCAATGACAGTCGGCGATTCATATCGTGTGATTTCAGAAACGAAACTAAAACGAACTAAAATGCTCAAAGATATTTTCAGAACTATTCAAGATAGAATATTTATTGTCTTTTAACATCTTGTCAAAGGTTTTTGATTACTAAACAACAAAATACAACATAATTTTGATCAAAGTTTTGATACGCTTTCAACTAAAGTAAATTAAATTTCGTTTCCTATGCAAATCCTGTCGATAATTTATTCAGGAACCCAAGGAAATGACTGTACAAGAAATTACTGTGCGCGACAGATCGCGCATTGAGTTTTTTATGAGGGGCGATTTGATTTTTTTTAGCGTGAATCGCGCAATCGCGCGGTCTGGGTTGGACACTGCTGACTAGAGAGACTTTGCTCACTTGTTTAACCTTGCCCCATACTGACAACTACAATGCTGCATTCATTGTTTGTTCCCCAGGATGTTGTGTTGATGAGAGCTCTGAGAGACATGAACCTGCCCAAGTTTGTGTTTGAGGATGTGCCCTTGTTCCTGGGCCTCATCACTGACTTGTTCCCAGGGCTGGACTGTCCCCGAGTCAGGTATCCCAACTTCAACGATGCTGTGGAGGGAGTCCTGGAGGAAAACAACTATGTCATGCTGCCGCAGCAGGTAAGGAGGATGGTGATGATAGAAAGTGATGATGATGATTATAATGAGAGTGATAGTGTTGTGAAAGTGTGATGATAGTGTTATGATGACAGTGTTATGATGACAGTGATGATGATAGTGTGATGTCAGTGAGATGTCATTATGATGTCATTATGATGTCATTATGATGTCAGTTATGATGACAGTGTGGATGACAGTTTGGTTGACAGTGATGATGATAGTGTGATGATTGTGTGATGTCAGTGATCATGTCAGTGAAGATGATAGTGATGATGACAGTGATGATGATAGTGTGATGTCAATGATGATGTCAATGATGATGATAATGTGATGTCAGTGATGATGATAGTGATGATGATAGTGAGATGTCAATGATGATGACAGTGATGATGACAGTGATGATGATAGTATGATGTCAATGATGATAGTGTGATGTCAGTGATGTTGACAGTGATGATGATAGTGATGATGATAGTGATGATGACAGTGATTATGATAGTGCGATGTAATTGATGATGATAGTGTGATGTCAGTGTGATGTCAGCGTGATGTCAGTGGTGATGATAGTGATGATGATAGAGATGATGATAGTGTGATGTCAATGATGATGATAGTATGATGTCAATGATGATAGTGTGATGTCAGTGATGTTGACAGTGATGATGATAGTGAAGATGATAGTGAAGATGACAGTGATGATGATAGTAAAGATGACTGATTATGATAGTGTGATTTCAGTGATGATGATAGTTTGATGTCAGTGATGGTGATAGAGATGGTGATAGTGTGATGACTGTTGATGAAAGTAAGGATGACATTGATGATGATAGTCCTTTAGTTCATGTGACTGTTGACTTTCTTGACCTGAGAGACTACTATTCTCTGTATATATTCCATGCTTCAGGTTGACAAGGTGGTCCAGATGTACGAGACAATGTTGACCAGGCACACCACCATGATCGTAGGACCGACTGGCGGCGGGAAGTCTGTGGTCATCAACACTCTGGCCCAGGCACAGACAAAGTGAGTGGACGGCTGTAACCAGTCGCAGACTAACGTATACGCAAGATGGCCTTCAGTTTCTTGTATACAAGATGGGTGCAGTCAACAGTACTCAGTGAACCACTGCACACTAAGGAAAATCAATCAAAGTGTCGGACCTACCCGACCCGACCCAGTATTGCCCAACACTATCCGACCCTACCCAGGTACCTATTGTATATTTCGATAGTTGGGTACAAGCTGTCCGTTTGGGTATTGTTTTACGGGTGCCTTGACAAACACTATTTAGACACACATATAAAACAATGTATACACTGAAGTTGACTGAAGCTTTATCTTTATTCAAACTTATAGTGCATAGTCAGAGAGAAATGCAAAACTTAGTGTAAGCAAGAAGTGAATTTTTGTCATTAAACAATATATCACGTGACTAACCACGGGTCTGGGTAGTCCTGTGGTTACCTGGTTCCTACACAGTACCCATCCCATTCCTATTACAAACATGAAAATTATTGTAAGGCATAAGTGGTCTGTAGGTGTCCCAATCACAGATGGGGCAATTTTTCGCCATTTGGTTTCATGGGATAGTTACATGTTCATATTTAATGACAGAACACAACACTCCTCCATCAGTGTTATTTACCTTTCCTCTTTGTTGAGAGAGGCCACAGTGGCCCAGTCGTTTAAGGTGCCGCAATTCACTCTGCAGAGTTGCGTCTCTTGATCGTGCCAAAAACCTATGATCATGGGTTCGAATCCCCATTCATCCTAAATGTTTCTAGGTTGGTCTGCACTATATCAGTGCTCGTGGGTTTCACCAATCGTCTGACACCTACATCACTTCAGGCTTTCGTCCCACATTTAGCCCACACGCCATGATATAACTGGAATATTGTTCAAAGCGGCAGTAGACTCAACTCACTCACTCTTTGTTAAGAGGTAATATCCAGATCTGTTCTAATCTGTGAGTAGAATGGGGATCCAGGGTAGAGTAGGTCTTCAGCAACTCATGGTTGGCGGAAAAGGCGATTATGCTTGTCGTAAGAGGCGAGTAACGGGATCAGGTGGTCAGGCTCGCTGACTTGGTTGATGCATGTCATCGATCCCAATTGCGTGGATCGATGCTCATGTTGTCAATCACTGGATTGTCTGGCCCAGACTCGATTATTTACAGACCGCCGTAATATAGCTGGAATATTGCTCAGTGTGGCGTTAAACAACAAACAAACATACAGACTAATCTGTGAGTAGAATGGGGATCAGATGTCCAACATTATGGTAGTTGAGAGCCTTGCATTCATTTCAGCCATTTATTCTGAATGTACTTGTGTTTTTCACAGACTGGGCCTGACGACCAAGATGTTCACCATCAACCCCAAGGACAGGAGCGTGATAGAGCTGTATGGAATCCTTGATCCAACAACCCGAGATTGGACCGATGGTTTGTTGTCCAACATCTTCCGAGACATCAACAAACCTACTGACAAGAATGAGAGGAAGTACATTGTGTTCGATGGAGATGTTGATGCATTGTGGGTAGAGAACATGAATTCGGTTATGGACGACAATCGGCTACTGACTCTTGCTAATGGAGAGAGAGTTCGCCTGTTGAAACACTGTGCTCTGCTGTTTGAGGTAATGATTCTGTCATATGCATTCTAGATGTACTTTATATATTGTGTTTGTTTGTTTGTTTGTTTGTTTAATGCCTCATTCAGCAATATTCCAGCTCTATGACCGTGGCCTGTAAATAATCAAGTCTGAACCAGACAATCCAGGGATTGATATTATGAGCACACAATCAACTAAGTCACTGACCCTGACCTCACAATCCACTTGGTCACCTCTTATGACTGGCATAGGTTGCTAGGGACCTGTTCTAACCCGGAGTCCCAACTTTTTTTAATATGAACACCCCTAATGCTATTTCAGTACAACTAATTCCAAAGCCAAAACATAAAGAAACTTTGGGATTATTCATTGTTACAAAACATGGACTAGATGAGAAGTACCGTATTCGACATAATAAGCGCCCAGGGTTCTCTCAAAATTAGAAATAGGGGGCTCTTATTAGAATAATATTTTGGTGAAAAACAACAGAGTTCAAAGAGCGTAACTTTCGTGGTTTATGCTGAAATGTTTATATACGACAGATATATTTTCCAAAATTTAATTGCCCATAATTAAGGGTGCATATAACAAAAGTATTATGCACGAATAAACAGTCTTGTGTATATTTATCAATCGGAAGGGGTGCTAATTGGGATTGTTCATTAGCCAGTATATTAGCAAATATCGCTGTGGGCGCTTATTAGAGCCGGACGCTTATTACGTCAAATACGGTATTTCAATTTGATCATAGGAGAGAAACAAATTTAAAAAAATAAATATTGTTTTGTTTCCCTTTTATTTAACATTTCTTTTTAACACAATCATTACTGCAAGGTTAGAAATTAATTTTCAATTTGGTATGTTAATTTCAGACCCTTTTAAAGTAGGCTTCTCTGACAATGCAGTATCTATTACCATCAGTGCCAAAAATGCTGTATTTCGGGTGTCATCACACTATAGATTTTCAACAGAAGTCCTCTTCACCATGTTCACTGTCAGCTATCCATTATCAGTTGTGATACTAACAGTATCTCCCTTCCTAAACCTCTGCACCTGTGCAGGCAGGAAGTCTTCAATTCTTTCCTGTAAAACAGTATGTGCTTCTTCCATCATCAAAAAAGTTCTTAGTTATCGTAGCACATTATTTAAGGTTGTATCTTTGTTTACGTTGTTTACTCAGTCTAGATCGTATTTTCACCTTCGATTGAAGCTTAGAGTATTAATTTGATCCATTTCTCCTTTCGTCCTCAGGTATATGATCTTCAGTTCGCCTCCCCTGCCACCATCTCCCGATGTGGTATGGTGTATGTTGACCCCAAGAACCTGGGCTTCAAGCCTTACTGGCAGAAGTGGGTCAAAGGCCGGCCGAACAAGACTGAGAGAGATGAGTTGACTCGTCTGTACGACAAATATGTGCCCTGTCTCATCGATATGGTGGTTGAAGGCATTGTGGATGGTAAACAACAAGAAAAACTCAAGACGATTGTGCCGCTTACAAATCTGAACATGGTAAGCTGAGCTAGAGATAAGCTGCATATTTGCATAAAATACACAAAATAAACCACTACTACCCAATTAATTTTGCGTTAGATATTTAAAAAAACCCTAGTATAACAAAACATAATCACTCAAGGCTTAAAAAAATAAAGAATTGGTTCTCAGGCAATGGGTTTTAGAAATATAGTGAAGGCGGGTGGTGGATTTTTGTTTGTTTTGGATGTTCAAGCTAGTATGTAACCACATTTTGTTCACAATAATTTTGGCGAAGTCACCTTGTTCTTAAATATTGCAGCATTTCACTGCTGTGGTCATGTGTTAGATATGCAGAATATGTAAAGGTTATTATTTCTTTTGAAAACTGAAATAAGAACGAAACGTGCAGCATACTTTATGATGATGCAGGCGGTGCCTGAAAACCAAGACTATTATTTTTTTTAGCCCAATGTAGCCTTTTTAACTTGTGTGCGTGAGCATATATTTTTTTTACAGTCATCACAAAACACACAAGACCTATATACTACATAAACTCTACTGCAGTAAAGAATGCATAAAATGGACGCTATATCTCTTTTATACCCTTAAACTAAAATAAGACATTAATCATGAAAGAACTTTGTGAATTCAAAATTTATTAGTATTTAGCTCAATATTGGTGACATCTTATAAGAAATGGTTCTAGATAACACTATTAATGCATTCCTCCTTTGTTTCAATCTATTCTCTCAGGTGACCCAGCTGTCGATGATGTTGAATGCTCTGCTGGTGAAGGAGATCCCCGAATCAGCAGAGGTAGAGGCTATATTCCTCACTGCTTTGTACTGGTCAATCGGAGGTGGTCTGCTTGAAGATGGACGTATCAAGTTTGACAACTACGTCAAGTACCTGGCTTCTCTCAACATGATCACTGACGACAATGCTATGCCAGGGCTAGGTATGTATTGCAATTTAGAAAATTTGGAAATACCTGATTCTGATTGGTCTCAAACTCACAATAACCACTTCTAATTCAGATCGAAATCCACTCAAATCATAGCACCCAAACCATGCTGCTACTCGCAGTATCTTTGCTGGCACCAAATATTTTGTCATGGTAGAATGGAGATAAACATTTGTGACCTGGCAAGGAGAAAAGAGACCTTATCATTGCTGCAGAGCTCCAGGACCCACTTGCACAAAGCGAACTTAGCGCCAAGATGATCGTAACTCCCATACTTTAACATAGGCTTACAATAGTCTTAGCGCTAAGATCGTTTTGTGCAAGTGGGCCCAGATAAGCTGCGTATCTGCATAAAATACGCATCAGAAATGCGGAAATACATGGTAAAATAAAATCAAAGCGTATCAAATACGCAACGAACATTACAGATATGCTTCAAAAATATAACTTGTGCGTATCATCAAAATATTGTGAAGTAACCCTGCGTATTCGATTAGCAAATCAGCAACTTATTTTGAAATTATAAACGGGCATTCCGTCAACCTTGCCAAACTCCTCGATGACAGTTACATCATGATCATTTGCCATCACACTTTCTTTTGGAAGCATCATGGTATTTTTGAGTCCTATAAAGCTCTCGAACCCACATGACACCAGTTTGCAGGGACTAGATGAATAGTGTTTTTAAATATTTAACTTAAATACCCACATGTGTTAAAACTAGTGGGTTAACAGAAATTTGAATACCCAGATAGAATTACTGATACCCAATGATTTTAAAATACATGGGTAAAATACCCACAACACTAAAAGCTTAACTGGAGCTCTGTTGCTGGGATACAATTGTGTTGTGACATCAAAAAGAAAGACGTTTGATGTCAAGTTACTTCTGCAAAAATCTCCATGTGTGCGGACTGTTAAAAAATATTGTATTTTTCTCTCGTAAGTTTGTAATGCAATACTAACTTAATTTCAAAGCATTTCAGCATTCAGGTCTACTTACAATTAATCAGATATTATATCTAAAACCTGCAGGGGGCACGGGTGGCGCCACGTTTCGCTGTGCAGAGTTGCGTCCCTTGGGCAGGCCAGAAACCTATGATTGTGGGTTCGAATTCCGGTTTGCCCCGATTATGTTTCTATGTTTGTCAGCACCATACCCGTGCTCATGGGTTTCACCGTAGTGTTAAACGTCTGAGACCTGCATCACTACGGGCTTTCCTCCCACATTAAGCTGACACGCCGTGATATAACTGGAATACTGTTGAAAGCGGCGTTAAACCAAACTCACTCACTCACTCACTCACTCTAGAAACTACAATTATTACATCAACTGTCATAGGTAAAAAAATGGGACTTTGCAGAAAATTGCTATGTGTCTCTGTATTAAATATGAATTGAAGCTTATCAACTGTATTTTTGTGGTTCAAAGAGACTTTAGTTTTAAAATATAATAAGAAGTCAAAATTTGATTTTTCCCCCATAAGGTCCCTTATCTTATGGTTAGTGACGTATTGTGTTTCTAAAGCAGGCATAGATTACCAGTAGGTTAACCATGCTAAAGGTAACATTTGAAACCTCACATTCAAATCCAACTGAAGGGTACCATGATATGTATCTAGAACTGTGCTGATTGCAGTATTAAGCAAACTATTTCTTGTCAAGACAAACAAATTGCAATTTCTTTCTTCACTTCGATCATATATAGGGGCCGTCTGGTAGCCTAGTGGTTAAAGCCTTCGCTCGTCATGCCAAAGACCCGGGTTCGAGTCTGGATAAGTATAGGAACATCCTGACATTTCTGTTTTGTTCCAGGTGACCTACCCTCCAACTCCACGCTGTATGAATACTACTGGGACATGGAGAAGAAGGGATGGATCCAGTGGTCCAAGATGGTGCCCAAGTATATTCACAGTCCGGAGAAGAAGTTCAACGAGATCCTCGTCCCAACTGTCGACACTGTGAGGTCAACATGGCTGCTGGAGCTAATGGTGGGCATCAAGAGACCTGTTGTCCTTGTCGGCGAGACCGGAACGTCGAAGACAGCCACCACTCAGAACTTCCTCAGAACCCTGGATCCGGAATCACATGTAAGTTGAGGCCTATTTCTGTAGGACATGATGATGATGATGATGATGATGGTGGTGATGATGACTAACTTTTGGAAGACTAATGAAACACCCCTCTCCCCCCACCACCATTCCAAAAAGCTATATCCACGTTTGTGACCTACCCACTATCATGTTAAACCTCTTCTGACATGTTGACCAACTTTTGTAGTACATTAAGCACCATACTGGAGATGAATGTCGTCTTCCCTCTTCCCCAGCTGCTGCTGAACATGAACTTCTCCAGTCGGACCACATCCCTGGATGTCCAGCGAAACTTGGAGGCTAACGTAGAAAAGAGGACGAAGGACACGTATGGTCCTCCACCTGGAAAACGCCTCCTCATCTTTGTTGATGACATGAACATGCCACAGGTAATATTCAGTTGGATGTAGGCAGTCAAGGATTTCCCCAAATATTGCCTACTTGCGGAGGCGAATATCCTTGGTAAGGCTTTATAGTTAGCAGTGAATCACCCCTGATATAAGGTGAGCAGCTTGTGGCAAAGTCTCTTCTTGGTTTCATGCCACTGTGAGGTTTGGTTCTTTGACGCTTTGTTACGAAGTATTTCCAAATTGAAATGAAGAAGCTAACCCAGAAATCGGTTCGTACAGAACTAAATTTAAAATCAGTAAATCCACACAAGATAATGGAATAATCAGCAAATTTATTTACAAGGACACAGTTTTAGGTTTACAGGCATTACAATGAGTCAAATAAGTGGCATCAGCGATCAGTACATGACGTAATATATTATATATGTGCACTTACGATTGTCCAGAGTCTTTACTTATCAATATGTCTTGAAACTGGCCTGTCTCTGTTCTTGAATCTGGAACAGTGTTGTAAGCTGGCAGGAAATTGGTGTTTACGGCTAGGTATCAAATCCACACTTGGCTAGTATTGACCTCAAATCGAATTGAATCGCCCTTGTGTCACTCTTATGATGGTTAAGCCAACCTTCTTGAAACTGTCACGTCACGAAACATCTAGCACGATCAAACTTGTCATGTCTGTTTGCATCCAGGTTGACACATATGGCACCCAGCAACCCATCGCTCTCCTCAAACTGCTGCTTGAACGTGGCGGCATCTACGACCGCGGCAAAGACCTCAACTGGAAGAACATGAAGGACATCGGCTACATAGCCGCCATGGGCAAGGCAGGTGGAGGTCGTAACGAGACGGACCCCCGATTTGTGTCGCTGTTCAGTGTGTTCAACATGACATTCCCTGACGACGAGTCTCTGTACCATATCTACAACTCCATCCTCAGTGGGCACACACAGCCCATGAGCAAGGACATCCAGGACCTGGTGTCCACCATCACCAAGATGACCATGTCGCTCTACAGGTGAGTTTTTGAAAACCATGAAAATCAAATTATTTTTCCATGAGATAATGCTATGTGTTGAGAAGGCGAGCTGTGGTTTCAATAAGCCAAGGACCGCTGATGCGGCAGCAGTGTCCAAATGTTTTCGAATAAATGAAGTGCCTGTTGTGCATCCTGCTAGGGTGTTCGTGTATTCTGAGGAGCAGGTATGCTGAGGGGTAAAGATGGCGGATGGGGTCTAGTTGCTATTTGTGCATCTTCCCGAGGCAAGAGAGTTAACTGATTATAAAAGTCCAGTTTCCACCCTTGCCAAACTAGGCTGGTATTATGGAGTTACATTTTGGCTGGACTAACGAGTATGCATAGTCCAACAAAATCGCGCAACGAAATCGAATTTCGGTCAGTAAAATGTCATGTAGATAGATTTCGGTCGATTGCAGGAGATGCCAAGCATGTACACTGCCACTCGTCAAGAAATATTTAACAAATCTTTTCATGTTTTTAATCAAGGTGCTCACGCAATTGCATGCACTTCGCGATGTAAGACACGTTTTATCACACTATAGAACTTGATTATCGATCAGATCGTCTTGACTGGGCTCCGCCATTTTGTTTGATACAAATGCAAGTGATACGAGAGGTGGAATCTGATTGGACCATAGGAGAGGCTTAGAAGGGACATGACTCGTAATAACCACTGCTGGCGCTACGATCGAGCCCAGGAATTACAGCCTAGTATGGCAAGGGTGGAAACTGGACTTTTAAAGTCAGTTAACTCCCTTGCTTTGGGAAGATGTTATTTGTGATGACAACAGTCTGCATTGGAAAGGGTGATGCCAAGTTAAAATTAGCGCCCTTCCAGCTGCTTCAGATGCTTTCTGTTAGCTAAGTCTCATGGGTGCAGACTCGAACTGCCTTGGTTTAGCACACCTTACTGAAGGCTCCTCTAGTTTAATTCTACATTGGTGCAATGTGTGAAGACAAATAAACTTGTTATTTGACGGAAAAAATCAAAGTTTATATTGTTTGATATTTTCGCTCTGATGTTTGTCTCCAAAATAGTTGTTCTGACATGAATATGTTAGAAAATTAAATATGTGATATAATATCTGATTTGCATTGGGTAATAATAAGGCTTTGATTTCTTGGCTTGGAGGTTTGTAGAAAAACATGTAAAGAAAAAAATGAATTCCCTTGATGGTAGTAAAGTATTGTCATTGTCATGTAGAAAATTTGTGATTTTTTTTTGTGAGGTTTAACAATATATGTGGCCTTAGCTGTTTTTGTGTAAAAATGGTTGGGGACAAATTTGGTTTCCTTAAAATGATCATGAGCTTTGGGCTTTCTGACTGTATAAAACTGGCTTACTTTACAGGAATAAGAATGTATTTACAAGTGTATTTATTAAATATTCTCTTTTCTTTCAGCTCCATTGTAAAGGAACTTCCTCCCACACCATCCAAGTTCCACTACATCTTCAACCTGCGAGACTTGTCTCGGATCTACAACGGCCTGTGTCTGTCAACACCCGACAGGTTCACCAAAGTCGACCAGTTTCTCCGACTCTGGAGGAATGAATGTTTGAGAGTTATTGGGGACAGACTCATCAGTGAGACCGACAAGGAACTAGTCAACGTAAGTCCACGAAAGTATGCTTCAGCAGTCTTCGAAATTCATGCTAGTCCTCAAACCCAAGACTACCAAATTGTGCTGAGGACAAGTAATAATACAGAGAAGGAGGTTCTCATTAACTGGTAGCATTTGAGGGCTTTAATTCTGAACCGACCTGTAAAGATCCGGGTTGGAATAGGTCTTCAGCAACCCATGCTTGCCGTAAATGGCAACTATGGTTGTCGTAAGAGGCGACTAATGGGATCAGGTGGTCAGGTTTGCTGACTTGGTTGATGCATGTCATCATATCCCAATTGTGTGGATTGATGCTTATGATGTCAATCACTGGATTGTCTGGTCCAGACTCAAATATTTACAGACCACCGTCATATAGCTGGAATATTGTTAAGTGCAGCGTTAAACAACAAACAAACAAACTTAATTCTGAACCAGGTCTCAATGCTTCGTCTTTGCCTTGTTCAAGTAGGAAAGCTACCGACTCTGAGGACCAGTGTAATTAGCTATAGGTCTTAAGGAAAGCGATTTCCTAATTCTCCTTCAGTGTGGAAGTGAAATGTTAAAAGAGAATTGAACCAAGAAACAAACAGACTGTTATACAATGTTCACTGACATAAGGAGGTTTGAGGTGGCCCAGAGATTGACTCATTTGTTGGAATCAAACTTTGATTCCCCACATGGGTACAATGTGTAAAGCCCATATCTGGCATCCCAGATATTGCTGTATACTCCCCAGGGAGATGAGAATGATGACTGAGTGCACACTAATCCACTGACTAAGGTAATAATTAAGGGTGCTTTGAGCAACAACACATTGGTCTTAAATAGCGCCAAGCAAATGCAACAAATGTAAAAAAAATGGTTCCTCTTGTTACATTGCCCGGCGCTTGACACGCACATGTACGTGCATGCATGTCGCTATGGAAGTGCAGTAATGTTGAATGCAACGTTTAACCCCATTTTGCCTAACCTCATCCCACGTCTCCCAGGAACGTTAAAATTTATGCATATTTTCCCCCAGAAAACACTGAAAGGTCTGCTGGAGGAAAACTTCAAGGCGGAGGTTGAGTTTGTGCAGAAAGATCCAATCCTGTATGGTGATTATCGCACAGCGCTGGACGAGGGAGAACCTCGACTCTATGAAGATGTACAGGACTATGAGGCCAGCAAGGCTCTCTTCCAGGAGGTAGGTAGTAAAGCTGCATTAAGTATCCACTTCTGGACATGAGAATTTACATTTCTTCAAAGTTTTCCTTAATTTTATAAAAAATGTGCTTGTGATGGTTGCTATGTTAGAATTAATCAGAATGTTATTTAACACTAAGGATTGTAAAGTTACTTGGTATCATAGCTAAAATAACATTCAACCCAATCTCGGAATAGGACATAATCTCATTAAGATCTCATTTTACTCCCGATACGATACCTCATTGTATAAAGATCTGAGGTCACCTGCATAGGAGGTCTCATTATGTGAACCCTGAGTGAACTTTGACTACCCAATCAAAATGATGGCTGTATATGTTTTTGAACCAGATGTCAGCTTTCTAAAATGGTTTGACTTTATTTCTTTAGAACACGGTAAGCCCTCCATTCGCTCAGACATGACTGATTATCTTAAATATCCACAATATAATAGCACTGCTTTATTTTGGGGGATTCAGAAAAGCCTGGTTAAATTTGTTTTCTATTACCAATTGGACCAATGAAATGACTTAAAAGAAGTCACCATCAGACAATCAGAATGAAGCTTTCTCAAAGTTTTACAACTTCCATTTCAGACTATGCTTGAAAATATGTTGACCAAATTCTCGATTAAAACATTGACAACTGAACAAAAGAACATTCTGTAATGTCTAATATATATAGTTGAGATTGTATGGCAATACTTCCTACGTACTATGCAACGTCTCTTCCATTCAAATGTTTATCCCATTGAAGCGATAGATAGACGATGATTTTGTCGGAATCACCTGACAGGCAGTAACTGTCATTTGGAATATCCCATGTTAACTTTTTGAGGTTGCATGATTGGAAAACACATTCCGACTGTCACCTTCCTGATCTGGTGAGCGACGCTCTGATTGGTCATTCTGACATCACCTGTTATGGAATGTCTTCAGATCTTTGTTCAGAGTTAGCGTGAACTTCGATTTTGTTAATTGAGATTGCAACACGGATTGACTAATCGTGACTTCCTATGCAGGTGTCCTTAGATCTTCCTACAGAGATGTGACATATCAGAGTGAAAGATTTGATTACAATTATATTGGCTCATGACACATGAAGATCACAATAATCAAAGGAAGATCATTCATACTTCTGACAGGAATGTGCAGACCACTGCACATGCACGATATTTATAAATACAGTAAAGTATGGTTATAACGAACTCAAAGGGATTACTAATTTTAGTTTGTTATAACCATAGTTCGTTATAAGCATATATACAGCCTAACTACAGCACATAGTCGGGACCAAAAAAGTAAGTTCGTTATATCCGTCAGTTCGTTATAAGCGTGTTCGCTATAACCGTACTTTACTGTACAGATATAAACTCAAACAAACAATAGTTGTCTATGTTTACATTAATACTGAGACTATATTGAAAAGTGTTCATTGCTTTGTGTATTGTATCACACTTTTGTCTTGCACATTGTATATTGTACATTGTATTCCTTCTGCAGATTCTGGAAGAGTACAATGAAAACAACACCCCTATGAACCTTGTTCTCTTCGACGATGCTCTGGACCATTTGACCCGTGTCCACCGTGTCCTGAGAATGGACGGTGGTCATGCCCTCCTGGTCGGTGTGGGCGGGTCCGGCAAGCAGAGCTTGTGTCATCTTGCGTCCTACGCTGCTGGATGCGAGGTGTTCGAGATAAAGCTGAGCCGGGGATACAACGAGGGATCCTTCCGGGACGATCTAAAGATCCTGTACAACAAGCTGGGCATGGAGAACAAGAAAACAGTCTTTCTGTTCACTGACCAGCATGTGGCTGAAGAGGGTGAGGTCACTTAGAGCCATTTTTAACACTTAATTGGACTGCGTATAATCAAACATTTGTATTGCAACATGTTGCCATTCATGTATCTCTATTGTGATATGTATTGCGACATGCTGGGTAGCTAAAGTGTTTGACAGATTGACTCTGATCGTACATGCAGATCCTATTTTCTACATACGTAAGTATATATTACTCACCATGGTGAGACCCGTGAAGATCCGATTGAGAATAGGTCTTCAGCAACCCGTGCTTGCCTTAAAGGCGACTTTGCTTGTCGCAAGAGGCGACTAACGAGATGAGCTCACTGGCTTGGTTGATGCATGTCATCATATACCAATTGCATGGATTGATGCTCATGATGTCAAACACTGGATTGTCTGATCCAGACTTGATTATTTACAGACTGACGTGATATAGTAGGAATATTACTGAGTGCAGCAGCCTCAAACAACAAACAAACAAATAGCATGGTCAGTCACTGTAAGTTTGTAGTCATGGATACAGGGGAGATAACAACACTTCCCTGTCTCAGCCATTTTGTCTATCAATTTCGTAGGGAACTTTTATTAGTAAATGAATTTCAGTGTAGATTTTATGTTTAACAATACACAATATAATAAAACTTGTTATATTCAATTTACAAAATTTAGTCATTATCCATGGGAGGAGTTTCAGGGCAGAAAAGGTGCAAGAAGTTGCCTTGAAATGTTGTGTTTTTTGAGTACAAGAAGGATTCACATGATTAAGCTGCGTTTGAAGTGCTTTAGTGATACTTTTGATTGTTTGTATTACATGTACTTTTAATCAAAGCTGACGGCCTCCGTGGTCTAGTGTTAGAGCGTCCGCCCGGAGATCGGAAGGTCCGGGGTTCAATCCCCGACCGCGTCACACCAAAAGACGTATATAAGTGCAATAATCTTGGACGCGACATTAAACCCAATTTCACCTCACATATAATCAAAGCTGGGACTTTTGCTTGACATTCTGATTAAGATGGTAATATTTGTAAGTGCTTGACAAATGATGTCTTTCTTGCCCAGGATTTCTGGAGCTGATCAACAACATGTTGACATCCGGCATGGTGCCTGCATTGTATGCTGATGATGAAAAGGAAGGCATCATTGGATCGGTAAGGTTAAGAATTATCTTTTGAAACCAAAAGTACCTTACTTAGGGAAATACGGCAGTTATTGAGTGACATACACTTATTTGATTCTGGTGTAAATACCAAATAATATTCTTGAATTATAGAATGTAAATTCGAAATCAGTTTTCTTTCATTTCATTGGGACTCTTCTGTAGTGGAAAACCCCATCTGTAAAAATGAACATAATTGACCATTTCTTTCAGAAAAAATATGTGAGAGTTTATGTGTTTTGAATTGTCTTGTTGTCTTAAACTCTAATACTAAGATAATAGTATTTCATAGTCACCCTTTAACACTCCTGTCTGTGCTTGAACTATAAACGCTGTGACATTGAGACAATGTGATCATTAGTGTGAGTGACTTCCCCTGGTGTGTGCAGGTACGTAATGAGGCCCTGGCGGCCGGATGTCCACATGCAAGAGAGAGCATCTGGCAGTTCTATGTCAACAAATGTGCCAACAATCTCCACGTTGTTATGGCGATGTCACCCGTGGGAGACACACTAAGGACACGATGCAGGAACTTCCCAGGTCAGTCTCAGTCTCAACTCCAGTCTCAAAGTTCAGTTTCAGTCTCCATCTCAGTCTTAATAACAGCTCCAGCCTCTTTATTCGCCTCCGACTCAATTTTCATCTCAGCCTCCATCTCAGTCTTAATAACAGCTCCAGCCTCTGTATTCGCCTCAGACTCAATTTTCATCTCAGCCTCCATCTCAGTCTTAGCTTTAGATCCCTGTCCGTGTCATACCTAAAGACGTTAAAAGATGGTACTTGTTGTTACCCTGCCTGGTGCTTGGCCTAAGGGGCTAAAACAACGTATGTCAGCTCGGAATCTGAGCGGGGTATTCATATTAAACTGTAGCATGGTATCTCAGTAGGCTAGCACTATAAACTTGGCATAAGTCCAGACTAGTACAGGCAGCTACACACACACATGCATGCACAACGCTATGGAAATGCAATACTCTTGGACGCAACATTAAACCCCATTTCACCTCACCTCATCCTAGCCTTAGCTTCAGTCTCAGTAGTGTAACAATAAATCTCACAGAGTGTGCTGCTATTTTTGTGTTGTCAGAATTTGAATCTGGTGCAGGCAACCCATGTTACTTGAAGACCACCAGACAGTTGTTTCATCAGTAACTTCATGACCCGTGAAGATCCGGGGTAGAATAGGTCTTCAGCAACCCATGCTTGCCATGATAGGCGTCTATGCTTGTCGTAAGAGGTGACTAAGGGGATCGGGTGGTCAGGCTCGCTGACTTGGTTGATGCATGTCATTGTATCCCAATTGCGTGGATTGATGCTCATGATATCAAACACTGGATTGCCAGGTCCAGACTCGTTTATTTACAGACCGCCGTCATATAGCTGGAATAGTGCTGAGTGCAGCGTTAAACAAACAAACAAACAGTAACTTCATGTCCACCAGACAGTCAGACTGTTCCTCAGCAGTCATTGTTAAGTCTAAGGTTTCTAAGGGATATCATCATAGAAAATATTCCAATCTGAAATACCATTTCTTGATTTGATGCCAGAATATTTGTTAGATGTTGCAATGTTTTCCAGGAATGGTAAACAACGCCAGTATTGACTGGTTCTTCCCCTGGCCGGAGCAGGCTCTGTATGCTGTAGCCAGCGTCTTCATCTCACCTGATGTAAGTTAAATGGAATGGAATCTAAGTGAGCCCCATACATATTATGTTCAGCGCTAAAATATTGGTCATTAGATAATTGTTCCTGCCCACCTGACATTTTAATGTTTGTTTACGAACCAGATGTCTTGTTTGTTACGTGATTTTGATTGAACCATGCACAGATAGTTAGTCTAGCCAAAATGTAACTCCGGAATTCCATCCTATTTCGGCAAGGGTGGAACTGGACTTTTATAGTCTGTTAATCCCCTTTCCTCGAGAAGATGACCACGAGTAAGTCAGGCTGCGCATAAAGATTTGAGAGGCAGAATAAATCCTCTATACTCCGCTTCTAAGCAAAAAGCAGCATGCTTTTTGCAAGTCAATGAAAGTCACATGACAAAGCACAAGTTAACCTCAGCTCAGTTCAACAGCTGCTTTCTATCAGTTTTGAATTTGTTTTAATTCTTTTACTATGTCATATTAGAACATGTCTGTAAGATAAGATTACTTCGTTTTAGCAGGATCAGGAGGGGTACATGGGGTTTATACCATAAAATCTGATGCAGGTTGCATAAAATCCCATGTACCTCATGATCCTGCTACAACACATGGTATGCCTCCTGTCTATGTCCTGATACTACAGACCCGTGAAGATTCTGGAGTAGAATAGGTCTTCAAAAACCCAAGCTTGTCGTAAAAGGCGACTAATGGGTTCGGGTGGTCAGGCTCGCTGACTTGGTTGATACATGTCATCGATCCCAATTGCGTGGATCGATGCTCATGATATTAATCACTGGATTGTCTGGTCCAGACTTGATTATTTACAGACCGCAGTCATATAGCTGGAATATTGCTGAGTGTGGCGTTAAACAACAAACCAACCAACCAACAACCCTGACACTACACTATTGAAAGTGTTTTGCAGCAGCTTGAAGATTCTTTTTTCAGTTCTCTGAAGCAAGGCGTGTTATAATGAACACCAACATTTTATCGTTGACAGCATAGTCTCATCCCCGACAATCATCGCGAAGATGTCGTCAGCCACATTGTGTTGGTGCATCAAAGTGTTGGTCAGTACAGCAAGAAGTTCCTGCAGCGTCTGAGACGTAACAACTACGTCACACCCAAAAACTACCTGGACTTCATCAACACGTATCTAAAACTCCTGGAGGAGAAGGACAAGTTCATCCTGGCTCAGGTGGGTCCGATAATCAGTGACACCTTGGACTAACATATCAACAGAGAAACATGGCGATATGAACTTCTTCATATATGTACAAGACAGTTCAAGATCACTTCATCACCTTTCATCAAATTGGTGGCCAGGAAGGGCAGTAATTTTGCTGTTCAGAGTTGCATCCCTTTGGCGTTCCTGATTCCTATGATCAAGGGTTTGAATCCAATATTCGCCAAGATTATGATGCTTGGAATGTCCCCTCATGATGATTATGGGGTAGAACTGGTCTTCAGCAACCCATTTTTGTTGTAAGAGACGACTAATGGGATCTGGCTTGGTTGATGCATGTCATTGCATCCAAATTGAGTAGACCACCTCCGTGGTAGAGCGTCCGCCCAGAGAGCGGAAGGTACGGGGTTCGATCCCCGGCCGCTTCATACCAAAAGACGTTAAAAGATAGTACTTGTTGTTACCATGTCTGGCGCTCGGCATTAAGGGGCTAAAATAAGGAATGGTCGGCTCGGAGTCGGTATACTGTGTCTGAGTGAGGTATCCATGTTAAACTGCGGCATGGTATCTCAGTGTACTAGCACTATAAATCGGCATCAGTCCGGACTAGTACAAGCAGCCACACACACACACGTGCATGCATGTCGCTATATAAGTGCAATAATCTTGGACGCGGCGTTAAACCTCATTTCACCTGACCTCACCAAATTGAGTAGATCGATGTTCATGGTGTCAATCTCTGGATTGTCTGGCCCAGACATGATTGTTTACAGACAGCTGACATATAGCTGGAATATTGAGTGCAAACAAACATACACACAAAAAACAAACATGGTTTGTCAGCCCTATGGCAGTGTGATAAGTCTGCTACCTTGCATCACTTCTGGCTTTCCTCATGAAGCTGACATGTTGTGATATTTCTGAAATATTGTTCAAAGCAGTGTCATAGCCATCTCACTTACCCCTTGCATCAGAAAGGACAAGTAGCTTTGCAAGTGTTGTAATGAAATTATTCACCTGGTGGAGAGTGGGTAGTCTTGATGATTTGATGCTTTGAATATTGTGCACCTGATAAAGGGGCACCCGTGAAGATCCGGGGTAGAATAGGTCTTCACCAACCCATGCTTGCCATAATAGGCGTCTATGCTTGTCGTAAGAGGCGACTAATGGGATCAGGTGGTCAGGCTCGCTGACTTGGTTGATGCATGTCATCGATCCCAATTGCGTGGATCGATGGTCATGATATTAATCACTGGATTGGTAAATCCAACCAGGCAACAATGAGCTTATAGATTTTAAAAAATAATAATAATAATAATAAAAAAACAAAAACAATAATAATAAAAAATAAAAATAATACTAAAAAAGAATAATGATGCAAACCTTTATCTCCAAGCCCTTATGTACTAATTTTGCCTAATATCTGTATGTCCATCAGTAAGTCGAAGAGCTGAGGTTGTGGCACTTGATTCACTGCAGGATCTGCCTCTGTGAAAGTATCAGGCATGAATTTTCTACATTTGACAGTGCGAACGTCTGGCGGGAGGTCTCCAGAAGATCGCAGATGCCAGCGAGCAGCTTGCTGTGCTCAATGAGAAGTTGGCAGTGCAGAAGATTGCCGTGACGGAGAAGACTGTCGCTTGTGAGGCACTGCTTGAGGAGATCTCATCTGGAACCACCCAAGCCACAGAGAAGAAACAACTGGCTCAGAAGAAAGGGCATGAAATTGCAGAACAAAGCAAGATCATTGTTGTAGAGAAGGTAGGACTCCATTTAATGTACAGTAATGTTACGGTGACCCCCCAGTGGTCTCAGTGAGGGGGGTGGGGGGGAATTGGGGACAGTTCACTGGGCAGAGGTGCATCCTTCAGAAACCTTTGACTTTGGGTTGGAATCCCACTTTGCCCTGATTATTTTTTTAGGTTTGTCAGCACCATACTTGTGGGTTTCACTAAAGTGGTTAACGGTTTGAGACCTGCATCACTTCAGGCTTTCCTCCCACATCAAGCTGACATGCTGTGATGTACTGGAATACTGTTCAAAGCAGCATTCAACTGTAATGAAGGAATGACTAGCACTATGTTTCATGCCTATGTTGCTGTCCTCCCACAGAAAGAAGCTGAGGATGCCCTGCAAGAGGCCCTGCCTGCCCTGGAGGCTGCCAGATTTGCCCTGGAGGACCTCGACAAGTCAGATGTTACTGAGATCAGGTAAGGATCTGCAGTTACTCATATCTGGACTGAGTTCATTTTCAAGGGCAGGGGAGGTGTGTTCTAAAAAAATGAGTCAAGCCCCTGATTTACTGAAAACAAATTGCCTCACATTGTAGGAAAAAATTATGTGCGCTATATGTGGCTATATGTGGCTATATGTGACTATATGTTGCTGTATGTGACTGTATGTGGCTATATGTGGCTATATTTGGCTATATTTGCTATGTGACTATATGTGACTATATGTGGCTATAGGTGACTTGGTGACTATTGGTGACTATATGTGGCTATATGTGACTATATGTGGCTATATGTGGCTATATGTAGCTATATGTAGCTATATGTGACTATATGTGGCTATATGTCACCATATGGGACTATATGGGACTTCATAAAAGTGTCCAAAGAATACGGTTTGTTAATTTAAATCCTTAAAAATAATATATGATTGAGCACTTGTATATCTGTATGTTTTGGAAAAAATAATTGATCTTCTTAACATTAAAAAGAGAAATACAGATATCAAACAAAATTCCTGAAACAAATAAATCCAATACAGCCCATGCAAATATTTGGCAAGTCTAGATTACTGCAGTTTCTGAAAAAGAAGAAAGTCTCTTGGCTCCTTTATGTCACATTGTATTAAGATGATTTAACAATCGTGGTTTTTTTTCTGTAAAATGTTTTTAGTTCAGAGACTAGATGTTAGTCTAAATTCACTTGTTTGTGTATGTATACTGTAAATCGTGAAATTAATGCGTCTCCAAAAGAATGCGACCACTGGACCCTAGCCATAAATGCAACTCAATATGAATGAGACACCCCTCCTCTCAAGCATCAGTGGATTTCTATCTAAAGATGTCCTCAGTCAGGTTTAGAATCCTCACCTTAATCCAACCTTACATTAATCCAATCACACACGAAATAGCACTGCTTATTAGCGCTGAGTAAAGTGCTTCCGCAAAAACAATACATGCGCGCTGGCTCGTGTCGGCCTTTGACGCAGGCACAAAGAACAAAGACACCGTGTTGCGTTGGTCGCGTCTGTCTGGATTTGCAGGTGTGATCAGTGATGACATAAGTGAGTAGAACTCTTGTCTTGACCCCAGCAGTGACAATTCACAGGACGTAATTGGTGTTTGAATGACATTGTTTATATACTTTATAGACAAGTGCTGCTCAATAAACAATGATATGGAATACATCAGCATATGTCTTAGTTGGTATTTTTGCTATCCAAAAAATCCTATTGTTGATATAAATGCGATGTTTAAAAGTGCGAGCAAAGACCACACGCATTTTTCGCATTTAATTTCAAGATTTACAGTATACCAACTCTCTATCTCAGACTCGTTTTCTTCCTTTCTGAGATGATGGCAAAGAACTAGATGAGAAAGAGTTGATGCAGTATAACTCACAAATTGACTGATTCACTTGCCAGGTCTTTTGCCAAACCCCCGAAGGCTGTGCAGACAGTGTGTGAATGTATTGTGGTCCTCAAGGGCATCCGAGAAGTGTCCTGGAAGTCAGCTAAGGGAATGATGTCTGAGGCCAACTTCTTGAGAACGCTGACAGAGTTGGATGTGGACAACATCGGCTCCAGACAGACCCAGGCTGTCAAAGGTACTGATCAACTGTCCTTGCTTATTTTTGTTTGTTTGTTTGTGTGTTTGTTTTTTGTTTGTTTGTTTGTTTGTTTGGTTGGTTGGTTGGTTGGTTAATGCCGCACTCAGCAATATCCCAGCTTTATGACAGCAGTCTGTAAATAATCGAATCTGTACCAGACAATCCAGTGAATTACATTATAAGCATCGATCTATGTAATTGAGATATGATGACATGCATCAACCAAGTCAGCGAGCCTGACAACCGAATCCCATTTGTCACCTCTCACGACAAGCATTGGTTACTGAAGATTTATGTTTTCATATGCTCATTTTTGTGTGAAAAGGCTTTATTTAACAGATAAAGGATATTTTTTTAACCAATAAGAATCAAGCATTCTTCAGTGTCATAGTATAATGTACCTTGATGGCATGGATCGTTGCTCATAATATCAATCACTGGATTTATGTGGTCTAGACTCGATAATTCACAGGCCATATATAGCATCATATAGCTGAATTATTTCTGAGTGCTGCATTAAACAACAAACACACACACACATATTGATATAGTTACCTAAATATTCTCCAATGGGGGCGGTCGGGTAGCCTACTGGTTAAAGCGTTCGCTCGTCACACTGAAGACCCGGGTTCGATTCCCGACATGGGTGCAATGTGTGAAGCCCATTTCTCTTGTCCCCTGCCGTTTTATTACTGGAATATTGCTAAAAGCGGCGTAAAACCTCACTCACTCACTCAAACAATCTCATTAAAATCAGATCTTAGTTCTTGCTGCCGCTAAACAAAGATCTGAGGACATCCCATTACGGGACACGTCAGACTGACCTTGCGCGAACTTTGACCGACCAATGGAATGACCAATCAGAAGGCAGCATTCTCGTGCTTTACGGCACTAATTTCAAATTCGAGACTACGCTTCAAAACATATTTTGACAAATTCTCAATTACAAATTTGAAACCTTAACAAAAGAACATTCTGGAATGGCTAATAGATGGACAAGATTGTAAGGATTCAGTCGTTAAACCCGTAACTATCGTTCGGAATACCCCGTGTTAAAGTTTTCGAGGTTGTATGATTAGAAATCACATCCCGACAGTCACTTTCATGATCTGGTAAGCAATGTTCTGATTGGGTCGGATGAAAGGTTGTTCTGACGTGACCCCTAATGGGATGTCTTCAGATCTTTGTTTAACGGTAGCAAGAACCAAGGTCTGGTTTTAATGAGATTGCTCACTCCATTGGTGTCCAGGCCTTGGTGACATGTGTAACTCTGCTGGTTATATCCACTGACTGTTTGGTTTGTGTGTCAGGGCTGCTGAAGGACATTGATATGAGCCCTGATGAGATGAAGAACATCAGTAAAGCTGGGTCGGGGCTGCTCAAGTTCGTGGAGGCCGTCATGGGCTACTGTGTTGTTGCCAGGGAGATCAAGCCCAAGAGAGAAAAGGTAGGCATTAGGGCTGGGACCTGTAACTCGGGTACCCGGGTCGGGTGGGTACTGAGTATGACCCGGGTACGCACAGGACTACCCGGACCCGTGGTTAGTCACGTGATATATTGTTTCATGAGAAAAATTCATTATATAACTACATGGTTACACGACAATTTTAAGTCTCTAATGTTCGCATTTCTTCATGATTTCTTCTGACTTAAATATATTTGAACAAAGCTGAAACTTCAGTCAACTTCAGTGTATGCATGACCACATCGTTTTATACGTGTATCTAAAAACATTTTGCCAGGGCTACTGTCAAACTATTACCAATCGGACATTTTGTACCTATCTCTTGACACCAACAGCGGGTACCCGGGTACAGTCTGGTAATAAGGTAGTGGGTACCCTGGTGGTAAATTTGGACTCGTCCCAGCGTTAGTAGGCATGTTGTTTGAAACTAAAATTAATTTCTTCATTTATTGTATATGGCGAACAGAATAAGTCTCATCATGGTAACGGAAAAGGATTGGAATTAACACTTAACTAACAAGACGGCAAATTGTCCACTTACTTTACAGGTGGCTAAGTTGGAGAGGACGTATCACCAAGCCAAGCGAGACCTGGATAAGATCACGAACGAGGTGAACTCCCTGGAGAAGCTGCTGAACGCGCTGAACAAACAGTACGAGGAGGCTATGGCCGAGAAGAAAGCCCTCACGGATGAGGCAGAGATTATGGAGAGGAGGCTGATCGCTGCAGATAAGCTCATCTCCGGTCTCGGCTCTGAGAACATTAGGTAAATCACTTTTTTATCATATTTTTGTGGATAATGGATTAGGTGCCAAAAGGCAGGAAAATTAAAATTAAAACTTAAGAAAATAGGAAAAGTTGTCAGGATTGATTGGTAGTTATAGTGTTCTAAATACTGCTCTTGAAATAACAGACTGTATAAAAATTTAAAAAAAACAATTTTCATTATAAGCACATTATTTATCAAAAGGTCATTGTGACTCATCCTTAAATAGTCACATAAAATAGACACGCCTTCCGGAGTTATGTGAGACAATGTTAAAATATGATGTAGATGCATGACTCACTACAGTGCTAACGCTTCAACATCCGTTCTCCAGGTGGACGAAGGACTTGGAGGATCTGAAGCAGATGAGGATCCGACTGTTGGGAGACTGTCTGGTCAGCTCCGCCTTCCTCAGCTATGTGGGCGCCTTCAGCTGGGAGTTCCGCTATGACCTTGTACACAAAGACTGGGTGAATGATCTGCGTGGCCGGGGAGTTCCACTCAGTGACCCCTTCAAGGTGGAAGACCTGCTTACTAACGATGTGGAGGTCAGCAAGTGAGTAGCTGCCATTGTTGCTGATGTTGGGATTATTCAGATATCATGACAAGATTCTGGGTTAGAGTAGGTCTTCACTAACCCTTGTTCACCTGTGAAGATCCGGGGTAGAATAGGTCTTCAGCAACCCATGCTTGCTGTAAAAGGCGAATATGCTTGTCGTAAGAGGCAACTAACGAGATTGGGCGGTCAGGCTTGCTGTCTTGGTTGATGCATCTCAACGTATTCCAGTTGAATGTTCATGACGTCAATCACAGGATTGTCATGTCCAGATTTGATTATTTTCAGACTGCCATCATATAGCTGGAATAATGCTGAGTGCGGCGTTAAACAACAAACAAACAAACAAACAAACAAACAAACAAACCTATGCTGGTCATACTTTTATAGATCAGGCTTGATGACTTGGTTGTTTGCGTCATCATACCTCTACGACGTGGGTTGTTACTCATTTTGTTAATGTTATGTTTGGGATTTTAGATAATAACAATGGATATCAATGGATTGTTTTTTAATTTCGTATATGGATAGTCCTGTATGAAAAACATGTATGAGAACCAACCAAATCAATCAATATAATAATTGGTTTCTGACGATTACTGCAACAAATATTGATGAATTTAATATGTAGATCATGAAAACTAAAAATGTCATTGATTATTGCTTACACTCATTGTATGCCAGGTTTGGAGTTTACTTATGGCACAGACCTTTTTTAACTGTGGCAGACAAAACAACAACATTATGTCCAAAATAAAGATTGAGGTGCTCCCAACACCAATGTGACAATTCGATGGTTAAACATACATGTTTGATGCAGATGGACATCGGAGGGACTGCCGCCAGATGAACTGTCCATCCAGAACTTTTTTTAACTGTGGCAGACAAAACAACAACATTATGTCCAAAATAAAGATTGAGGTGCTCCCCACACCAATGTGACAATTCGATGGTTAAACATACATGTTTGATGCAGATGGACATCGGAGGGACTGCCGCCAGATGAACTGTCCATCCAGAACGGTATTCTGACCACTCGAGCTAGCCGCTTCCCCCTGTGTATTGACCCCCAGCAGCAAGCTCTCAAGTGGATAAAGAAGAAGGAAGAGGCACACAACCTTAAGGTAGGACACAGCTGTTTCCTGCATCTTTCAATGTGCTGCAACATTTCATTGATGACATGACCGCCTCCGTGGTCTAGTGGTAGAGAGTGAAAGAGTGGAGAGCCCAGAGAGTGGAAGGTCCGGGGTTCAATCCCCGGCCGTGTGATACCAAAAGATGTTCAAAGATGGTACTTGTTGTTACCCTGTCTGGCGCTCGGCATTAAGGAGCTAAAACAAGGAACTGGTCGGCTTGGAGTCAGTATACTGTGTTTGAGTGGGGTATTTGGCATGGTATCTCAGTGAGCTAGCACTAGAAATCACAAACACAAACACACACACACACACGCACACACACACACACGCACACACACACACGTCGCTATATAAGTGCAATAATCTTGGACGCGAACCCCATTTCACCTCACCTCATTGATGATGTCATATAGTGCAGTGACATCACACCTCAAGGTGACAATGCAGTGTCGTGATAGTTGAATGTTGTAGTGTAGCTCTTATTCAACATTGACATAAGCTGACCTCTTGTAAGATGGTTTGTGAGAAATGAATTTTGGTTCGGTATATAAAATGTTCGTCTTTGAGTTCCCTTTAGCCTATCATTCTTGGCTACACTGCAATAATTCGATTTAAATAGGTCATTATTGGATTCCTAATGCATGACAGTTGGCAAAAGTGTAACATCAGACATCTTAACACACTATCCGCCACGTACACTCTCTGCTACACAAAGTATTTACCACATGTACTATCCACTACACTCACTATCCACCAGATGCACTATCCACTACGACATGGCCTTAATCAGATTTGTAATAACTCCCACAGTGCCTTGGTTTTGAAACTTGTTTCTCTATCTGCTTAGCATACTATCATGGAACCTGTTAAATGCTGGATTAGAACTGGTATTCAGCGACCCATGCTTGGCGTAAGAGGCGACAAATGGGATAGAGTGGACAGACTCACTGACTGGTTGATGCATGTCATCATATCCCACATGCATAGATTGATGCTCATGATGTCAATCACTGGAATGTCTGATCCTGACTCAATTATTTATTGACTGCCATCATATGCTTGAATTTTTCTGAATGCAGCTTTAAACAACAAACAAATACTATGATGGATGGTTCGTTATTTCTAGGTGTGCACATTCAATGACCCTGACTTCCTGAAGCAGCTGGAGCTGGCTATCAAATACGGCTTCCCCTTCCTCTTCCAAGATGTGGATGAATACATCGACCCTGTCATTGACAACGTTCTGGAGAAAAACATTAAAGGTATTTTTTCTTAATTCTTGTCGTGGGGAATTTGTTTTCTTATGTGATGTTTATGGAAATAAAAGTGACGAACCCATTCCAAAATCATAAGAAATCACTGCAAAATACAGAGTCCATTGAATGATTCTGACTACAGTAATTAGTATATCACAAGCATGTGTTTTTGAATCACAATCAAAGTGATGATACGAGGTATTAGCATTAGCTCGCTTAGTATATCTAGGACAAACGTTTCCTGGTGAGTTCCAATACTGGGGTTTCTGCCTCATGTGGCGATCACTTGACAAAGGAGGCTCCAAAGGACAAAGAGGCAACTCTCAATGTCAAATATAAGTATACAAAGTCTATGTCTTCCCCATTACCAGCTAATTACTGACAGAGAATTTCTGTCAGCAATGTTCAGACGGGTTGCTGCGTCTGCTCCTGGGTCTTTCCACGTCTGATTGGAGGCCATTTTGTAAGGATAGCATGACCTGTGTCATGACCTGTGTCATGACCTGTGTCATGCAATTAGCGAGGTGAGGTTAAATTGCACTTACATGGCGACCTGCATGCATGTATGGGTGTGTGTGGCTGCTTGTACTAGTCCGGACTAATGCCAATATCACATTGCAAGCCCACTGAGATACCATGCCTCAGCTTAACATGAATACCCCACTCAGACACAGTATACTGACTCTGAGCCGACCAGTCCTTGTTTTAGCCCCTTAATGCCAGGCGCCAGGCAGGGTGACAACAAGTACCATCTTTTAACGTCTTTTGATACAACGGAGGTCTAGAATCATTGGAAATCTCACTGACATGGATATGGACTTTCTCTTGGTGATCACCTCCAGCACTGCATGTGTGTATTTCAGGGGCCCAGGGCAGGGAGTTTGTGGTTCTGGGGGACAAGGAGGTAGACTATGACCCAAACTTCCGTCTTTACCTCAACACCAAGCTGGCCAACCCCAAATATGGACCCAACATCTTCGGCAAGTCCATGGTCATCAACTATACTGTGACACTCAAGGTAGGTGGAGTGTGCGGAGATGCTTGTCAAAGAAAACTGTTTCTGTCTTGGATTATTCTAGAGAAGCCCGGGTGCCGTTGTACAAAACAAGCTTAGCGCCTCGACTGTCGTAAGTCTGTGTTAAGGCATGGGAGTTACGATCACCTTAACACTAAGATCGCATCGTACAATGGCACCCTGGTCTTGTTTTTTTTCCATGAACAGATGTCATTGTAATCAGATCTTATTCTGCATAGATCAGATGCACTTTCTGATCAGCCAGTCAATGATAAGACTCTTAAATTCTACAGTGAAGCATTAGAAACAGAATAACTGATTTCTATATCTAAAAAATGAATGTAAATGAGCAGCTCTGAATGGAGTGTTTTTGGTCAAGTATGAGAGGAAGGAGCTGCTGTTCATGTTGTGTTGTTTGTGTACAGGGTCTGGAGGACCAGCTGCTGAGTGTTATAGTCAAGTATGAGAGGAAGGAGCTGCTGTTCATGTTGTGTTGTTTGTGTACAGGGTCTGGAGGACCAGCTGCTGAGTGTTATAGTCAAGTATGAGAGGAAGGAGCTGCTGTTCATGTTGTGTTGTTTGTGTACAGGGTCTGGAGGACCAGCTGCTGAGCGTTATAGTCAAGTATGAGAGGAAGGAACTTGAAGAGCAGAGAGAGAGACTCATCCAGGAGACAAGGTCAGATAAGTTTATGTGATGATGACACTTATTTCAGGAATTAAATGGGGGCCCGGGTGGCCCAGTCATCTAAGCTGCCGCTATTCACTGTGCAGAGATGCGTCCCTTGGGCATGCCAGAAACCTATGATTGTGGGTTCGAATCCCGATTCGCCCCGATTATGTTTCTAGGTTTGTCAGCACCATACCCGTGCTCGTGGGTTTCAACGAAGTGGTAAACCTCTGAGACATGCATCACCTCAGGCTTTCCTCCCACATTAAGCTGACACGCCGTGATATAACTGGAATACTGTTAAAAGCGGCAATAAACCAATCTCACTCATTCACTTACTCAGGAAATAAAATAGTTTTGTGTACAAACATTTTCAAAGCTTTAAATTATTTTTTAGAAATCAACTAATAGCCACTTCACTCTGTTATGATAATTGTCTCATAGACATTATTCTCATGACCTTGCCTGTAAGCCTATTGGGGTGGTGGGGTAGCCTAGTGGTTAAAGTGTTCGCTCATGCCGAAGACCAGGGTTCGATTCCCCACATGAGTACAGTGTGTGAAGCCCATTTTCCGGTATTCCCCGACGTGTTATTGCTGGAATATTGCTTAAAGCGATGTAAAACCATATTCACTCACTCACAGTAAGCCTATCATGGTTTCTCTTTGTGACTGCTTCCCACATTTTCACCATCATGGGGACCGGAATTAGCATAACAGGTAGATCGCTAGCATCCCAATTCTGGTCGTAAGAGGCGACTAAATTGGATTGCATGATCAGACGCTGTGTCTTGGCTGATTATATTTACATCACTCATACCCTGATGCAGATGCTCATTATATCAACCACTGGTTTGTCTGGCCTTAACTTAAATATCTACCAGCCACAGTGACATAGCTGGAATATTGCCTACTGCTGTGTTAGACATCACTCATTCCCAAGATTAACACAACACCACCATCCTCATCATAACAATTGGTCTGTCCATATAATAACATGAGAAAATATCATAGATGTTGCTGTATGTCATATGGTAGATCAATGTAACCCTCTTATGACATCTGCCTGTGACGCTTTATGTTCAAAATTTAGCTTGAAAAGCAAGGGTTCCTATTCATAATCCTAGTGTGTAAAGTGTTCGCTCGTCATGCCTAAGACCCGGATTCGATTCCTGACATGGGTACAATGAGTGAAGCCCATTTCTGGTGACCCCTGCTGTGATATTGCTGTAATATTGCTGAAAGTGGCGTAAAACCATACTCACTCAGGAATGGGTCCCTAGATGCAAATACTATAGCAGAAAACCTCAACGGCCCCAGGATCCCCATTAATTACAAACACAATGTGTCCCAGTGTCAACAAGCGTCTACTGAAGGACCTGGAGGACTCGCTGCTGAGGGAGCTGGCCACATCCCAGGGCAACATGTTGGATAATGTGGAGCTCGTCTCTACTCTGGAGGAAACCAAGTCCAAGGCCACAGAGGTGCGTCTTCTCAATCACTTTATATGCCTCAGTTTGGGATATCATAGTTTACTTGAGGGTCCTTGATCTCACGTAAATTTGATATAATGGCAAGTTTTTTTAGAATTTGTAAAATTTGGTAGAATGTATATTGTTTTAGTATCTTATGGTAAACCTTCATGTTTGAATAAGGGGCACGGGTGCCCAGTCAGCTAAGGCGCCGCGATTCGCTGTGCAGAGTTGCGTCCCTTGGGCACGCCAAAAACCTATGAATGTGGGTTCGAATCCCGGTTCGCCCCGATTATGTTTCAAACTTTGTCAGCACCATACCCGTGCTTATGGGTTTCACTGAATCGGTAAAAGTCTGAGACCTGCATCACTTCGGGCTTTCCTCCCACATTAAGCTGACACGCCGCGATATAACTGGAATACTGTTAAAAGCGGAGTTAAACTAAACTCACTCACTCACTCACTCATGTTTGAATACCTGAGTCGGAGTACAAGCACTTTGTTCCAATAAGTGCCCCAGGACCAACTGCTAGACCAATCTGAAAGTAATCTTTATTAGTATGTATATTACAAATTTGTATCCATAAAACAGTAGCATAGAATAGGTATATAATTGCATTGTAACTTTTATTGAAAAGGTTTCATCTATGTTTGAACAAAGTTTGTTCACGACTGTTTGATCTCTGAAAACAACTTTAACTTGTGTATGGTTTAAATAAGTGCCCCCTTTCGTCAGTTTTCTGAGTGCCCGGACCGCTTATCAAAGTGACTATGGTAAATAGGTTCATTGGTCACCTGTGTTTAGCAAATGTGTATTTTAAGTCTGGGATATATTCCAAAACTTTTGACTAAATGTTTGCATGTTGTCTTAAGACATAAAGAGGAATAATTGGATAGCACATATTTAGAAAAGTTAAAAAAAACACCAAATGTTCGAAAGTCATTTTCAGAGAAAAGTTGTTAAAGTTCAGTTTTGTAATAGTTGAGTCACTGCTGGTGTCTAATTCTGACTAGTATGATTTTGATTGAATTAGACTGAAACATACATCCTGTTTCAATAAAGAAAACATTCAATGGTTCAGATCAGTTTGTATTCTACTGCAATGGCTGATTGCTATACAAAATATCCTAAATAGTCTTGTCAAATAAGAAAATTCCTATGTAAAATCATAAACACTTGTCCAAATCTCCAGGCAATGGCTAATGTTAACTTTCCCAGAATGTGTCAGCTGACAAGATGAAACTAATATCAAAGCAACAAGATTCACCAAATTCACTACCCGTTTAATGTTTAATCCCTTATGCTGGATCCCTTAAGTCCACTGAGATGCTTCTGAATCACTGGGGGCAATGGTGACCCAGTTGCGTAAGCGCAACATGCTGCTGTGCAGAGTTGCATCCCTTGGGCATGCAAGAAACCTATGATTGTGGATTCAAGTCTCAGTTTGCCCTAATTATGTTATATGTTTGTCAGCACCTAACCCATGCTCATCTGAGATGCTGTGATGTTATTGGAATACTGTTAAAATCAATGTTAAGCCCATCTGACTCACTGTGAACCACTGGCTCTCTTTTTGATATCGGGGTGGCCGAGTCGTCTATGGCGCTGCGATTTGCTGTGCAGAGTTGCGTCCCTTGGGCACGCCAGAAACCTATGATTGTGGGATCGAATCCTGGTTCGCCCTGATTATGTTTCTAGGTTTGTCAGCGCCTACCCTGTGCTCGTGGGTTTAATCGAAGTGGTAAACGTCTGAGACCTGCATCACTTTGGGCTTTCCTCCCACATTAAGCTGACTCACTGATGTAACTAGAATACTGTTAAGAACGGCGTTAAACCCAACTCACTGACTCTTTTTTATCATACATGTCATATTTGAGTTGAGAGTCCCAGAGTTGAACTAATATCATGACCTGACTCAAAGGTACACTTAATTCACTACCAATGACTTTTTTATACCCCTGCAGGTGTCGGAGAAGTTGAAACTTGGAGCCAAGACAGCAATCGATATTGAGAAACTGCGTGATGGCTACAGGCCTGCTGCCAAGCGGGGAGCCATCCTGTTCTTCGTCCTTGCGGAGATGTCGCTTGTCAACACCATGTACCAGTACTCGCTGGCGTCCTACCTAGAGGTGTTCGAGTTCTCACTGAGGAAGAGTCTCCCAGACTCCATATTGGTGAAGAGACTCAGGAACATCATGGACACTCTCACTCACAATGTGTACAACTATGGCTGTACAGGTGGGTAGTTTGTAGGGCTGGGACGAGTCCAAATTTACTACCCGGGTACCCACCCCCCTATTACCCGATCCTACCCGGGTACCCACTGTAGGTAGGGGCGGTCGGGAAGCCTAGTGGTTAAAGCGTTAGCTCGTCACGCCGAAGACCCGGGTTCGATTCCCGACATGGGTACAATGTGTGAAGCCCATTTCTGGTGTCCCCCGCCGTGATATTGCTGGAATATTGCTAAAAGCGGCGTAAAACCTCACTCACTCACTCACCCACTGTAGGTCTCAGGAGATGTCTCAAAATGTCCGAATGGGAACATTTTTAGGATAGCCCTGGCGTATTTAGATACATGTACATGTATTATTAGTAGTATACAATCTGGTCATTCATACACTGAAGTTGAATTTAGTTATATCTTTATTCAACCATATGAAAAGTCAGAAGGAATGGGTGCATAGTCAGAAAGAAATGCGAACATTAGTGAACAGTAGTCTAACCATAGAGTTCTAGATAATCTTTGTCATCAAACAATATATCACGTGACTAACCACGGGTCCGAGTAGTCCTGTGGGTACCCGGGTCCTACTCAGTACCCACCCGACCCGGGTACCCGTTGGAACTCTGAAGGGATTGTGGGGAAGATCTGCTACCATGTACTCTCATAACTGTCAACTCTCGCACATGTATAATACGACATTTTGTGCAGAATTGATACTTTTGGGAGTTAAAGAGAACATATAAACAGATAAAGTGTTTGATTTACTTTTACTAATTGCAAAATTCTATATTTATAGATGCAAATTCCAAAATACACAACCTTATTTTCATGTTTATAAAAAGGAATCTTTTTCATGATACAACATTGAAAAAGATATTGCTTTCAAGACAGGTAATCAACAGAAATTCTATGGAGCTTGGATGCTGTATCATCAAATTTTTGAAAATGAGGAGCAGCTTTCAATTTAATTTTAGTTGTGGACTTAAGACTTTAATGTTTGAGACCATGTACTTTTCTACACTGCAATATGATATATAAACTTTAATAGTTTATGCATACTTGATATATGCAGTATGTTTGTATTACTAGAGTGAATGTGTGAGTGAGAAGTATGTTATTTTCTGTAAAAAAAACAAAAGAACTAAGATGTACCGATAAGTTGTGCTTGTGTCATGGGCTTTCTGCTACCCTGGGCAGAAGTAAATTTTATGTAACAGGTACTTCTTTCTAAAAACAATAAAAGAAAAAAATAACAAAAAAACTCTCACACATTTTGTGTGAGATTCGCACATTTCCATCACAGATCACTCTCTTTTGACCACAACAGGAAATTTCAAGGATTTATTAAAAAATATAAATAAAAGCAATTCATAATAAACTCAAACCCCAATCCAAAATTCTGCTCAAAATACTTAAAATCATTTTCAGATGGAAGGCAGGGAGCATTCAATCATATATCAATCATAGCTGCCTATATTCACCTCAGTTGTGGTTTTGATTAAAAATTATGATGTTTAGTATTCCTTTAGATCACTTTTATAACTTAGATTTTAAAAAATGTTTTTGAATGTTGTTTTCCATGATGATTCTGTAAGTTCTCTAATCCTCAAATGATGCAATTGTTACATTAAGATGCCATCACTGACTATTCCAGGTATATTTGAGAAGCACAAGCTGCTGTTCTCGTTCCAAATCACCATCAAACTGGAACAAGACCAGAGCCATGTTACCCAAGAGGAGCTGGATTTCTTCATCAAGGTACACAAAACATTGTCATCTGAGGTGCATGCAAAATGCACGCCATGCAGAGTTGTGTCCCTTAGACATACCAGGATCCAGTAACCAGGGTATAAGTCCCAGGTCCACTTTTGATTGCATATTACTATATCTATATTTAACAATGTGTATAATTGATGAAATTTGGACTAAATATGGTTTGTATATGCTTGAAATATGGTCACCATTTATCATTTAGAATAATAAATTTGTTAAACTGATCTTGAAAAGCAGGAGAAAAGTAGTATTACTCTGACAGCTAATGCAACTTTTATCAGTATAGTTTTTGTGTTGTTCAGGGTAACATCGCTCTAGAAAAGAGCAAGCGACGTAAGCCGTATCCTTGGATACCGGACGAGGGATGGGAAGACTGCAACCGCCTGGTAGAGGTTATGCCAGAGAAGTTCAGTACACTACTTGATGATATTGAGAAAAACGAGAAGGTTTGGAAAAAGGTTAGTTGATCAACTTGTGGTACTACTGGTGAGATAATTTAGAAATTATCGGATCCGTAGGGATTCAGCATTAGAATAGGTCCCCAGCAACCTATGCTTGACTCAAGAGGTGACTTAATTGATCAGGTGGTCAGACGTGGTGACTTTCACATAGCTTCATCTAAGTCAAGATGCGTCCAGACAAATATATCCATTTTTCTTCCATGTCTTTAATGCATTTTATAGAAGTGAAGATGTGAGTTATCTCCCTTGGCAGGGTACTCTAGCAAGCTCCTCACAGCGATAGCCCGTTCGCGGAACTCTCTATACTATCGCTGCCACCAGTCAAAACTCCCCACTGTGAATAGGTGGCCACAACCATGCTTGGAGTTGAACTCACAACTGAATGACCGTTATGTTTACAAACAAGTGACGACTGTCGTGACGACTGTCATGACGCCAAATACACTTATCGCTGCTAAATTACTTTCTTCGTTTGTCAATTTGAATTTCTGTTTCATTTAAACTATCGTGTTATTGATATAGTAAGAATGTAAGGGAGAAGTTGGTTGATTTTTCCGTTAGTCTGCAATCTGATTAATAAAACAACAAAGTAAATTCATCTGGAAAACATGGTCAGTCGTAAACCTTTTCAAAATGAAATATGATGGCATTCCCAAAGACATAAACAAAAATATCAACGTTACTACGTTTGGGGTTAGAGGGCAAATTTCAAGATTCTTGTTATGGCCGCGCCCACACTGGTGGCAGCGATGTTACCGAGAGTGTAACGAAGGTGTCACGCGCTGGGAAGGAGCTTGGATACTTGAGCCCTGGACGTACGACTCTATACCAGACCTGTACTTGAGTACATGAATGCCCATCAGTGCCTTGTACAGCATAGTGAATGTCTGTGTCATCACTGGCTTCAGTGTCTTGCACTAGTTTCAGTGTCTTTCACTAGTTTGACTGGCCCAGACTTATACACGAGATAGCTGTATATATTGTTGAGTGTGGCGCGAAACAAGAAACAAACAATGAATTATCAAGTTGTAGTTTCTCAAGAATCATTCGGACTTTACTATTATTACTCTCCTTTCAGCATGTGTAGGGATTGTCTATGTAGTATATTAATGTTACCATTTGAATTTTTTTAACTGTTACTTCCAGTGAAGACACTTATGATTACACATTTACATTTCATAACATTAAAACTAAACATAAAACTATTGTTTATTGAACTGCTTGTTTCAAAGATAGATGTTGATGAAGACAAACACTTAGTCAAAAATCGTCTTTGCTGACAGGCTTGCTCATAGTTAGATTCACTCATCTTTTGTCACATATGTCCTAAACTGCAGGTATTAGAAACAAAAAAGCTACTTGTCAACCATTTGAAATTTTTATATCAATATTTCAAAGTTTTCCTTAACGTTAGAATTTTACATTTGCAATCTCATTAAAATCAGATCTTAGTTTTTGCTACCGCTAAACCAAGATCTGAGGACATCCAATTACGGGTCAGGCCAGAACGACCTTTCGCGAATTTTGACCGACCAATGAAATGACTGACAAGAAATCGACATTAGCCAATCAGAAGGCAGCTTTCTCGAGCTGGACGACACAACTTCGAAACATATTTTGACGTATTCTCGATTAAAATAATTAAAACTGATAAGAACATTCTGGAATGGCTTATAGATGGCCTGGATTGTATAGATATATTCATAAAACCTGTAACTGTCGTTCGGAATACCTCGTGTTAAAATATGCATGATTAGAAAACACATTCCAACTGTCACTTTCATGATCTGGTAAGCAACGCTCTGATTGATTGGATGAAAGGCCGTTCTGACGTGACCCTCAATGGGATGTCCTCAGATCTTTGTTTAGCGATAGCGAGAACTAAGTTCAGATTTTAATGAGATTGTTACATTTGCAGTGGGTCAGTGGGGGACTCTTATTAAACCATCTTGTTGAAATAAGGTTCTAAATGTAACAATATGCTCTGATTTCTTGCAGTGGTACGACCATGACACTCCAGAATCTCAAACCTTCCCTCTGAAATATGAAGAATCTCTCACACACTTCCAACGTCTCATGCTCCTGAGATGTTTCCGAATTGACCGTGTTTACCGAGCCGTGACAGAGTTTGTTACCAAGGTGATGGGCGAGAAATATGTGACTCCACCAATCATAAGCTTCGAGTCGATCTTCGAGCAGAGCACGCCAATGTCACCAATTGTGTTCATCTTGAGTCCAGGGTCGGATCCTGCAAGTGATTTGATGAAACTGGCAGAGAGGTTGGAGTTTGGTACCAACAAACTAAAGTTCTTGTCCATGGGTCAAGGTCAAGAGAAGGTGAGCATGTTGAATTTATTAACCCTTTAACAAATACAGTTTGTTGATAGTGAGGTAGGATTTATATAAACAATAACAAGCTACCTGGATTTGTGGAATATGTTTCACATATGAATGAATTCTGTAGTTCCTGAGCTTTGACAGATGGCCATGGTCTTTTTTGTAAATTGGATGTTGCGAAATGACTGTTCTGATCAGAGCATGTGGCCCAGTCGTCTTTGGCGCCACAACTCACTGTGCAGAGTTGTATCCCTTGGCACACCAGAAACATATAATTGTGGCTTCGAGTCCCAGTTTGCCCCGATTGTGTTTCTAGGTTTGTTATCAACATACACATGTTCGTGGGTTTCACCAAAGTGTTGGCGTCTGAGACCTGCATCACTTCGGGCTTTCATCCCATGTTAAACTCACACACCATAATATAACTCAAATACTGTTCAAGCTGCATCAAACCGATCTTCCCTAAGCAAGAGAGTTAACTGGCTTTAAAAGTCCAGTTTCCACCCTTGCCGAACTACCCTGGACTTACTGGGCTCGATCGTAGCGCCACCAGTGGCTATTACCAGTTATGTCCCCTCTAAGCCTCTCCCATGGACCAATGAGATTCCACCACTCGTATCACTTGCGTTTGCTTCACCCAAAATGATGGAGCCCAGTCAGGACGATCTGATCGATAATCAAGATCTATATTGTGATAAAACGGGTCTTACATCGCGAAATGCATCAAATCACGTGAGCACTTTGGTTAAAAACATGAAAAGATTTGGAAAATATCTGCTGACAACAAGTTGGCGGTGCACATGCTTTGCAAATCCTGCAATCGACCGAAATCTGCCCACCAGTTTACGAACCGGATTTCGATTTCGGTGCGCGATTTTGATTGGACGATGCATAGACTCGTTAGTCCAGCCAAAATGTAACTCCATAATACCAGCCTAGTTCGGCAAGGGTGGAAACTGGACTTTTATAGTGCCTCGGGAAGATGCATCAAACCCAACTCACTCACTATTTACAACAATACACAAGTATGATGTCACTGTGCAGTAGTTTTACAGACGATCAGGGCCACAGATGCTCCAGTTGTCAAAGGTGAATTGGTTCGAATCCCATAACGATCATGTTTGTCAGCATGTTCCTGGGTTTTATCAAAGTGATAAACATCTTAAGACCAGCATTACTTCGGGTTTTTCCCCACTATCAAGCTTATACATTGTGATGTATCTGAACTATTGTTTAAAGCAGCAACTAAACTAAACTCACACAAACAGTCAAAACAATATCCAATCAGTGAAGCAAACTTATTGATGGAATAACAGTGACAGTAATTCCTAAGATGTTTGTCTCTATGGGCTGTCTAGTCTTGGGTATGTCATCTTCCCGATGCAAGAGAGTTAACTGACTTTAAAAGTCCAGTTTCCACCCTTGCCGAACTAGGAATTCATGGGCTCGTTCGTAGCGCCACCAGTGGCTATTACCAGTTATGTCCCTTCTAAGCCTCTCCCATGGACCAATCAGATTCCACCTCTCGTATCATTTGCATTTGCTTCAAACAAAATGGCGGCGCCTGGTCAGGACGATCTGATTGATAATCAAGATCTATATTGTGATAAAACGGGTCTTACATCGTGAAATGCATCAAATCACGTGAGCACCTTGATTGACAAGAAAAGATTTGGAAAATATCTGTTGACAACGACTGAGTGGTGCACATGCTTTGCCAATCGACCGAAATCTGCACAACAGTTTACGAACCGGATTTCGATTTCGTTGCGTGAATTTGATTGGACTATGCATAGACTCGTTAGTCCAGCCAAAATGTAACTCCATAATACCAGCCTAGTTCGGCAAGGGTGGAAACTGGATTTTTATAATAGTCAGTTAACTCTCTTGCCTCGGGAAGATGTGGGTAGGTCAGCCTGACTGTCACTGATTATGCAGATGTTGATCAGATCAGATGAGATCAGATCTCTGAGAGAAGTTTAAGAAGAACCAAGGCATGTCAGATTCACTGATGTAAGCAGCTTGTTCTTTCAATACCTTTATATACAACTTGTTCAGGTGTTGGTGTCTGACCCTTATCCCTTTCTTTCCAGGTGGCCCTTCAGCTGTTAGAGACTGCTATTGCCCGTGGTCAGTGGCTGATGCTGCAGAACTGTCATCTGCTGGTCAAGTGGCTTCGTGACCTTGAGAAACAGCTTGAGAAACTGAACAAACCTCACCCGGATTTCCGTCTATGGTTGACCACTGAGCCGACACCAAGTTTCCCCATCGGTATACTGCAGAGGTCACTGAAGGTAGGTTGACTGCTAGGTACCAAGTTTCCCCATCGGTATACTGCAGAGGTCACTGAAGGTAGGTTGACGGCTGGGTACCAAGTTACCCCATCGGTATACTGCAGAGGTCACTGAAGGTAGGTTGACTGCTAGGTACCAAGTTTCCCCATCGGTATACTGCAGAGGTCACTGAAGGTAGGTTGACTGCTAGGTACCAAGTTTCCCCATCGGTATATATACTGCAGACGTCAGTCAAGGTATCAAGTTTACCCATCAATATAGTACCAAGTCACTGGAGGTAGCTTTGCTGCCAGGTACTAACTTTCCCGATATAGCTTGTAAATAATTGGCTAATTATAAAGGTTATTTTCCTTTGCTGGAAGTGACATAGAATATATTTACTGTTAAAGTGAATCATTTCTTGCAGGTTGTGACGGAGCCTCCAAATGGCCTGAAGCTGAACCTACGTAGTACTTATCACAAGATCCCAGCAGCATCGCTGACAGAGTGCTCCCACCCTGCCTTCCCTTCACTAGTCTTCGTACTGGGGTTCTTCCACGCTGTGGTGCAGGAGCGCAGGAAGTACGGCAAGATCGGATGGAATGTGTCGTACGACTTCAACGAGTCTGACTTCCGTGTGTGCATGCAGATTCTCAACACGTACCTAATGAAGGCCCAGGAACAGGGGGATTCCAAGATACCCTGGGCCAGCTTGAAGTACCTCATCGGGGAGGTGAGCAGGAATTATCTTACAGCGGGCCAGTAGTGCAGTAGTTGTAGAAACAAGTGCATTATTGGCTGGTTTATCTTGATCAAAGACAAATTTCATCTTTTCCAAACTGTTATTGTATTTTTCATCAATTAAGATTTGGTTTACAGAATCTAAAAGTTTACAGAATTTGAATGCTTTTCTTCCTATAACTGTCTATAATATTCTGACGAATGGTTGATGAATGTTTTCCCATCCTGTCACCAGGTGATGTATGGTGGCCGGGCTATTGACGACTTTGACCGCCGCGTGCTACGGACGTACATGGATGAATACATGGGTGACTTCATCTTCGATACGTTCCAGCCTTTCCATTTCTATGTAGGAGAGGGCGTCGACTACAGGATCCCTGAAGAAGGATCCAGGGATGTGTATGTTGGTGAGTTTCGGAAACACATGCACCACACAGGTTTTTGTGATGATTATGGGGGATGAATGTGCTTGATGGGTCAGGTGTGTAATGTATGATTGATAATGATTAATTGTGGTTGTTGTTGTTGTTGTTGTTGTTATTATTATCATGGTGATGGTTATGATGATGGTGAAGATGTCACTTCTCTTTCAAGGGGGCGGTCGGGTAGCCTAGTGGTTAAAGCGTTTGCTTGTCATGCCGAAGACCCAGGTTCGATTCCTGACATGGGTACATTTCTGGTGTCCCCCGCCGTGATATTGCTGGAATATTGCTAAAAGCGGCATAAAACCATACTCACTCACTCACTCACTCTCTTTCGAGGGGCTCAGTTAACACGCTAAAATTTGCTGTACAGATTTGTCTCCCTTAACCGATCTAGGATCAGCTGGGTGTTGATTGTAATCTCCGATTCGACCTGTTCATGATCCACGATTTATCAAAACCAGGCTGAGGCATGTTAGTTTCGGTCAACATGGCAGATATAGTAGTAAACTGGCATCACTATTAGCTTTCCTTCCACATGAGGCAAATATGCCATGACATAACTGCAATACTAATTATATAACTGACACGAATTCAATTTCTTCCAGACTATATTGAGTCCTTACCTCTTGCGAACACGCCAGAAGTGTTTGGCCTTCACCCCAATGCCGAGATCGGCTACTACACCCAGGCTGCCCGTGACATGTGGAGCCACCTGGTGGAGCTACAGCCACAGACAGGTGAGAAGGGAGATAACTCACTTGAATTGTCCATTTACCTTATTCCATAATCTACATAATACCTATGACAGGTCCATGATGGAGAGGCAGGGTTTGCCCATACTACCCTCCTTGTTCAAGCATATCATTTTTTTTTTAAATTTCACCAATAATAACGCAACTGCCAAACACAAATTGGTCCACAAAATATTTGCATTGATCGAGCATGTGTCATGATAAGTGCCTGCTTGCCGTAAAATTAGACTATGTTTGTCATGAGAGGTGACCAACGGGATCAAGTGGTCAGGTTCGCTGACTTGGTTGATGCATGTCATCATATCCCAATTGTGTAGATTGATGCTGATGATGTCAATCACTGGATTGTCTGTCTCGATTACTTACAGTCTGCCGTCATATAGCTGGAATATTGCTGAGTGCAGCATTAAACAACAAACAAACAATCATGTTAAGTGCATCACCTTTTAAAAAAACTGTATCCTCGCTTCATACCTTACAGACAACCACATTACGACCGATCCCTCCACATATAGCTTGTAAAACATGATTGTGATTTGAGAAAAGTGTTTTTAGGGGTAATAGAAATTTGATATCAAGAGCATTCATGTAAGGGTCTTGACTGCCATCTGATTTTGCTGTGAACTGTGATCATGATCCACAATTCATCAGAACCAGACCGATGCATGCCTGTTCACTCAACATGGTCATAAAGCTGCAGGGTGGTGGGGTAGCCTAGTGGTTAAAGCGTTTGCTCGTCACGCTGAAGGCCCGGGTTTGAATCCCAACAATGTGTGAAGTACAATGTGTGAAGCTAGTTTTTGGTGTCCCCCGCTGTGATATTGTTGGAATATTGCTAACAGCGGCGTAAAACCTCACTCACTCACGCACTCAGAAAGCTCACTCACTCACTTATAAAGCTGCATCACCCTGGGTTTACTTTCCATATAAGGCGAACGCCTCCATGGTCTAGTAGATAGAGCATCTGCACAGAGAGTGTTAGGTCGGTGATTGGATCCCTGGCCACGTCCTCCCAAAAGACATCATTATGGTATTGTTTTTTACTTGCCTGGCTCTCGGCATTAAGGGAATAATGGTCGGCTCCGAGTTGGTATGTCTGAGTGGGCATCCATGTCAAACTGCAGCTGGGTATCTCAGTGGACTAGCACTGCAAAACTGGCATAAGTCGGGGTTTATACAAGCAGCCACACACACATATGTTGCTATGTAAGCGCAATCATCTTGAACACAATGTTAAACCCCATTTCACCGCACCCCAAACGATAATGACATGTTTTATTGCACATACTATCACCCACAGTTACCTGTCATTGCGATGCAGCTGGAATAATGTCAAACTAATGTATGAAACTTCATTCACCTACACACACTTTAGTCTAGTGAAGCTGGGGAAAGGTCACCCAGTCACCCAAGGGACCAGTCATTTGGCTTTACAGAGTTTCAACCACTGTGCATATTATGCATGTTTTTAAACACTGTGTATTTCTGTCTGCAGGTGAAAGTGGGTCTGGGGTGAGTCGAGAAGAGTTCATCGACAAGATCGCCACTGATGTTCTCAACAGATTGCCACAAGAATTTGAACTGGACAAGATTCGTAAGAAGTTTGGACTGGATATCACTCCTACGACGGTGGTCTTACTACAAGAGTTGGAAAGATTCAACAAGCTCATCAACAGGATGAGGAGATCACTGGCCACACTCAAAAGGGTATTTCTTTTGCTTTAGAACTTAATGTTTTCAAAGTACCGGTAATCAGTTTCTTTAAGTTGAAATCCAAACCTAAAGATGAAGATGTGTGGTCAACCTAAGAGGTTTCAGCTCGGCAAGAGAAGACCCTGTTTGTTGTCCACACTTTGTAGTTGTGAAAGCATCTGAGGCACTGTGTTAACTTTATGGGGATAGGTCCCCAGATTCCCATGCATGTCATAAGATAAGTTTAAGATGAGAAATGGGTGGTCACTAGGGCTGGGACGAGTCCAAATTTACTACCCGGGTACCCACACCCCAATTACCTGACCCTACCCGGGTACCCGCTGTTGGTGTCAAGAGACAGGTACAAAATGTCCGATTGGGAATAGTTTGACAGTAGCCGTCGCAGAATGTATTTAGATAAACGTATATAACGGAGTGGTCATGCATACACCGAAGTTGACTGAAGTTTTAGCTTTGTTCAAACATATATAAGTCAGAAGGAACGTGTTCATAGTCATGAAGCAATGCGAACATTAGAGACTTAAAATTGTCATGTAACAATGTAGTTATATAGTGAATTTTTGTCATGAAACAATATACTAGTATCACGTGACTAACCACAGGTCCGGGTAGTCCTGTTGGTACCTGGGTCCTACTCAGTACCCACCCGAGTTACCCGTCCCAGCCCTAGAGGTCATGATATGTGACGGGGCTGATAGCATGCCACGGCAGCAGAAATGGTGTTTTATGCTGTAGTCAGCAATTTTCCAGCTACAACATTGTGGCCAGGCTAATGTTTCTTGGCTGACATCGGTGGGTGGCATCAGTAAGGAATCCTCCTGCTGTGGTAGGATGACACGTTATCAGCCAGGTCACATATGGCATAAAACAACATTCACTTACCCTGTTGTATGGTTGCAATACTGCTATGGTGTACCTACTTGCTCTTTAGATATTGGTTGGTTGGTTTGTTGTTTAATGCCACACTCAGCAATATTCCAGCTATATGACGGCAGTCTGTAAATAATCGGGTCTGGACCAGACAATCCAGTGATTGACAACATGAGCATCGATCCATGCATTGGGATTGATGACATGCATCAACCATGTCAGCGAGCCTGACCACCCGATCCCGTTAGTCACCTCTTACGACAAGCATAGTCGCCTTCTATGGGAAGCATTGACTTGGCTCAGACTTGATTATTTAGTGGCCACCATCATATAGCTGGAATATTGCTGAGTGCGGCATTAACAACAAACAAGCAAACTCTACATATGTGTTAGTATTTATCCTGACCGCCGCTGTGGTCTTATGGTATCTGCCCAGAGAGCGAAAGGTAGAGGGTTCGATCCACAGCCCCATCATATACCAAAACATGTTAAAACATGGTACTTGTTGTTACCCTGGCACACTTGAGGGGATAAAACTGTGGCATGGTATCTCAGTGGTCCAGCACAAGAACATCGGCATTAGTCTGGACGAGTACCAGCAGCCACACACAAATACATGCATGCACGTCACTATGTAAGTGCAATAATCTTGAACTCGATGTCGAAACCCTATTCACCTAACCCCACTTCACCTGGTATTTGTCCTCCAAAACATGTTTGATACCTGAAATCCTGCCTTTCTATACAGGCTCTTGCTGGTGAGGTGGGCATGAGCAGTGAGCTGGATGATGTCTCACGGTCACTGTTCAACGGTCAGATTCCATCCATTTGGCGTAGACTGGCCCCCGATACACTCAAGTCCCTTGCCAACTGGATGATCCACTTTGAGAAGAGATACAAGCAGTACAACGCATGGGTAAGTCTTTCTCCGCATGTGTAATGGATCTGTTACATATTGGACCTGTCACGCATGGCTGGAGAGGAGTATTTTTTTGTCTTAAGCACAAACTGTTCTGAACATAAACTGCCCTGAGTTCAGGGCTCTGTTCTACAAAGCGATCTTAGCACTACAAAGATTGTAAGCCTATGTTTAGCAGTGGAAACTAACATTTTTAGTCCACTAGTGAGTGAGTGAGTATGGATTTATGCCGCTTTAAGCAATATTCCAGCAATATCATGGCGGGGGACACCAGAAATGGGCTTCACACATTGTCCGCATGACGAGCGAACGCTTTAACCACTAGGCTACCCGACCGCCCCCAGTCCACTAGTCCTTATAATGATAACATATAGCAAAATCCTTAAAAATGTCAAATTTCTACTTATTATGATACCTTAACTATTGGGTACCTTGGCGTTGATGTTAAAGTATGGTAGTGATGGAAGTCTGTTATCAGCAAGTTTTATCCCAAATATGGGCTAGTGATTTTGCAGCACTTGTTGGTGTTGGTATTCCTTTGCGCAGTATCATGAATACTATTGAATAGATTTGACGATGTGTTATTGTGTCAAAACTCTGTTATAAGAATGGTGACATGGGGTCTTGTAGTGAGTGAGTGAGTTGGGTTTAACGCCGCTTTTAACAGTATTCCAGTCATATCACGGCGTGTCAGCTTAATGTGGGAGGAAAGCCCGAAGTGATGCAGGTCTCAGACGTTTACCACTTCGGTGAAACCAACGAGTACGGGTATGGTGCTGACAAACCTAGAAACATAATCGGGGCGAACCGGGATTCAAACCCACGATCATAGGTTTTTGGCGTGCCCAAGGGACACAACTCTGCACAGCGAATTGCGGCGCCTTAGACGACTGGGCCACTGCCCTCTGGGTCTTGTAAGTGGCACACAAGTAACTAATCAGCTGAAGCTGGTGGCGGAGAGTAGATGGATGGGGAATCATGTTTGGAAAGACTCCCAAGGGTTTCTTGTGCATTGGCACACATTATAAAACATGGTGTTTCTCTAAGCAAGTGAATGTTTATAACCTGTCTCTCAATACCCAGCAGTGAATGGGTGTTTGGTAGGTGAGATGTTAATGTGAATGCTTTTGTTGTGTACTCCTACTGGAGCTGAGAATGCAGTATGAACATACTCTGATCCATTGACAAGGTAATAATACACAATTGACACACAATTAGGCAAATCACATATTGTAACACAAGTTTTCTGTGTGGTATGCTAACAATACAAACAAGAGATATTAACCTATTCTGCACATATACTGGTGTCCTGCAATACACTTTTCAAATGATACATATTGCAATATGTTTTCTGTGTTTCTGTAAAACAATGTAACAATTTACATTGTAATTTGTATTGTTTAACCCGAATATCTGCCAAGAAACATAATCACAAATGATGTTCCCCTTCAAATTGATAATAAAAAACACTGGTAACGTTGAAGTGATTTTTCAATCATGCTGTTATCTCCCCTGTATTCATGACATTCAAATGTCGGCAAATAAAAATATTTACTTTAGTATGTGGAACATTATAATCTGCATGTACAATCAGTGTTACATCACTGTCAAACACTGAAGCTCCCAATATATCGCAATGCGTATCGCAGTACATCCTTAATCATTATTTTCAGTGGTCAACATTCATATTGGTAACACTGGTTTTCAATGAACTTATTAAATATACATAGTTGTTATTAGTGTTCTTAAAATGTACACAGGATAAATATTTGATTGTGAACGTCTGTTTGTGGCAGGTGAATGAAGGTGAGCCCTCTGTGATGTGGTTGTCCGGTCTGCACATACCGGAGTCCTATCTCACGGCCTTGGTGCAAGCGACATGTCGTAAGAACAGCTGGCCACTGGACAAGTCCACTCTGTACACCAGCGTCACACAGTACCAGGCCGCGGAGGATGTCACAGAACGGGCACATGCTGGTCAGTACACTGTGAACCCGTCAAGATCCGGGGTAGAATAGGTCTTCAGCAACCCATGCTTGCCGTAAAAGGTGACGATGCTTGTCGTAAAAGTCGACTAACTGGATCGGGTGGTCAGACTAGCTGACTTGGTTGATGCATGTCATCGTATCCCAATTGTGTGGATCGATGCTCATAATGTCAATCACTGGATTGTCTGATCCAGACCCGATTATTTAAGACCCCCGTCATAAAGCTGGAATATTGCTGAGTGTGGCGTTAAACAACAAATAAACAAACAAATAGTACACAGTGACATTTATAGACCCCAATTTTCAAACCCTTTAAATTATCAGATTGATCTGTAAGTGTATTTCTGCTTCAAAATGAAAATTATTACATGTTTTTCTTTGAACTATATCATTACCCTACCTAGAGTAGCCTAGCACTATTAAACTGGCATAGTCAGGACTAGTACAAGCAGTCACACAAATGTGCAAGCATGTCTCTATGTGAGAGAAACAATCTTGAATGTGATGTTAACCCTGATTTGATCTCTTCTCTTTGAGCCATAAAGCCTATACAATGCCATGAAAGTTCCATGTGTTGCTGTCGTCAGGTTGTTTCGTGTACGGCCTGTGTCTAGAGGGCGCTGCCTGGGACAAGGAAAACACCTGTCTCATCCGTCAGAAACCCAAACAGCTCATTCAGGAACTACCAGTTCTCAAGATCATCCCCATCGAAGCTCATCGGCTCAAACTCCAGGTGAGTAGGTGACTTTGAGATAACTGGTATCAAACATGTGAAATTGAATTCCAGGTCTGTGATTGGCTACACCATGGTGATGACCTGAGGTCAGATTTTGAGAGACTACTTTCCTGACTGTAATTCATTGATGTTTCTCATGAGAGTGAGTTGTGTTTAACGCTGCTTTTAACATCATTACAGTTATATCGTGGCATGTTAGCTTATTGTGGGAGGAGAGCCAGAAGTGATGCAGGTCTCAGACGTTTACCACTTCAGCGAAACCCACGAGCACGGGTATGGTGCTGACAAACCTAGAAACATGATCGGGGCGAACCAGATTTCGAACCCACAATCATAGGTTTTTGGCGTGCCCAAGGGATGCAACTCTGGACAGCAAATCACGGCGCCTTGGACGACGGGGCCACCTGTGGCCCCGATGTTTCTCATGCTTTAGTCAGAGTCACCTATGTCTCTGAACAGTTTATGCTTTTAGAGTGTTCATAGATGTTCTATCATCTTATCTAGTTTGCATTATCATCATTGTCTTGATAATCCACATATCGTGGAAACATTTTGTGAAGGTGCTCACTAGGTATCAGTAGTAAGAGAAAGATGGTGTTATGTATTAATGCACCAATGAAATCATGAGAATGGACAAAATGTGCATCGATTTGATGCTGAAATTGTGTGATTTTCAGGGGCTTGTTAAATACATTTTGAATCAACTAAGATAAATAACATCTGACAGACACTCGTGTAGTAATCTCTATAAGTCTGTGAGTTCCTGGTTTGGAAAGTGTTGTCAGGGTAGTTTTTAAAGGATTTTAAAACCATGATAGCACTGACAAAAACTGAAAACAGTTTCTCCTAATTAAAGTGAGCAAGCTGTTTTGAAAAGGGTGATCGTGTAGTTTCGCTTAGTTTTCTTCACAATTGTCTTACATGTAATATTACATTTAAAACATCGAAAAGAAGTTTCAAACATTGATTCAGATATAAATAAATACCTGGTAGTCTTTAAAAAGGAAAAAAAGGATAAAAATGCAATGCTGTGTTGCCATGTAACATTGAGATAAACCTGTTTTGTTTTGCAGAACACATTCCGTACGCCTGTGTATGTGACCTCACAGAGGAGGAATGCCATGGGTGTCGGGCTGGTCTTCGAGGCCGACCTCGCCACATCAGAACACACCAGCCACTGGGTGCTGCAAGGAGCTTGTCTCATTCTCAACACAGATTAGATCACAACATGTTCGTCTTATAAGACTCCACCGCTTTAAGCTTTCCATAGAACCCAAATCCCAATCATTAGAACCAAATAACTGTCAGTTCAGGTGATTGTATAGAAGTGTTTTTTCATTCAAACAGAATGTTTAATCAATTTCTTATTTTGAAATGATTCATGGTCGATCATTGTCCAAAATGGAGAACTCTTTCAATTAGAAGTCTACAGGGTCATTAAAAAAGTTTATGCACATAAAATGTCCAAAGCCTGGCAAGAGATTATTTTCACTGAAGTCATCAGTATTAAATGTTACATTGTCTATATATAATGATATAAGTATTAAGTGACTGTTGTTTATGATGCTAATTGGTGTCATAGTGCTCTTAAATGTCAATTTCATTTGACCTGTTGTTGTGTTCAATATTGTACATAGCTTTAACAGTGAAGCAATATTGTATATTTCTTGTTAGTGAACTGTTGTGTTATTTGTATTGATAATGTATGTTCTAACAATGTCATTTATTGATGTCACGACGGAGATATATGCATGAAACTCCATTCCGATTAAATCATAACAGTAATTCACAAAAATACAAATATTTCATCCAGTGTCTACAAAGTGTGTATATTTATTTGTGTACTTTTGTGCGTAGAGCTTTAGCTGTGATATGTTATATTTATTTATATCCATTGAAAGTATTTCTATCAAAGCATTCATTTATCATGTTTATCCTGAACTTGCCATGCAATATGTTGAAACATTCCGTCCAAATATGGTACCAAGATTTATGGTAAACACTATTCTATGAAAGTTCTAAAAGGGTTTGTATTATTGGGTATGGGTTTGGAGAGTTTTTTCCACCCATCAAAACCTTCTCAAATCAGTATTTACTGTCTTCAGATGATCTCAGTTGGTATTGTGACAATGAACTGTACTTAAATTCAATGGTCAATTCCCTTAATTCAGAATTATAAGAACTCACATTGTGCCAAACATATAAATTCATTTGTCATGAAGTACACCTTGTGGGATTTTTTTGTTGATATTGAAACAGTTTATATGTTTTTTTGTTTTTTTTGTTATTCATCTCACACAAAACTGTGTTTTATTTTGTATGAAAAAGAAGAAAACCTAAAAAAGAATGAATGAAAATGAATTAATAAAATATTATCTGTTTAGTGTTGTGATAATCATGGGGACACGGGTGGCCCCGCCAACATTCACTGTGGATTTTGCGACCCAAGATTTCTCTTCATCATAAGCCTTGGCAATATCAGGTCTGTGTTCACTGGCTTCACCAAAGTGGTCAATGTCTAAGATCTGTGCCTTTTGAGGACTGACCGCCTCCGTGCATCTGCCCGAAGAGCTGAAGGTTGGGGGTTCGAACCCGTCCTTGTCATTCCAAAAGACGATAAAAATGACTCTGCCTGGCGCTCGGCATTAAGGGACTAATAAGGACTGGTCGGCTTGGAGTCAGTATACTGTGTTAGTGGGGTATTCACTGGGGCATGCTATCTCCATGGGCTAGCAACCATAAAATTAGGCGGGACTAGTACAAGCAGCCACACACAGACACACATACATGGATGTCGCTAAATAAGTGCAATAATCTTGAAAGCTACGTTAAACCCCATTTCACCTCACCTCAAATCCAGACAAGGGTAAATATGAAACTGAATAGAATGAAAATATATGTATCCATTCTCTGTCAACAACGGTTCATTTCGAGGCGTCAATAGCAGTAATCCGGTCGTTGTTGTAATTAACTGTGAGTAACGTGATCTGCCGTTCAGTTCACACACGATAAAAAGATGACATATATCCCAGCTATACAAGGGGCAGTGGGGTAGCCTGGTGGTTAAAGCGTTCACTCATCACACAGAAGACCCAGGTTCGATTCTCCACATGGGTACAGTGTGTGAAGCCCATTTCTGGTGTCCCCCTGCATGATTTTGCTGGAATATTGCTAAAAAAGGAGGCGTAAAACCATACTCACTCACTCATCTACAAAGAACACTTTTTATAACCAGATAGTTAGACTAACAGTAAGTCTCTGAAATCTTATATTACACAATATCCTTCTTGACTCTAAAAATAAATAAAAAATTCCCTATGCTGATTGGAATAGAGCTGGGGTTGGCTAGACTTGCTTTTGTATGCATTTCTAGTTTTTATTTTTTTCATAAAATAAATATATTCCACGGTCATGGTGCAGAATAGAGCTAGCAAGGGCTGGCTAGACTTGCTTTTGTTTGCGAGTCTAGATTTATTATTTTTCCCATAAAATAAATATATTCCACGGTCATGGTGCAGAATAGAGCTACCAAGGGCTGGCTAGACTTGCTTTTGTTTGCAAGTCTAGATTTATTATTTTTCCATAAAATAAATCTATTCCACGGTCATGGTGCAGGACTACCAGCTAGTGTATCAGTGCTTCTGTGCCAGTGAGTCCCAACAATGTGTATCTGTGCTTGTATTGTCAATCACTGATGTGTGTGTTTGTTGTCTAACCCTGCACAAAGCAATATTCCAGCTATTTGAAGGCGAATCAAATCTGGACCAGGCAATCCAGTGATGGATACTGTGAACAACGATCCAGCCGTTGGGGTATGTTGACACACCGTCAACAGAGTCACAGAACCTGAGCACCCGATCAATTAAGTCGCCTTTTGTTTGTTTGTGTCTGTTTGTTTGTTGTTTAACGCCACACTCAGCAATATTCCAGCTATATGATGGCGGTCTGTAAATAATCTGGACCAGACAATCCAGTGATTGACATCATGAGCATCGATCCATGCATTTGGGATACGGTGACATGCATCAACCAAGTCAGCGAGCCTGACCATCCAATCCCGTTAGTCGCCTCTTTACGGCCAGCATGGGTTGCTGAAGATCTATTTTACCCAGCATTTTCACGGGTCTGTCGCCTCTTATGACAAGCATAGGCTGCTAGGGACCAGTTCTAACTTAAATCCCTATGGGGGTCAATCATAGGTTGACAAATAAGATGATCATATTTACAGCTGCTGGTATAATACGGACTGCTGCGTAAAACAACATTCACTCACATATATAATTGAACCCATGAATCCAGTTTTACACATTTAATACAAATATCAGACTTCATCTGTGCATCAACTTCCATACAGTACTGTATCATGCATGGAGAAGTATGAGACAGCTTGATATCTCTTAACCCTTGGACTGTGTGACAATGGTCGTACTGGAAGCTGGACATTTTTTATCAGTTTCAGTGGATAATCTAGAATGGGTATTCTCTTGGACTGACAATTTATATTTAAAATAATATTAATTAATAATTATTTGAGGGATTTTTCACCGAGATATAGATTGAAAATTCACGTTAATTAGGAAAGTATGGCATATTAAGGATGGCGGCATTAGTGCAACATGCACAGGTCATGTTAAAAACCATAAGACTGGTCATGCAAAAGATAACAAAAATATAAATCTTACTTAATGAACTGTTCTACATCACTAAATGTCACTCTTCAAATTAATTCAGCAGACTAAGAGTTAATATGTTCAAGAGAAATACCACATTGTTCGACCTGGTACATCTCAACGACAGATGTTATATTACTTCGATTTCCCTAACTGAAGTGATGCGATTTTATAGCTTTTCACTGGCATGTATTGTACTCTTACAGAGCTGCCATAGACATAGATGCTGCTGATGTGACAAACAAATTTAACATGAGTATGAAAATGACAAGCCTTCACCACTGATACTATGGTTCATCGTAAGTTGATTAAAATGAAGATTTTGCAGTCAATATTTTGCCCAATCCAGCTGTTTATTTCCATTAGTGCGTGATCCCTACAAGGCTGCAAATGTGGTCCCGCCATACCCGACCTCAAGTCGTTCCATGTTGGTAAATTTGATGTAGTTTCTGAAAATAACCAAAACCAGAAATCAGAATACTACTCATCTGTTGATCTGTGTGGCAACTGACCACCCTAATACTGACCTTGGTCACTAGTGAAGATGACCAGGAAACCAGTACCAAATCCATTCTTATGTGACCTTTGACCAACTTACTATTGACCCTTTGGGTGGTAAGTGTTTTACATAACAAATCTTTGTTAGCCTGGACATGCCTTTTTACATCTTCCCGGGGCAAGAGAGTTAACTGACTCTAAAAGTCCAGTTTCCACCCTTGCCGAACTAGGCTAGTATTATGGAGTTACATTTTGGCTGGACTAACGAGTCTATGCATAGTCCAATCAAAATCGCGCACCGAAATTGAAATCCGGTTCGTAAACTGTCGTCCAGATTTCTGTCAATTGCAGGATTTGCAAAGCGTGTGCACCGCCAACTCGTTGTAAGCAGATATTTTCCAAATCTTTTCATGTTTTTAATCAAGGTGCTCACGTGATTTGATGCATTGCGCGATGTAAGACCCATTTTATCACAATACAGATCTTAATTATTGATAACGTTGCCTTGACTGGGCGCCGCCATTTGGTTTGAAGCAAATGCAAGTGATACGAGAGATGGCATCTGATTTGTCCATTGGAGCGGTAGTGGTGGCACTACGATCGAGCCCAGTAATTCCAGCCTACTTCAGCAAGGGTGGAAACAGGACTTTTGAAGTCAGTTAACTCTCTTGCCTCGGGAAGATATAAACCTTACCTACAACCAACAAACCTATACAATTACCAACAGGATAACAGATCAAACATCTTCGATTATACAGGGTACTTTATACAGGGTACTTTATCCTCTTTCTATTAGGATAAACACCCTGTACTCATTTGTCAACAAGGTTTCATATTAATTTCCTGTTACAATAACTCATGATAAATTTTTCAGCATGTCAAGTATTGCAAGGTATCGTATTGCAACCTTACAAGACTATCAAGATATCTATTGTATAGCCAATAAGTGTATCGTTATATGCTCAAGCCTTAAGCAGTGGCCACGTGTTGTCTTGATTTACCACAAGCATAAAGTACGGAATCTATTCTCCCCCAGAACTCCACCAACATGACCAATACTTCAGCAATTCAATGCTATTTCTAACCTTTTAGGGTCAATACCAAGCTTTTGTTGCAGGAATTCTGAAATTTCTTTGGACATCTGAATGTTTTCCTCTTTCCCCATGTGTCCGATACTCTGCAGCTCGGAGTTGGCACATGGATCAGTCGTACCCCCGTGGCTCATCATCTGATCTGGATGAATCCTCACCGTCACATACTGAAATATAGCAAAATACTTAGTCAGGGTGCATGACTTGAGTAAATGATTTATTGAGTTGTGTGAACAATTGAGTCAGCTGAGCAAATGGTTGTGGAGGTTGGGTGAATGATTGAGTAAGCTGAGTGAATGAGTATTGAGTGATTGATTAAGATGATTAAAACAATGAGTAGGTTGAGCAAATAATTAAGTAGATTTGGTGAATGATTGAATAAGCTGAGTGAATGATTGTGTTAATGATTGAGTAAGTTAAGTGAATGATTGAGTAGGTTGAGCAAATAATTAAGTAGATTTGGTGAATGATTGAATAAGCTGAGTGAATGATTGTGTTAATGATTGAGTAAGTTAAGTGAATGATTGAGTAGGTTGAGCAAATAATTGAGTAGATTTGGTGAATGATTGAGTAAGCTGAGTGAATGAATGTGTTAATGATTGAGTAAGTTAAGTGAATGATTGAGTAGGTTCAGTGAATAATTAAGTCAAGTGTTTGAGTGAGCTGGGTTAATCACCGCTTTGAAGCGTGTCAGCTTAATGTGGGGCAAAAGCCCGAAGTGATGCAGGTCTTAGACGTTTATAACTTTGGTGAAACCTACGCGCAAGGGTATGGTTCTGACAAACCTAGAAACATAATCGGCATTTGGGGCGAGCCAGGATTTAAACCGACAATCATAGGTTCCTGGTGTGCCCAATGGACGCAACTCTGCACAGCGAATTGTGGTGCCATAGACGACTGTGCCACCCATGCCCCGATTAAGTCAAGTGTATGATTTAGTGTAGCAATCAAACCACCTCATTTGAAGGTTTGAATTTACTGTCGACACCTGGCTCCCTTATCTTATTAAGAGGTGAAGGATTTCTTAATGACCAGTGGTAATCTTTCACCACTGGTAGAAATGTTTGCCGGGTCCTGGAATGCGTATTTGCATAAAATATGCAAACAATATAACCATTTCCCAAAATACTTTTTAGCTCAAATGTGTACAAATATGCATGAAAAACCGAATAGGGGACTAACAATGTGCATTTTAGCCTATTTAGTCTTTTTATTTTCAGTTTGTATTCCTGTATTTCTTTACGGCTCTTTTCTGCTGATTGAATAAACGCATCATGTATACACAAACAGATGCAAATTCACCTGAAACTGCATCCGAAGCAGAATTATTATTTAAAAAGGCCTACCGTTACTTGTTGGTTCATAAATACCCAACTAATGTAGCAGTAACAATATACTGAACACCCAAAGTGAGTGAGTGATTTGGGTTTAACGCCGCTTTTAACAATATTCCAGTTATATTCCGGCGTGTCAGCTTAATATGGGAGGAAAGCCCGAAGTGATGCAGGTCTCAGACGTTTACCACTTCGGTGAAACCCACGAGCACGGTTATGGTGCTGACAAACCTATAAACATAATCGCGTCAAACCGGGATTCGAATCCACAATCATAGGTTTCTGGCGTGCCCAAGGGATGCAACTCTGCACAGCGAATCCAGCACCTTAAAACGACTGGGCCACCCGTGCCCCGAACACCCAAAGAGAACTGTCAATACCCGATGTGAATGATAATGGGAGGAAATACCCAGTGGTTCCAAACATTATCTGGATCACTGGTACACTATTGGAAGCTTTATGGTCGTACCATATTTTCTCCATTAAACGCCTGAACATATATTTCTTTCAGGCACTCTTTATCCCCATCGTTTAATCGAGAAACAATGATCGACTAACCATGTGCTCAGACACATCTTCGTAGTTCTCTAAATTGCTTTTGTTTAGCGGGGTTTAGTGTCGAACGCACGTAGTAGTCAAAATACAATACGGAGAGAATTCTGTCCATAAAAGCTGCCTTTTGTTTAATAGAGGCCCGGGGTTTCTTGATTTCATGTACCCTCTTCCCAGGTGTTTAATCAAGGAAATACGGTAGCCTACATCCATCCAGGCTATTTAACAAATTGTTATCAGAGGTCACTACTGATAACATGTACGTAGCGTCCTACTTCCAACATACTTGAGATACAAGATAGACCCCAGTAGGGCTGGGACGAGTCCAAATTTACTACCCGGTTACCTGATCCCCTATTACCCGACCCTACCCGGGTCTCAAGAGTAGGGAACAAAATGTCTGATTGGTAATTGTTTTACCGCAGCCCTGGCCAAAACTATTCAGATACATGTATCAAACAATCAGATTATGCGTTCACTGAAGTTGACTGAAGCTTTATCTTTACTCAAACATTTACAAGTCAAAAGGAATGTGTGCATCATCAGAAAATAATGCGAACATTAGCGACTTGTAGTGTAACCACTGCGCTATAGTAAGTTTTTGTCATTAAACAATATATCACATGAATAACCATGGGTCTGGGTAGTCCTGTGGGTACCCGGGTCCTACTCAGGACCCGACCGACCCGAGTACCCGAGTCACCCATCCAAGCCCCAGACCCCAGCTATCTGGCACAGTCACATCTCGTGGAGTCTGTTTCCCACACCCTAAAGAAACAAATTCAAAAAGGTGTCCAACTCAATTCTAGAATGATTTGGCAAGTCTAGATTGCCTCATAATACATGTACATGCAAATTAATATTTTCCTGGGGTCCATTTGGATTTTAGTTTTTAATTTTGTAGATGTAATCTTTAAAAAAGATAACCATATAATCTTGGTCTAAATGTAAGTCTACATCTAGTGTTAAAGCTATTCTTCAGCCTACGTGACATGAAGCGTGTTATGTGTTGTAGTTTTACATGAATGCTTTTGCTTCTCAGGCGCCATCAGTCCGTCAAACCCTGTTAGGACTAAACCATGAAAAACTAGTGGGAAAAATATTCTGTTTTTTTCAGTGTTTCTTTTAATACTGGTAATACACATCTTTTTTTACAGTTAGAATTATCAGAACATACTTTGCTGGTAGATGTCTCATGCAATTTTTCTAAATCTGAATTTATAATTATGTTTGTCATTAAGCAGAAAAAAACAACATTATCCTTTCATACAATCATGGTGAGCACGGTCCTTGCGATCTCAAATTACCCACCCTCCATTTATATTAACACTGTACCGACCAACCAAAAGTCGAGATAAGGAAACAAGGCATCTGTAAGGGAGGACTAGCCACTGCCAGTTTTAACGGACATGAAGACATTCTTTCCATCAAAAATATTTTTTAGGGCTTTCTTTTGCGTGTCAGTCAATTTTTCAAATTTAAATTTCTTGCCAAGAACTCTTCGTACTCGTACTTTTTGGGTTGAGTCCCGTCCGAGGATTCAAACCCACACTGCCAGAGTGAGGCACCTAATCGCCAGCACACGAAGTCAGCGATCTAACCCACTCAGCCACCGAGGCTTCCACAAAAATGGAAGTCTGACAACTGGTAGTCTAGATCACGTACGTTGTGTACCCCTCTGAGAAGTGTATATTGGCACAGCTCCCATGGCTGAAAGCTATGAACACACAATGCAGTGTGGGTTTGAATCCCGGATGAGAATCTATACTTTAATGAGAAAGTGTTATCCCAAATACCATATTCGACGTAATAAGTGCCCAGGGCGCTCTCAAAATTAGAAATAGGGAGCTCTTATTAGAACATAATTTTGGTGAAAGATCGTAAATTTTGTGGTTTATGCTGACAGCCTGAAATGATACCAAAGAAAAGTCTGTTTGTATTATACACGACAGATATATTTTTCCAGAATTTAATTGCCTGTAATTAAGGGTGCATATAACACGATTGCGTATTACACACGAATAAATAAGTCTTGTGTACATTGATCAATCGGAAGGGTGCTAATTGGGATTGTTCACTAGCCAATATATTAGCAAATATCTCTGTAGGCGCTTATTACAGCGAGGCGCCTACGTCGAATACGGTATAACATTTGTAAGTTTTGACCACTTTCAAAATGGCATTGTGTGTTCAGGATGAATAATACTTTCCACCACACACACAGAGACAAGACACGTATTCCGAGTCACACACAGGCAGAGACAGACATGTACAGACACACATACTTTCTTGCTGAAGCATGACCGTTTTAACCAGCTTGATTTGTTGTGACACCCATTATGAAATGTTCATCAGTTATTACCATGTCATTGTCAATGTGAGTTTTAGAGACGGGTTCATAATGTTTTTCTAGTGTCCAACATGTCCTGATATTATAAATCTTGACGTCTGGTTAATTACAAAAAATAAGTTTCCCTCCTTAGATTGGATAATACATCGTAATATTCTGAAAAACTATTCAACATACTAATATAAAGAGCATTGACTAATCACAACATATATTGTGGTTTGGAAAATAATGTTCTTCTTGTGCGTGATGGCTTGAACTTACAGTTTCCGGTTTCCGTATAGCTTTGGCGATGACATTTGAGGTTTCCAACAAAAAACCCTTTGGGATGGCACTTGCTGGCAGATTCGTGAACAGAAGAAAACACGGCATGGCTACACTGACTCCGAGACACAAGCTTTTCTGCTGACACACGCCGCTGTCCTCGCTTGATAAATCGAGAGCCTCGTCGTCGATCTTATGAAGCGCGTTGTTCAAAAGGTTCTAGCTACCTCGCACTGCACTGCACGACAATATGCGCACCCACAATATTAAAATGTAACAGGTCGACACATCAAACGAATCTGCATGAAGTACCTGTCGTTATGTGTTCTTCGAACTTTGACAAAACAAAAATGTATTGTCTAGCACATCTGGTAAAGTCAATAACAAGAAAAAGATTGCATTGATTAATTAATAAAAGTTGTTGATAATACTTACCAGAGATCGTATACACTTTATGGCTAGTGAGTGAGTGAGTATGGTTTTACGCCGCTTTTAGCAATATTCCAGCAATATCACGCCGGGGGACACCAGACATGGGCTGCACACATTGTACCCATGTCGGGAATCGAACCCGGGTTTTTGGGGTGACGAGCTAACGCCTTATAACCACTATAGGCTACCCGACCGCCCCTCTTACAGACCCTGATACAAATGTATAAAAAACAGCCCATGCAAGATATAATGTTTGGCAAGTCTAGATTACTGCAGTATCTGAAAATAAAGAAATTCCCTGGGCTCCTTTTTATTATATGTTTTAAGATAATTGAACAACTGTTGTTTTTTCTGTACGATATGTACATTTCAGGGATTAGATGTGAGTCTAGGTATATGGCCTATGACTGTACATAATTATATCAATCACATCAGCGCCAGCATGATGCTATTATTATACTACTTGATATGTTATTGAAAAAGGTTTTAAGCACAGCGTAAATCTCGGAACATTCCTTTCATTTTTTACTTCAGTGTACTCATTGGTAAGTTAGTTTTAATGATACTTCACCATCACATGAGACAGTCTAAATCGTTATTTAGAAGTGATGGACATTCTATATTGCATGAAGATATGTATCTCGCAGTTTAGATGTTATATTTTCTGTATAAGTGTGGACCTTGTGCGACACCGTTCCATTCCTCATGATGACCGATTCTGCGATTTCTCTTCTCCTAAACGTCAATGTATTGAGGATGAATACCATGTTATGTTTATTTGTGAACGCTATGCCTCTATAAGAAGAAAGCCCCCCTCGCCATATTACACTGAATAGCCATCTCTGATGAAATTCACACGGCTAATACAAACCGGTGATAATCTTGTCCTTCATAATATGGTGTGTTCCCAGCAAAAGCCTACAAATTCAGAAACACCGAATATTTAAAAGAAAAATCAAGAATGAAACTGTTATATATTTCACTCCATCATGCGTGATTATCAGCCCTTATCTTATACGTGCATATACGTATCGATGATACGAGGCATTTTGATGTGCCATCGCGCCAACATAGATACGGTCGTATCACAGGAGTTTTATAACTGGATTCGTATTTACACCCAGCTAGGGCGGTCTGAAATGGCTTGTCAAAGCATTTTGAAAGGGTGATATTGCTCGTCATGCCTAGGGCCCGGGTTCGATTCCCTATATGAGTACAATGTGTGAAGTCCATTCTGGTGTTCCCAGCGTGATATTGCTGGAATATTCACTCACTCACCGAAAGGGCGCTCAATATCAGCCCTGGTGGTAGGAAATGGGAGTTACGTCCCTTGGTGCGTCGTCTGCTCGGCAATCTGATTAAAATCAGATCTTGGTTCTCGATACACGAAACAAAGATTTGAGGATAACTCTGATAAAATGTCCCACAAATTGTTCTGAGTTATCGTCAGATCTTACGAGATGCTCTTGTTATTTGTGGTGGAGACTATAACGCAAGTCGGATTTTGTAGAAGATGGCATTATTAAATATAGCGAAGGGCTGGGGCAATTAACTCAAGCTGGGATTTTATGTGCGATTGTTTTAATTTAAATCGTTTCTCAGAGGACTCTTGCTCCGAAGTTGTTGGCTCCAACGCATCAGTGACCAAAGTCCTGCCCGATGCAATTCCCTATTTGACTTGTACCATATGTTTCCGTGTTTTTTTTCAGGTGATCAGGTTACTTGCCTTTGCATGTGTTTGTGACCGGTGCCACCGGCGGGCAGGATACGTTTACCTTTTCGATATGCATCCGTCACCACTCATCCCTTTCCGTAACCCGCAAGAAGACTCGTCCCCCTATCGATGAATGTTATGTGCGAAAATACGACAAACCAATCAGAATGCGCGTATGACTTCAAGTACTTCGGTCAAAGAATCCCCCAGGAATAATTTTATATTTTACGTATGTCTTGCATTTAAAAATATACGCAAAATACAGTTAGATGTGTTCAAACATGCTGTATATTACAGTAAGTCCCGATGTGTACAAAAAACATCTGGAATATATATGATATATGGGGGGAAATATTCGTGAATCATGACGCAACAAGTTAGCTATATGCCCGTTGCAATTCTTAGAATTCAAACGTTTCAACACAGACCAGTTCTTGTTATTCTCCATATATTGCTATTTGTCTTCAAACTATTCATTCCTTTTATGCCTGAATACAGCATTATATTTGTTTCTTATGTAGTTGTAATCCTTCAACGTGTGACTATCCTTACACTTTTTAAACCTATACAATGTTCTACATCTTTTACTTTTCAACTGATCACATTCAGTATCAAACAATTCATTGTTGTACTGTCAAGTCCCGTTACTCCGACATCGTTGGTTGCATATGATTATGTCGGATTAACGCGTATGTCGAATAAACGAACGTTCGTGATCCAAAATCGGATAACTACACGATAGATAACGATCGATACAAACACGTAATAAAAAATATAAATGAAATATTTACTTTTTCCAGCTGCCTCCGGGTTTTTTGCCGCGGGACATAATGCATCTGTAATAAACTCTATACTTTTTTTGTCATTAAATATCATATCCAACCCATGAAGATCCGGGGTAGAATTGGTCTTCAGCAACCCATACATGCCGTAAAAGGCGACTCTTCTTGTATGAGGCAACTAAGGGTGATCGGGTGGTCAGGCTCGCTGACTTGGTTGATGCATGTCATCGTATCCCAACTGCGTGGATCCATGCTCCAAGTTTTCTTCGTTAGTTTGCATGATGATGATGATCTCATAGAATGCAGTGTGAGTGGCTTCGCTCTTGTTTTATAGGAGAGGCACTGAAACCCTGCTTCCTGATTGATCCAACACCCTGCGCATCGATTGGTCCGTTCCGGTGCCTGGTCTGCACCCCGGTTTTCCAAACTGGACCGACCCTTATGTTTCTTTTCCATTGGAAATGGATTGTACACAAAAGCACAACCCTGGTTCGACCAATCAGAGCCTCGAACAGACCGAGCGACCCCTCTGATTGGTCCAAAACCCAAGCCTCTGATTGTTCAGATTTCGATCCTGTTCTTTTGGGTAGTCATATTTTTAGGTAGACGGTCGTCTGAATTCTAAAGGTGGACCGTCATGGGCAGACATGGACGTGATGTGGGAATGCCTACGTGATGTACTTTGTGTCTCAATGCAAACGTGATGTCACACGTGTCTTCAAACAGACGTTTATCAATATGATTATGATGTTGTCACTCGTTCATTCATGCCGAGGTGTTGGCACTCGTGTATGTTTACATGTGTACTGTCACTCATGTATCTATGCAAACGTGATGTACTTCATGTCTCTATGCAAACGTGCTGTTTCACTCGTGTCTCCATGCAAACGTGGTGTCATGCGTGTCTTCAAACAGGCGTTTATCAATATGATTTTTATCATTATTATTTTTACCGAGGTGTTGGCACCCGTGTATGCCTACATGAGTACTGTCACACGTGTCTCCATGCAAAACGTGGTGTCATGTGTGTGTCTTCAAACAGACGTTTATCAATATGATTATGACGTTGTCACTCGTTTATTCACGCCGAGGAGTTGGCACTCGTGTATGTCTACATGTTTACTGTTACTCGTATTTTCATGCAAACGTGATGTACTTCATGTCTCTATGCAAACGTAGTGTCACACGTGTCTCCATGCAAACGTGATGTCATGCGTGTCTTCAAACAGACGTTTATCAATATGGTTATTCCTAATAATCATATTTAGATGGATTGAGAGATCGATAGACATACGTGGTGTTTGACTCGTGTCTCCATGCACACGTGATGCCACTCGCAATGCATGCATGCATGCATGCATACATACATACACACACACATACATACATACATACATACATACATACATACATACATACATACATACATACATACATACATACATACAAACATACATAGCGGAAACAGACTGAACCATCCACAACAACCACAGCAGCAAACAAACGAGAACATGAACGGGAAAAGGAACAGGAACAGGAACACAGGAAACAGGAAATGGCAGCTACACCATTCGTGTTGCTCTGATTCACATTCTCCTCGCAGAGATAGTGTAGCTGTAGCTTCTTCTTGTGTCTCACCAGACCGGTCAACTTTAGGTAGTCGCAGGGTGGAAACCACTTATAAAGTGTTCCGCCCAAGGGTCGTCGTGGGACGCCCATCTTCTTAGCCGCACGACGCATTGGAAACAGTACACACCATCGGCACCCTGCGTGTACACAAAGCCTGCATGGGCCATCTCTTCAGCAGTCTGATTCATTTGCGTTGGCCACTCCTCAAACGAAACAAGCCTTCTTTCAAATCGTAGATAATAGGGTTATGGTGTGTTACTGAGCGGCGACATGCCATCACAAGCATCCGTACTCTTATTCCAACATCCAGAAGCATCTGCACTATCAGTCACCACGTCTCCCTCACACGTGTTCGTACAGCTCTTCTTTGTCTCTGCCATTCTCGATGCGATGACACTGACCCACACGAGTGGTTGATCTCTTGTTTTATAGGAGAAGAACCGGATCGAAAATCACTGCACGTTGATTGGTCAGAAACGCCGCACGCTGATTAATCCGTTCCAGTGCCTGGCCTGCACATCGGTTTTCCAAAATGACCCGACCCTTGTGTTTCTTTTCCATAGGAAATGTTTTTTTCCATGGGAGAGAAAGCACAACTCGGCTCGGGTCCTGCTTTGGGGAGGGTTTGTCTATAAATCAGACGTTCAGTCAATCTCATAGTGCAGACGTTCATCAGGCAC